TACGGTAATAAATTTGCTGCAAATGAAGGATTATCAAAAGTACCATAATGAATAACTAATTGTTCATCAGTATACTGATATACTAGTATAATCGATGATGTAAAAAAATTGATTTTTAAGTTAAGTATGCTCGTTTTTATTAATTTTCATTAAAATTTGTACGATAGAAAATATTATTTTAATGTAAATTATTCGGTTATCCTAAATGTGTAATTTTTCTTAAAAGTTAATTGATAATTGACAATTTAAACAAAGTGTGGCAAAAATTTCCGATGCTCAGGCTTTATGAGTTACTTATACCTTCTACATTAACCAAATGAAAATTTAGAAAAAGTGTATACAGGGTGAAATATTAAGTTTGGAAAAATTTACCTCTTTTTTTGGAAGACGGTCCTGAAATTTTTTTAATTCTGAAAATACCAATGTGTTGCTGGTTCAAAATGTATACTTTTACCAAAAAATAAACCAAATCGAAATAACCACCATAAAGATATAAACAAAAGAAAATTTCTTCAAAATTCATAAATCACCCTGTATCTCCTTAGAGAAGATATTCATTATGATATTCGCCTTAAATGCCTCTGTACACTGTTAAAGTATGTACGATTCCTCAGGACTCACCCTGTATTTGATCTCATGTATGTTGTTATCTGTATATTAGATGAAACAAAAAGCCCTTTTATTTTAATATAAAACCAGCTCGCTTCCGGTAATAATAAACCATTACAGGCGCATCGGCACGTCCCGTGGCGGAAAGAGGAAAAAAAGAATAGGTGAGGAAATAAGGGAAGCTCGGGCGAGGGTGCATTCAAATTCAGCACGTCGTCAACGCGCCCCTTCTGCGCCCCCCCCGAACGCCCATTCCCGGAAACCATGAATATTATATTATAGCGCCGTTGTTTGCTCGCGCGGCTCCATTAGAGGAAATTGAAATTTTTATTTTGTTTGATTTTCGGGATTTTTCCGGCGAGAAAATGCCGACGGATTTCGCGGGAGGTTTTTTTCCGCGGGGCGTTGCAGATTTTGTAACAAACTTTTTGTCGCTTAAAATAGGAAAAAAATATCGGCTTTCGACGTTAAATAGACTACTAAAATTGGACTGTGATATACTGCTCCGCAAAAGTTAAGGAAGTTCGCAAATATTGAGATTAATTTAAAAGTTGCAGGTTTTTTGATCGCAAAATTTAGTGGGAGTTGTAGAGGAAGGGACAAAAAAACCACTCAGTATGAGAGAAAACATTTAATTTTGCATATTTGAAAATTGGGTGATCAAAAAGTCTGTAACTTTTAAAATACTCGCAAAATTTGCGAACTTCCTTAACTTTTGTGGAGCAGTTTATATCCGATTAAGCAAATAATTCGTTTTTATGTAAGGTTTTCGCCACGAAATTTCTCACAGGCGTTACAAATTTAATGAATTTTGTAACAAACATTTTGTCGCTTAAAATAAGAAAAAAACATCGACTTTCAACGTTAAATAGACTACTAGAAATGGACTATAATATATCCGATTATTAAGCAGGAAATAATTCGTTTTTATGTAAGGTTTTCTCCACGAAATTTCTCGCAGGCGTTACAAATTTAATGAATTTTGTAAAAATAATTTTGTCGTTTAAAATAAGAAAAAAACCCATCGACTTTTCAACGTTAAATATACTACTAAAAATGGACTATAATATAACCGATTATTAAGCAAATAATTCGTTTTTATGTAAGGTTTTCTCCACGAAATATCTCGCAGGCCTTACAGATTTAACGAATTTTGTAAAAAACATTTTGTAGCTTAAAATAAGAAGAAAAAAACCATCAACTTCCAACGTTAAATAGACAACCAAAAACAGACGATACATTTATCCAATTAAGCGAATAATTCGTATAACTTTAACAAACTCCAACCCTCGATTAATATCAATAAATCACCCCATGCGGAGTTCCGCGTTCGCCCCAAAAACCGGCCGTCCGCCGGAGGGCGTCGCGACGGGTGTTTTTGTGGGCGTCGGCCGATTTCGCCACTCTATATACGCGTCATATAAAGACTGATAAATCTCCGGAATGTCAGGAGCAGCGCCGGACGGCAGCATTTTATGGAGTAATCAATACACATCGGACACACTGTCGTTAGCAGTTACTTGGATACTTTCGGACCTGGACCGGCGTCCGGTCCCGAGTAGGAAAATTTGCGATGATTCCCATTTGCGAAGCGACGTCGCGACGCCTTTGGGTGAATATATCTCGTGTAAAGGGAGGCGGTTCGTTCGATGTTTGCATCCGACAAAGCTCGATTAACGTTATGTGAGGTATGCAGATGAAGCTATCTTCACACTTGATGCATTTTGGATTTTGTTTGTTAGTTATTGGATAAGAGAATTAGATAACACACCTACTATTTCTTATACACCTTGCTCCATTTTCGATTGCAACATGGTCATTTCTATGAGTGGAACAAAGAAAGGTTATTAAAATGACAGCTGTCAGAGTGAAAAGTTGCAACGACACAAATGTCACTCTTTTTCTTTTATAAGTGTCTAATAGAAGTTGTCTTTATCGCACTCGTTGCCTATATAACCTAGGTTGCGATCAAAAATGAAGCAACCTGTATACATTTTTCCTATTTAATTAATGAAAAAACAACCTGTATATCAAATTAAATGCCAAGTATTCCGTGGTAACGGAAATGACAACTTTGACAGTTCGAAGTTTGTTCATCGCCGCTGTCATTACTGTCAGTTTTTTTAAGTAATTCGATAGTTTCTAGATTTTCGGTAAGTACAAATGACCAAGAAACGTTTATTATGTTGCGATCAAAAATGGAGCAACCTGTATAGGTTTAATTTACTACAATAATCAAGAAATAAGAATTTTTTGCGAAGTTATCTTTTCCACATGTTAGAAATGACACAATTTGAGCCCTAAATAATTCAGATTTAGAAGTTTTCTAAGAAATTTCACTATACCTACTCTTTTAAGGGTCAATTGTACACAATTTTGTTTATTTTTTAAGCTTGTTGATTAATTATAATGCGCCCCAGAAATATGAACACTTACCCCTAATTTGCCCCATTTTGCCATTTGACAATTTTAGAAAATTCTTAGATTTCGTATATAAACTCAACAAAAGTTCGGCAACACTGCCAACTTGTGACGTAGTAAATTATAGATGACGTGTATGCATATTTGTTTTGCACCGACTGTATATAGAAATAATAAGTTTTAGGATAGGAAGAGAAATAATATTTCGCTTGTATCTACATTTTTCTTGACATTTTATTTGGCTAAGATTTAAAAACACATTTATCCGGACAGAAAAGTGCATTTTTTTTAGATTTCGTTCTACAAATACCAATTAATTTATTCTGCAATGGAAATACTGTACAGAATTTTTCACATTTCTATATCTAATCAAATAATTTACTATTTACAAAAAGACATGGCTTTATTGCGGATTTCAACAAATATTTGCCGATTTTAAAATAGATATGACGAAACACGTTTGATTTGTCTACTTGCAATGAATATTTAATTAATTACAATAGCCATTACAGTTTAAGTATCTACAAAGAATTGCTTATTAGATGTATGCCCTCTATGAGTGTTTAAAATTGCACTTCAGTCTGTATAATTAATACTTTTCGTATTATTTATTTTTTTCCAGTTAATACGACAATCGTATCGATCATAAATAAAGCGTAGATTTTAACTAATAAATGGTTATAAAATGGTTCTAAACATGATAAAAATATTGTTAGAATTACAAACAAATTGTTTAATCGTAAGTCTAATGAAGTGTTTTTAAAAATGTTGAATAGTTTGAGACAATTTTTTGAGATTATTTAAAATCTACGCACCCTTCCAATGTAAAGTACTATCTATACATCTATCATCAGTACATCGAAGAAGGTAAAATGCATATACTGTATGTACAATTCAAATTACAAATTACAATTTTTGTAACATTTACAAGTATTCTATTTTATTATGTACATAAAATCACAATGAAAATATGCTACTTTCGGGCCGTAACATTCGATTTTGTGTTTTCATCCAGAAATTAGCCCCTTATATATTTTTTTAATTAATTGGAATTAATATTTAAGTACGTTTACATTTCTTATTATACAATTTCGCAATTCGTCAATTTGTTCAATTGTATAAATCTTAAATTTACATTCTAGTACTGTTAAATTTTAGAGGTTACATTTATTCATTGTTTTTTCGGTATTTTAAGTATCTCGTAGAAAATTAACTGCATAAAAGTTCTAGTTATAATCCAATAAAAGTTTAAAAAAGTTGAAATACTTCTACACGAGAAATATAATAAACCTACCGGTACACTCATCATTAGCGTCTTGATATCCCCTTTATACAGTCTTAACACATTCTGGAGTATTGAAAATTAAAAAAATTGCTAAAAAAATCCATTTAAATTCATCAGATAAAAGATAAAGTTAAATATAGCTGAAGACATTGGTATATATAAACAGTTGATTATATAAAATAAGTAATCATCAGGATTCTTGGTTAAAAATATATAGTGCTTCACAAAAGTTAAGGAAGTTCACAAATATTGAGATTAATTTAAAAGTTGCAGGTTTTTTGATTGCCAAATTTAGTATGAGTTGTAGAGGTAGGGACAAAAAATCCGCAAAAATTCGCGAACTTCCTTAACTTTTGTGGAGCAGTTTATTATGTCGATGATGATGTTAATATAGATGAAAGATATTTTAACTATGAGCCAATAGATGACAATTTCGATATCTTCTTTAACAGAATCTTTAAAGTGAAGCGTAAAATCCATCTTATTGCAATGTTAATTATTACACAACCGTATACCAATAAGTAACCATTTCGTTATATATAGACTTTTAAGTAAGTACCACCTCATTCAACAAATCGACGCGACGGGCCAAATCGAAGCCAAGTTTGTCGACCATTGCATTGCATTAAACATCGCCACAATACACCAACCCGAACTGTTCGTAGCACAAATTCTCCATCTCGTACTACCAAGCCCGAGTCTGTAAGGGCAAATAGCTGGTGCACTGCTGCTGGTAGTTGCCCTGCTGTCTGTAGGCCATCGCCAGGCCGCCGTTCGCCATGCACTGGGCCTGCTGCTGGGCCGGCTGGCAGGCGGGCGATTGCTGCGCTCGAGAGGCCTCCGAGGAGGCGGTCGACGTGGCGGTTTGGCCGCCGCCGACGGTGGAATTGCCGCCGCCCGAGCACGGTTTTCCGTCTTTGACTAGGACCGGTACGGCGACGCGACGCGGGGAACTCGACGACTGAAACAAGATACAATAACAGCTACCTGGGAATCCACTAATGATGGTTTTGTATTCGTAGAAAGTTGATATGAGTCAGTTGATTGAGTAGAGTAATGCACAGTTGCATCAAAGCAAAAGCGTCCTATTCTATTAAAAAATCAATTTTATACTGTTGTACCAATTGAAAATCTCTTTCCTGGTGATACGAATCGATTACAGATCCTTGGTTGTCGATTTCTACGATTTAAGACGAAAATGTTAATCTCAGAAGTTTGGGAATTGTCAGGACAGTTGTAAAATTATGGATATAAATATTGTGGTTAATGTAGATATAATAGAAGAAGTAGAGGAAGAAATTAAGGTGGTAGATGTTCCTATGCAACGACAAATTCGAATAAGAACTAATTATTTCGGTTTATAAAGGTTTCGTCTGCAAAAAAGAACGTTCCTACAATTATTTAAATTTAACCAAAGTGCAATTATGAATGTACTAATTTCTAAATTACAGGATATGTTAAAACCACAACTTATTCTTCTTTAAATCTTTTTTTACTGGTCCCAACAACTACTAGGTTATTTTGACACTTAAAATAACAATCATCATCTCCTTCTTTTCAAGTTTTTCAACAATAATAACAGCTACCTACGAATCCACTAATGATGATTTTGTATTCGTAGAAAGTTGATATGAGTCAGTTGATTGAGTAGAGTAATGCCCAGTTGCACCAAAGCATCTCCTATTTATCCTATTTAAAAATCAATTTTGTATTGTTGCATTAACTAAAAATCTCTTTCACAGATCCTAGGTTGTCTTATTTCTACGATTTAAGACGAAAAAGTTAACATCAAAAATGTAAGAATTGTCAGGACAGTTGTAAAATTATGGATATAAATATTGTGGTTAATGTAGATATAATAGAAGAAGTAGAGGAAGAAGTAGAAAGTTGATATGAGTCAGTTGATTGAGTAGAGTAATGCCCAGTTGCACCAAAGCATCTCCTGTTTATCCTATTTAAAAATCAATTTTGTATTGTTGCATTAACTAAAAATCTCTTTCACAGATCCTAGTTTGTCTATTTCTATAATTTAAAACTCAAAAGTTTGAGAATTGTCGGGACAGTTGTAAAATTGTGGATATATGTAAATGCAGATGTAAATATTGTAGATAATGCAGATATAATAGATGATGTAGATGAAGAAATTAAAGATGTATACGACAAATTCGAATAAGAACTAATTATTTCGAAACATTCTCGGAGGAAGAATTTTTTCAAAGGTTTCGTCTGCAAAAAAGAACGTTCCTACAATTATTTAAATTTAACCAAAATGCAATTTTGAATGTACTAATTTCTAATTTACAGGATATGTTAAACCCACAACTTCTTCTTCTTTCGATCTTTTTTCACTGGTTCTTTCACTGGTCTTTCTTTTCGAGTTTTTCAACAATATTGCTACACGTTGCCAGTTGAGGAATTGTTTAATATAAACAAAACTGATTAAATAAAAATTTAAAATTCCACTTTTTATCGACAAAAAGTGGTCCATATATAACGCACTTCTTCTATATCCTCCCTCCACGTTTCCACCCGAGGTTTACGGAAGAAAATCGTGAAAACTACCGACGAAATTACAAAAATTTCTTAGTCCACACCTGGAAGGAAGCAAAGCAAACCAGCCAGCAACAAAATCAATAAGAATAAAATATATTGTCCGCGTGTAGACCCGACGAACAGCGTCGGGCTGGTGCTTTGCTCGTTTGCACAAGGGTGGAAGGAATATTATGGGGGCCTCGAATTGTGACGTAGCCCACTCGAGATAACGTGTGTTTTGAAGAGGTCTGCAGCAGGAATATATAAAACCTTTCAGATTTCACCCTTGGTCCCTTTTGTGCGCGCCTCGATGAATTTGCTCGCAGAAGAGATGAAAATTATCGGAATAAAAAAAAAACTTGTATCCGACCGGCAGCAATTCAAATATTTGCCTTATATATACCGAGAGGTTTGTGCCGCTTTATAACGATGTAAGGCGAGATTCGAATCGGACCAAAAAGTAAATTTAGTAATGCTTTCATTACATTTTAGTTTTTTGTTTGTAGGTTGTTAATTCCTCTTCCGCAGTTATTACTACACCACTGTTTAATGCATACAATAGACATCAGAAAATAATTGTAGCTGGTACATCTAACTGTTCATATGCAACAATTGCATTCGCGGAATTAAAATTTTTCTGCTGCAATTCGTGTTGTCATTTAATCGGTAATTATGAAATAACGGAAACATTCTGGGACGTTAATTAAACGTATTCCGAATAAACAGTTTTCATTCAACCACGTAGGCAAATAAAGGTAGCACAACATCTGATTCTCCTATTCACACGTCGAAATAGAAATTGTATTCACTTCTGTATTGATTTCGAAATAATATTCGACGGGTATTTTCATCTACGAATCGAACGTTGTTTACACAGCGTCCGGCCTGACGGAGAAAACTCGGACTTCCAAGTTATTATTCTATTCCTATTGAATTTATAGATGTACTGTTATCGTAGCTTTAAGTGTAGAAACTGAAATTTTCTTCATAACTCACTGCATCGAAAAATTGGTAGATACAGAAGCGTGTAAAGCTACAAATTAGTGATATTTCTGGGATGATGCTACTTGTACAAGTCTTGTGGTAATCGAATCAAGACATCAATCAAATTTAATTGAGCGAATCGCTGACGGCGGACGGTCGCTTCCGACGGAAATAAAAATTTATGTTTCCATCGTAGGAGGATTCAATTTCATCGTCCACCATTTCGAAAGTCTATTAGAAGAGGATCTCTAAATTGATTGTTAACTCTGAGGAAAAAGACGTTGGGGTCCTTGTGAATAAATTGATGCAAAAGTAAATGAACTATAAGCGAATTAGTTTTGAAACTTAAAATTTATCGATTTCAATTACAACTGGAATAAATTATCGATGAGTTCAATGAATAGGTATCCAATTAAGCGATTTTCGTAATAAAAGCATAAAGAAAATTGTGAGGTAGTCGTTATTATTAAGAAATATCCACTTATTTCTCGTATTTATTTGTATATTTAGAAATTTTTCCCACAGTACATTCATTATAACGAGACGACATGACTGTTTCTCAATTCATCGCTATTGAAAATATCAAACTTAAAACGTTTTAATAATTAGCAACATCTATTCAGATAATACAAACAGTATTAACCAGGTAGGTGGATCTAACAACATGTAGACCTAGATATGCATTTTATGGGTTTCACAATATTAAATTATTCAACATCTACTTACAAACAATATTAATAAAATTGTATGTATGATTATGCTAATCGCGGGAGCATCATCAGGAAAATGTATTGCTGTTAATTCCTTAAACGTTCGATTTTCGAAGAGAATATGTAAGTACAATTTTAAGTAGGCGAAGAGTCCATCGACTTCACAAACATACAGCAGCCAAGTTTTTTTTCTTTCGTTTTTAAAGCAAACACCAGCTCTCATCAATATTGAACCAAACAAACCTGTCTCTGGAGCTATTTTACTTTAGTCGATTTCATTTTTGCTTCTGCGGTCATTAAGCTACCGTTTTCTTTACTATTTTCCTTTCTATATGGTTAATTTTTTTTCGCGAACCTCTTCTAACATGTTTGCAATATATGCATATTGAACACGTGCATATGTATAAACTTTCTGTTGATTTTGTATTATTGAAACTACTAATGAAACTAACATTTGAAATTCGAACGAAAAAACGAATATATAGAATCGGAAAAAAGCAAAATATCCAGCTGTAAATTAAACTACCCCATCACGGAAAAAAAGAATCGGAGAAAATAAGATTAGGGCATTACCGCAAGTGTGAATAAACTTCGGCCACAAAACTCCCATTGTTGTTGAATGGATCTTTTTGTTGTGATAGGATTTAAAAATATTAGTAGGAGAATCGAAGAATGAACGAAACAAGCGGACAAAAAAGGCTCTGTCAAAGGGCGTTCGAGTTAAATAACGAATGAATTTCCTTCAGAAATGCATCCACTCTCGTTTTTTATAAAAAGAATCGGTAAGTGAAGAACATCGAAGATGTAGAAAAGATTGTGTTAAAATGAAGACCTCTTGGATATTGTATAAGAGTTCTCATAATTCTTAGATAGTGATAATTATTTATATTTATACACGAATTATACCCGGCACTGTCCACTTACCTGGTTATGCTGGTTCTGTTCGGCCATCGCCTTTTCTTTGGCTTGTCTCTTGCATTTGTACCTGTGATTTTGGAACCAAATTTTCACCTGCAACAACAAAATTCCACCGTCAGATCCTAAAAAAACAATGAAAACGTCAATCGCTCCGCGCGACGGAAAATATCCACCGACGAGTTTGTTTAAAATCACCCGAGCGGGCGAATTTTAATAAGCAAAAGCTAATGAAATTATAGAAGGAGAGGAAAGAGAAATCGCTAGACGTTGTAGATATAAAAATGCAAGAATTTTTCTATCACAAGCGATGCACAGTTTCCCTCGTCCTACGCGAGATATTTTTAAGCGATTTAACCTTTCGCAATTTCTATCCAATGAATGATGCCATTGAAACTGATGAAGTTCTTTGATGTTCTGCTCGAAGATGAATTTACTTCAGCAATCTCCACTGTATATATATATATATAAGCTTGTCGCTGGCTCTTCTCTCTTCTTTTTATTTATATTTAATAGAAAATGTACGAGAATGTAAGATGGTCGTTTAATTAAAAATGCTAATTGTAGATGTAGATTCTTCAACTCAATTTATTCAATGCAAAATGCAAAAATTATTACCATCAATAAATATAAAAATTAAAATGTTGCCTTTTGGTAAAAGATTGATAAAAAAATTGACGTTTGTTTCTAAAATTATTCGCTCTTTATGCGAATTTATTTTGAGCTGACAGGCATCAAACTTTTTATTAATTCTCGAAGAACTAATATTGATTCAGTCCTCCGATTTCGGACAAACAAGATCCCCATTTTCGTTCGAGCTGACGGTTGATTCCTGCATTGTGGGGGCCCATTAGATCGTGCAATATTGGGGTTAAATCATTATTAAACTAGGCTTATGGTAATTAACCACCGGTAAGGCTGCAGGGTATTAGTTTTCCCCCGACGGGACTAATCGCTTGGCAAAATATTTTTCATCACAATGGAATTATTGTGTATACGCTTAGGCAGCTTTATTGCAATGAAAATGTGATGTTGCAACTTTAATGCAACTTTAATAAAGTTTAATAATATGCACGCTTTAATTGAAATTGTAATTATAATTGGCGGTTCTTTAAACCTCTCCATCTACAAATTTAATGTAATACTAATGAATCCCGGTATAGATATTCGCATTTCGACAAGGCGAAATTAATTTGTAAATAATTATTAAACGAACCAAGGAGAGAGAGGTTGGGGTTTTAATTTAATTACGCCGGAATGTAATTAAATTGTGTTTAATTGGCAAAGGGCAACGGAGCAAGTGCTCCGGAATAAGGGGATTAAAAATTCTCTCGGCGTTGTCGTTAACATTAAATGGAAATTTTGTTTCTTTTTATAATTTTTGTGTAAAAGTAAAAAAATGAATAATTCCTCCCAGTTTTCCAACGAATTAGTACATGGCTAAAAACCGATTTAATGCGCTATAAAACCGTTCAAAAGTAACCAACCCAAAAGTGTAATCCATTGAAACATACCCGGGATTTTCCCGTCGATTAAGTTCCGATAAAACAGCCCGGGGACTCGAGCTTATCTCATCCCCGTATCTTCCCGACATGACACAATAGATATACATTTACTGTTTTGGCAAATTGTTCGAACACCGAAGAGGGCGAATGGTGTCAATTTAGGGGTCTATCTGCCCGGTCTTTTACGATCCATGCGAGGACAGAACCGGACCTCATCCATTCCTAATCGAAGCCCTATAAAACCTATAACACAGGACCGACTCCCGAGGAATTTTGAATGAAAGTTATACCCTCTATAAAACTTCTAAATGGACATTATTTCACATTGCGAAGGGAATTGTGCTATAATATGAAGCCGTTACCTCCAGGGTTATTCTCGAGCCGGTCCTGGATCAGCGGTATTTTTTGCGAGCCCTGCAAATTAGGGCTCCTTTCGATTATTTCGTTATATAGAAGAGCGAATAACTACCGCCATGTTGGTCTATATAAACTGAATTACCAGTTTAGCGCGACCCGGAGGACCATAAATAAGGGCGAGGGAAATAGTCGAACAGATTTTCGAGTGGTTATTGTTGGAAAAAAACCAGCTGTTGGGTTGATATATTTTTTAGTGTAGTGGGACCATAATGGGAGAGAGAACAATGGTGTTTCAAAGTAAAATGGCGATCACTTATGGAGGAAATATAAATGAGTCGAATGTTGAAGATATCAAAAGAAATTGTTTCCATCTAAACAAAGGTTTTACTAAACGGAATTTTGAACAATACTTTGAAACAATAGATCCCTTAATAATTATTATCCAGCATGAATTATGTTAGGTAACCACAATAGGTTGATGAATAGGTGTAGATTGTTTCTACATAACACATCATTTAGCAATATTTTAACCCATAGATTTTAGCTGTGGTAAATCTGGTGTGGATTTTTAGCTGTGTCTGATGTCTTCCGGTAAAACCATTTATTGCTCGTGGTTGTGGGTGCAATCCAAGCGCATGCACATCATACATAAAAGCGATTCGAATAAAGACTTCGGGGGGAACGTCGGTCGAATTCTTTTCCAATTACCGGTGTTGATCTTTATTGAAGACGGGGCTGACGAGGCCCCGGGGCAGCCCAACAAAGGCCTACCAGGCACTTGTTGTTGGATCGTTTTGAATGGATCCGGCCGAGCGTGGATGCATCGCACCCACATCAACGATTTCTGTACCGATAAATCTAACGATCCCGGCAATAATGCTAATGATAATGATAATTTTCGGGGTGCCTGCGACCCTTTTTTGTACGTGGTGCTTTTATTCTTTTTTTATAAGAATAAGGAGATATGTGATGGGGTTTTGAAAGCGATGTACTGATTTAATTAGGTGTATTTTTTTTGTAGAAGAAAGAATATTGTGGGATATACTCACTTGTGTAGGTGTTAGGTGGATCAAAGATGCTAGATGTTCCCTTTCTGGTGCTGAAAGGTACTTTTGCTGTTTGAATCTCCTTTCCAATTCGTATACCTGCAAGATAGAAACATTTGATTGGTAACATTTAGCTAAAATATGTAGATATTTGTAAGTTTTATATCTCTAAAATTGTTCATTATTTGGAAAGTTGCATCAAGGCAAACCAAAACATTACAGTTCTGATGGGTTTTTTGTGGTTTATATTATATGTAGAAAAATGAAACAATAAGCAAGATGTTTGTAAGCTATATAGAATTTGTAATATTTCTTTAGTTTAAAAGTACTATTACTGGATTAATTTGATTGTGGAGAATACCTATAATTGCAAATAAACGGCTCCACAAAAGTTAAGGAAGTTCGCAAATTTTGCGATTATTTTAAAAGTTACAGACTTTTTGATCTCCAAATTTTCAAATATGCAAAATTAAATGTTTTCTCTCATACTGAGTGGTTTTTGCCCCTACCTCTACAATTCATACTAAATTTGGCGATGAAAAAACCTGCAACTTTTAAATTAATCTCAATATTTGTGAACTTCCTTAACTTTTGTGGGGCAGTATATTAGTCGATTTATTTATAAATTACCTTTGAACAAAACAATTAAAATCCCCCAAAACAGACACTTCAATTAACAAACTAATTAATCGACCATATACCAGCACGTACATTGCACCGTCTCCCCATCAATATAAAAAACTAATTACACTTTCCAAAACTCGACTCCGGTTAAACTTTAGCCCCCGAAATCAACAACAAATTTCCACCCCCGTCGACCGACTTTTATTTGTTTTATAATACGAACTTTCACGGCCGGCTACGCTCCGGCGATAAAAAGCAACAAGCTAAATTCGGGGGGAGGTTGGGGGGGCGTGGTCGTTTACCTGTGCCTGCGTGAAGAGCACCCGCCTCTTCCGGCGCTGCGCCAAAGGGAACTGCATGGGTTTGGAGTCGGGGACGGCGCAGGCGCCGAGCCCGGGCATGCCGCTGTTGAGGCCGTGACCCATGTTGGCGGCCGTCGCTGAGCTGCCCATCAATCTGGAAACTGGAATTAAATTCGTCGAGGTTATTGATGGTGCTGGGAAAGGAGAGGTTTTCGCAAAGTTTGCATTTTTTTTTTCATTTTGCTTATATAGGTTGTTTCAACAAGACCGCAGGATTTGAATTGCCCGTCATGTTTGACAGGCATAATGATGCGTGATTATAACATGACAGATCCAAAGTTGACTGAAACTGGAATTAAATTCGTCGAGGTTATTGATGGTGCTGGGAAAGGATAGAGTTTTTCGCAAAGTTTACATTTTTTTTTATTTTGCTTATATAGGTTGTTTCAACAAGACGGCAAGATTTGAATTGCCCGTCAGGTTTGACAGTCGTAATGATACGTGGTTATAACATGACAGATCCAAAGTTGACAGTTGGGAGTTAGTAAATATGGATCATTGGATCTGGATGTGGATCTGGATATGGAACATAATCGCGTCTTAATTGTTAAACATTACTATAATACCGGTCGGGTCATTTCCCGGTTTGGTGACCAGAATTGGCCGCCACGTTTTTGTGATTTAACACCTTTGGACTTCTGGCTGTGGGGTAACTTGGTAGTTACAGGTTTATGCCAACATACCCGCGACCACCGAAGCGTTGAAAGCCGAAATTAGACGCTCTATCAATAAAATACCGCCACATGAATACAATAATGCTATTGAAAATTTTATCAAAAGAGTACGCTTGTGGCAGCAAAGCCGTGGGGCCATTTACAAGATATTTTGTTTCATATACACCGTTGGAAAATAATTCGCGCTTAATAGGGAAATCAATGTTAAATTCTTAGCCTGCTGAAATCCAGTCTACCAGTGTACATTTCAATAGAACGTCGCGATAAATTCTAATAAATTTAATTGTTCTACTGGACCGCACGCCGCGAGTTATAGAGGTACAAAGTTATTTGTGTTAAGTATGAGGTACAAAATTATTAGAAACTAATTTTTTTTGGGATATTTCAAAAAAATAAGTGTATCGATAGGTACAGTTTTGAAAGAGCAAGAAATCTTGTTGAAATAGGGGAAAAAATAATTCAATTTTCTGCTAGAATTATACCTCAGCTCAGTAATATGAGATGACATCTGTATGACAGGTTTAGCTATTGTTTAGCAGAAAGCGGTGGACTATTTTTTAGAGTTCTTTTATTTACTGTTTTAAAATAATCTTTAAGTTTATTTTTGGAGTTTCCTTTTTATTATTTTCTTAGAATTTACTTTCTTTTTCGAGCCATTGTGGCAAAAAGACATCATATCTACATAATTCCATTTTAAAATTAGTGATATTTTTTCAATAAATTATCGTTTAAAAATTCTCATTTCTTTTTAATCGACTCGACGTTCACCCATCCGAACCCGTTTTGATACTGTCGAAGTGTCGAAACCGTCGAAATTATTTGATTTTTAATCTAACCGAACCAAATCGCGGTGTGAAGTCCAGTAGAACAATTAAATTTATTAGAATTTACCGCGACGTTCTATTGAAATCTACACTGGTAGACTGGATTTCAGCAGGCTAAGAATTTAACATTGATTTCCCTATCATGCGAAATAAAATTTCCAACGGTGTACATACACATACAGCACCATCCATATTCCCCGAATTCGATCTCCGGTAGATTTTCCGCCCCGGCAAGAAAGAGCGCCTCGCAGTCCGGTCATAATGCCTAACTGACAGCCCGGCAAATACACTAAACCCGTCTTGTTTGCCGAGCACTCGAAATCCAATGACAATACAGTAGCTGACGAGCGATAAACTCGCCTCGTCCCCCATCGTTCGCCCGCCCCCCCGACCGCTTCGCCCCCCCGCAGGACTCCCAAAACAAATACGGGGAATGTGTAATTACTTACCGGTAATGACGTATTGTGTATAGAATAAACGATCTATTTATATTCGAAGATATTTATTTTCTCGTCCGTTGTGTGTTCGAAATGCGATGGCATTTCTTATGTAAATAAACAGTTTTTTTTTTGACGAATGTGTTGTATGTTTAAATGTTTGATTATAAGGAAGCCAAGGTGAAATATGATTTTACTTACCTATTAAGATCCATATGGTAATCGTGTATGAATAACTTATTGTATACGCTTTAGGTGAATAAATTGTTAAATGAAATTTATCATTTATCAAGCAATCATTGTAGTGGTAAAATAGGTTATCTAAATTTCCTATATGCACATATAATTACTAATTTTATAAGTACCTATCGATTATTTACCCCACTAACTATTTGTTACAGTCCGGCCCTCCTGCCACAGTCTGTTGTCCCCCTTTTTAAAAAAAAATAAGAACTGGAAGCCATCCCGGCAATGTTTGCACAAGAATACCCCTCTTGCTGCATTCTAAAATTGATGCAAGAGACATTTACAAAATAAATATTTGCCTTTTGCATTCTACGAATCATATACGAACGATATTTATCGATGAGAGTGTAAGTGGAAATGAGGGAGCTGTGTGCACATCGGCCGTAATTTGTATATAAAGAAGTCTACAGTAAATTAATTTTTACTATAGTTAGATAAAAAATTAGATATTGTGACCGCTAATCATCAATCGTTTATCTATACTGGGTGGCCCAGAACTCACGCCCCATCGGGAAATGCCTTATTGAAACGACAATGGAGATGCCAAAACTGCAGTCGAAAACAAGAAAAAGTAATTCCTTTGGTAAAAAAGAGGTTAAAATTGACCAATCCCAGTAGGAATTCAAATCCACGAAAATCGTGTGAATCGTATAGCATCTATAAACTAAAAAGAAATGCTGAATACAGTTCAAAGAATTTTAGAATTTAAAATGTCTTGCATTTCGATGCAATGCAAATAACTTGTCTCCAATCAGTGCATAATTAGCCCTTAAATACAACGAATTCGATCGATACTTTTTGCACCTGTATTCACGAAATAATCATCTCAGAATCAGTTCTATTTGCTATATAAAAGGACTGCTTAAAATTTGCAAGAGCATCGTTTAGCATTTGAGGACACGCTCCTTCGGTTCCCTTGTCACCATCAATCATCTTTCTCTTCCTGTTTACGTCTATCGATATCCGTGTAATGTCACTTGTGCATGTTCCTGAATATTATAACCTGATAAATTGCTTTACCTCATGTACTAAATTTGATGTATACTCGTAGTATAATAAGTAGGCATCATTGTTAAATGTTCCATCATTTAATATAGCGCTAAATGATGCAGTTAAAACTGATTATATCAAATTAATAAAATTATTGGTCGATTTTGAACCTCTTTTTTTACCAAAAGAAAAACTTTTCCCTGCCTTCGACTGCTGTTTTGGCATCTCCACTGTCGTTTCCATAAGGAATTTCCCGGTGAGGCGTGAGTTCTGGGCCACCCTGTATGTTGAGGACTATACAAGTTTCTATCTGCTGATGTATATACCATTCGATCGCCCAAACAACACCATTTCGAAAGTGGCAAAACACATATTTGCCCATATCGCTTCGCTAATGGGGGGCCCGTTAAGTCGCAGTTTGAACCCGAGAAGGGATGGTTTAGCCTCGGATGTGTGTCGGGGGCTTTTAATGCCGAGTAGCATCTCGACGACACGTCGTCGGTGTCCGATTTCCAAAGTCAAACATCCAATATAGAATCCGAAACTCCGCGCGAGAGTCCGGGGAATCCGCCGTTTAAAGTGGCCGGAATCGATTACATTCCGGGTGTCACCGCTAGACCCCATCCTGTCGGATTCTTGCGCTTTTGCGGAATTTTCGAACGTTAAACCAGTACCTAACTATACCGCATACAAGTTATATGACATAGAAATACCTAAATGTTGTACAACCATCATCAACAAAAGCATGATAAAGTCGACTGTATTATACTTATAACTATACCAGTTTAATCGCTTATTATAAAGTTAAGAAAATAAAATAGCTGATGGTAGATACCTACTTCGGGAATAAGTATCTCTTTTGCTAAGAAATTCGCACTTCTATTAGGGGTTAAAGATGTTAATAAATGGCTTGAACTTACTTGCAAATCTGGGATCAGCTGCAGAAGTTTGATACCATCCGGATGAATAGTGGGGCGTGAGGCCCAAATTCTCGGAGACAGGACAATATTGCCCGCCCCCGAATTGGCCCATCACCGGATAACCGCCGTTCATATTGCAACTGTTGCCTGTTCCGCTGATTCCTGGCGAATTGTGGCTGCTTCCGCTCGATGTCGACCTGCATGATGATGAAAACGATAGAAATATTATCGACTAAATTAAATATTCGCACATATAAAAATTTATTCACTGTGTTATTTATAAGATGCGACATAGGGATTCCTCTACAAATGTGTCAAAAGCAACCTAACTTTTTTACCGAATAACGTTCGTAAAAAATAATGACAGATTTGAAAAGATCTGTCCGGGATGGTTTACGCTCTGAAATTTAAAAATTTTAGCGGGAAATAATGTGGTTCAACCCCGCGCTGTAAAGACTTTTTTTCTTTTTTTTTTCTTTTTTTTCTAATATTTTTGTCTAAAAAATGTTAAATAGAAATATTTAAAATAAGACGAGCTTATTTGAGATATAATTTTATTTTTATTTAAATAAAAGCTCAGACAATTAAGCATCAATTTTAATAACGCAAAATCTCGTTACTAAGTAGAGCCTTTAAAATGATGCAATATTTTTATTCTTGACAAAAAAAAACATTAAAAAACAAAAAATGCAAAAGAAAAAAAGAAAAAAGATTTCAGCACTGCATGGGATTGAACCAGATTCCTTACCGCTGAATTTTTCAAACATCAGAGCGTAAACCAATCCAGATATCTCCACCCTTTTTAACAATTTAGATAGTGACATATGACGTATGACTTTTTTCAACTTAATTATACATTTTTTTATTAAACCAGAACGAATTTAAGAAAATTGAACGTCCATTTCGACTTATTTTTCGACGATCTTTTCAAATCTTTCATTATTTTTTACGAACGTTATTTGGTAAAAAAAGTTAGCTTGCTTTTGACACATTTGTACAGCAATCCTTATGTCACATCTTATAAATAACACAGTGTATGTAACAAAATGAATCCTCACCTACCTGTAGGGTGAAGGCGAATTGGCGGCCAATTCCAACTTTCTGTAGGACTCCTCGATGGGGCTCAAGATGTCGGTGACGCTGAAGGGGGTGGAATGATGGTGGAGCTGCTGCAGATGGCTGAGTACTTGCGGTCCTTGGTGGTGTTTGGGGCTCAGGCTCATAGCCAGATCGACGCCATTGAGGTCGGGCAATAGACCGTGGAGGTCGCCTCTATCGGAGACTACGGGGCCGTCCCCGTAGCTTCCACCTAAAGATCGAGAAAAACCGGGTTATATAAGGTGAACTTTGGAATTGTTATTATAGGTGCTATTGATGTACTTTTCAATTGCAAATATTTTATACAAATGATGGCAATAGGTAGTCTATATACAGGGGTTTTTAAGAAAATCGTTCATTATTTAGAAGTTCTATAGAAGATTCTGAAGAGTTAGAAATTTAAAAATTTAGGTGTAAACGATAATCAATGCGTTGTGAATTTTTCTATCTAGGAAGTAGATCTGAACTTCGTTATTTCAAATGGAAATGTAGCGCTTTTGACTTCATTTTTGGATTTTGTGGCTCTTTTTAACTATATAAAATTTTGATAATACAATATGCTATATGCTTCACTTTTGAGTTATTCAGGATGTTAATTAATAAGTGCGACAAACTTGAGGAAGTGCATGATTTTGCATGAAAAAATAATGATATTTTGCTACATAAACATATGTCTGCAAATGCTTCGTTTTCGAGATACAGGTTGTTAAAATTTCTTCGCACACTATAATAGATAAGATGTTTTGAGGAAATGAAAAATACACGTCAATATGTTTTATTTTTTTACTCAAAAACAGCGGCCTGTACGAAAAAAACAAAAAAGTTTTTTATCACAAATTGAACGAGGAATTCATTCATAATTGAATTTTCAATAAAAATGCATCAGTGGCGTACCAATAATATTTTTTCTTTAAAAAAATTTTATTATTACCCGTATGCGCGTCAATAATGAACATAAAATTTTTAATTTTATGTCAAAAAATGCGCAATAGTTACCTCTCGAAACTCACTAATTTTCATTTGAATATCTCGTCTGGTTCCAGAGAAATAATTAAATCTTTGGTTTTTAAGAAGAAACTTTTAACACCCCGTTAATGTAGCAAAATATCATTATTTTTTTATGCATAATCACCTGAAGTTTCTGGCACTTATTAATTAACACCCTGTATATACAGGGTTTTTCAGGGAAACCGTCCATTTAGAAGTAATAGGAGATTCTGAAGAGTTAGAAATCTTAAAATTTAGGAGTAAAGAATAATCAATGTTGTGAGTTTTCTAAAATATTTTCAACCATATTTGATTTCCGGTTATACCGGAAGTAGGTGTCAACTTCGTTATTTCAAATCATGGAAAGTGACATTTTTGACTTTTTGGATTCTGTGGTTATTTTTAACTATATGAGACTTTGATATAATAACACAAAATTTTGATTTCATTTTTGAAACTCTTTTAACTAAAATTTTAATAATATCACAATGTGCCACTTTTGAGTTATATACTTTATTTCGAAATTTTTTAGAAAAACCGTCGAATGCATTTACTATATGATATCTCTGTTAATAATGCACCTAGAAGTTTGAAATTTCGTATCGATAATATCCAAACACAGTACTAAATAAAACTAACGATCTATTTATACAGGGCGTTTAAAATCGTCTCCCTATAACTTGCCCAACTCAAAGTCGCTACAACTTTGTTATTCCAAATGGGAATCTTATTACAAGAATAATCTATCATTATATGATTGTACTAACCTGCCGACATGGACTCCAGGACCGCCGGTACGACCGAATCGTCTCCGCCAGCCGACCAAAAAAAAAAAAAAAAAACCCGGTCAATTCATGTAAAAATCCACTCCGCGGTCGCGGAAAATCGCACTTGTCGAAAATCCCGCACAACCGACCGACGCGTTCTTGAAAAAGACGCGATCCCCCCGATGGCCCGACCGAATCCAATAAACAAACTGTCTAACTATATAAATAAATCAGCGATCGGGCTATAGCACTCTTGATGTAAGACTCTTTAACTCGAAGTGTGCTTAACTCGCCTAAGCGTGCTCTTAGAGTGTCCTCCAAGTGTACACGGGCTCTTGTGCGGCGACCAGGGTGCACGAACCCACTCGAATGGGCGAGTGGGGGCGGGCCGGGCCAATGGGAGCGCCGCTGGGCGGGGTTTCGGACGGCGAGCGATTGTGGTTGTTATGGGTAACGGGTTTAGAGGCGTCCGAAGGGCGCCGAGACCACGCCTTCGAATCTCTCCGCCTATTGCGAGGGCTCTCGGGCATATAAGAGGGCCGTGCTCCGGTTGTGATATTGTATTTATATAGTTTTATTGGGCATATTGATTTGAGGTTGTAGATTCGAGAGAATAGGTTTTTCGAGTATCATGAATCTGAGGTTTTTTTTTTAATGTTTTGTTTGGTATTCAATGCCTATCTATACGTTTGATTTGTAATTTATAGATGTAAATTGTGATGGAGTTGTTGTTAAGGAGTGCATACCATTTTGAATTGATGCTTGTAGAGAATCTACTTGGGAGATTATGAGAGGCGAATTTGATTTCGAATTTGCGAGAAGATGAATTGAGCTGAAAAATGATAAGACTATAATATGGATGCTTGTTCATTTTCTGCTGCATTATTTCAGATGATTTTCTGTATAGTAGGTACGATTGATATTATACTCTACTTAAAAACTACAGGAGGAGCATTTTGAAAAGCCTGACTTACACCCAAAAAAGTTACTAGAAAATTTGTATTATAAGATATGCAAATTTAAATACACATCTTTCATTTAAATAAAATTGAATGGAAACTCACAATAAATATATTAAAAGAATGATTGAATTAACAAATCAACTAAATACGACATATTAAATACTTCACATTTCTAAAACATAACCTCAAAAAGGTGGTAAACAAGAATAATAAAGTTTTTCAGTGTGAACTTGACTAGTAATAATTAACCAATAAACAAACGCGAGTGTTGCCAACTTAAATTCAAATCGCTTCTATACCATATATCTATAGATTTGTTATTTTATATACAAAGTGTTTTTATTACAAAGTACCTATTAACAGCAAAATTTTGAAAATTGACCCTTTATTTTTTTAGCAAATAAAAAAATAGGTACTTATTAGGTACCTACTTAAAAGTATCCTATACACCTTGCTCCATTTCCGATTGCAATATGGTCATTTCTATGATTGGAACAAAGAAAGGTTATTAAAATGACAGCTGTCAGAGTGAAAAGTTGTAATGACACACTGTCACTCTTTCTTTTTCTATTATAAGTGTCTAATGGAATTTGTTTTTATCGCACCCACGGCCTATATAACCTATATTGCAATTAAAAATGGAGCAACCTGTATATGGGTATCCAAACAAGCGTACTTCCTATAATAATATGACATGAATACCTAGCTATTTCCGCATATACATATAAATATATATACTGCTCGCTCCCTACCCCAGCCGTGAGCTAGTCGCGTCCCAATCAAAGAGAGAGGTCCGATGAACATTCTGCACTCATCTGGACTTTTGTCAAAAGCGCGCAAGTACAGTTTTTACCGCCAAATGCCAATAATTTTAAATTAACACCATTATTTAAACATAAATTATACTGCTTAAAGGAATGAAAAGCTATTAAAAATGGGTTGGATTTGTTTGAGAATGTTTAAATAAGGGAACTAAAAACAATATTTGACTGACAAAAGTTATTTAGTTAATTGGAAGCAAATAATTAATAATATTAACATATTTTAATTAAAAAAAATAAATCCATTGATTTAATCATTATTTAATAATGATTTTTATTTAAGGAAGACACTCTTAAAACTATAAACAATCAATCACAATGGCGGAAGCGAAAGTACGAAGCATGTAAACGTAAAACGTAAACAAGATATTCACCCAATAACCCAACTTTTAAGAAACGATAGCCAATCGTTATCACGGCTCAATATCACATGACCGGGGCAAGCGCAGAACCCTATTTGGTCCAGAAGAGCGCCGACCTATATATCTGCACTCTAATAATTGGTACGCTTTCTGAACGATTCCAGCAGTATATATATTTATATGTATATGTATTTCCGACAGGTAGGCAACATCAAATTTTCGAATTGTTCAGGTATTCAGTTCAATTTCTTTCATGTAAAAACCACAAATTGGTAAATTTCTGTAGCAAATAACAATAAAAATAAACATATAGAAGTAAATGTAGCAAATAATTTCGCATTTAAAACGTTTATTCCAATTATTTTACTCGTATAGGAAAGAAAGCAACTCAAAAAGAAATGTTCTGTGCGAAGAAATGTTCCAGTGTTCTGTGCGTAAAAGTGGAACCAGGGTCGAGTCAAAAATTTTTAAAAAAGGTTACAATTTTTTTTAAATAATTATTTAGATAATTAAAAATTTAGGTAGGTAATAATGCATGTATACGAGAAAAGAAATTTAATTTATTAGGATTATCTTTATCAGGGTTATAAAAATATTTTATTGGTATGTAGGTACAAGTGATGTAGACATAAATAATTTAATGTATCCAACTTTATTATACACAAACATATGTAAAGTAGGTACATAACTATTAAAATTTAATATAACTATTCCTACCTATATCCTACATAATTATATTAATGATTTATTATTATTACCTACTACATAAAAATTATAAACTTACCTTACGAATTTTACGAAGATACTCCCATGCTCTATAAAAGCGAAAACTGAAAAGTACTCGATCAAATAATAACCGAAAACCGATTATATTTTCGGCTCGATGAATAAGAATGGGCTCGAAAACGCCCCATTGTCGATATATCCGTAACAAAACTAATCGTATGGGACAGCCCATGTGTAAATACTCGGTAAATGTACGACGAGAGATCTTCGATAACAGCACAAGAGGATCATTTTTTGGGTGAATAGTTTGCTAGTTTAGTGCTAAACACTTTTGAATTGTCGATGCGAAAGATTAAGGCACCTCGGATTTTTTTTTTGAAAAAGCTTATAAGAGCCTATGCTTTTTAAATATCTATTTTTTATCGCAACATCATTCCTCTGTTGTATAGATATAACTCCATCATTTTGTATATAAAGGAAAATTTGTAGGTACTATTTGTAAAGGAAAAAGGAGCCTTATATATAGTTTTAAGAAAAAAAATTATCACTTTTATTGACTAATACAGATAAAACAGATAAAAATTTCTTCTAATAGCTTATGTCCCAAATGTGCGAATACAAAATTTACCTACCTAACTGTACCTATAAATCAAAATACCTTCCTTTCACTTATCTATTTCTAGGATTAGTTATAAGTACAGGAAATGCAATTTATTTAATAACGCGTAAAAATAAAGCTATTACTATCCGATGGTACAAATATAGTAAATAATAGTAAACGATCTGCACTTACTAACCTACCTACTCATTCAATTTCTCCGACATATCTTTTGTCGATGAATGAATAAACGCTGGAAGCATCAATGGAAAGTCTCTTCACTGAATGGTGGTTCCATTTCAAATTTAATTCTTCCTGCAATTACCCCGGTGTACACCTACACAGGTAAGCCTGCTCGGATAATGGTAGCAAATTATACGTTAGAAAATAGCATTTAAGTTACCTATCCTCTTGGGCATTGAAATTACAATTAATTTTGAAGATTTATTTTGACATATTTAGCTGAAAGCATTACACGTAAAATGGGTAAATATATAATGAGGTACTTTTCTAAAGGTATTTACAAACTACAGATATAGGCACTTTAAATCAAGCTTTATATTCACAAAAAAATATATTAATATTTAACGTTTCTTATCGAATTTATAGCCATTATCACAAGCAAATAATTACAGCATGTAATCGACAGAATAATTACCCTTTATAATTGAAAACTCGTGTACCTAAAGCAAATAATGTATCCAACATAAACAGCAAGGTCATACATTTTATAGGTATTATATTGTATATTTCTAGAAATAGGTGTAGATGTACATGCACCAGCTTTTTTGTATTAACATTTAAAGTTGCTCTTATTAAGGTTAGTAAAAATAACTAATTTTGTTATTTTCATAACAATACATAGTGAAAATATCTAAAATTAAAGTTTGCAGATGATTATAATGAAAACTTCTTTCGATTCGTGGATATCCATAAAAAATCATTCTCTCGTGGAGATATGAATATTGTATTTTTTAAAACCAATAATTATGCAAAGGTGAATAGTAAGTGCTCTTTTAAATTGGATTAATTCGACAAACATTTTTAATGAAGGTTTTTAAACAGGTACTTAAAAAAATATGTGAAGATACACCAATTAGATTAGAATAATGACTACAATATAAAAATTTGTATCAAATTATGTGAACGTAAGTGTTAGATACTCAATAAAAAATGTACACAACGAAATACATTTTTTAAATTTAATCATGACCTAATCTCAAACTACATTTGTTAATCTTGAATTGAACATACAGGGTGATAATTAATTGAGTGCCGAACTTCAGGAGGTGAATATTTGGACGATTGTAGTATCGGCACTCAATTAATTATCCCCCTGTATAAATAAATAAAAAACAAGGTAGTAAAAAACGCCATTTATTCAAACAATCCAAACACTTAAAAATCGCCAAACATCTCCTGCATAAAAGTCTGATAAACATACATGAACTTAGCCACAAACGATTCCAAATGGAAAATCTGTTTGTTGCCTTGCACCAATCTGTGCTCGTGCTCGGCCGCCTCCTTGATAACGGTCTCCCTAATGCTCACATCGCTTTTCCTCAACAACTCTCTCAACAACGTTTCGAATATCACACCGGCCGGAATATCGTTCGAAAGCAACTCGTACAGGTCTTTTCTCACGTTCGACAGAGTCTCGATGCTCTGGTTCTCCAGAATTTTACCGGCCATTTTCTTGATAAACACTTCCCAATCGAGCTCGGGTATCTTCTGGTCGTCGCTGAAAGGGTATTGTTCGACTTTGCACGTTTCGCAGATCAGCAGAGCCCTGCGAAGGTTGCGGTTCGATGCTTGGGCTATACGTTTCGCTAAAACCGGAGGTAACGATATATCTTCTTTCTTGCAAGTGGATTGTAGAATGTCTACGATGACGCTTTCCTCGGGCGCCGGGACTCTTATGCACAAACAACGGGAACTGATAGCTGGTATGACTCGAGATATCGACGTTGCGCACATTATAATACGGCAATTCGCTATGTATTTCTCCATGGTTCTACGCAAAGCGTGCTGGGCATCTTTCGTTAAATTATCGACATCTGTAAGAATAACAACTTTGAATTCCCGCGCTGCGTTTACGTTTAACTGTTGGCTTTGAGCCACGTTTTTGATTATATCCATTATAACGACCCTATCGTAGATTCCCACATCGCTCGGGTTCACTTCGATGTGGTAGTTACTGCTGATTGTCATGATTTCCAGCTTCTTGTTCGACGGTGTTGTGAAGTTCATCGTTTCCATTTTCAAGCGTTCCACTCCCGGGCCGAAGAGCTCGCGCAATATGCACGTTATTCGGGTCTTCTTGCCGGCTCCCAACGGCCCGTAAACGAGTAAATGGGGAAACTCGCCGTCTTTGGTTAGATTCTTCAAATTGGTCGCTTGCTCTTTGTGGTAATCTAAGTTGGCGAAGTCTTTGGGACGGTATTTGTCGGCTAATAACATTTTTAATGCGTTTTAAGTAGTAATTATGGTAAATGCGAGGGTTTGTTTGTTATTTGTTGAGTACGAACTACTATTTGGCGCTATAATGGATGTCATATGTCAGTAATGTCAATATCTTCTTTTTTCAGCTTGGACTAGTAATATGAAGCGATTCAGTCGCACCGAATTTATCCCTACTCCTATCTCCCCACTAATTTTCTATTCTTTTTATTTATAGCTTATTATCTTATTAATTTAGTATTTAGAAGACAGAAGACACGTTTTTACATTTACAACAATTTATTTTTCGAACGTTGTAAAAATTGTAAGTAGTCATTTGAACTACTTCAAATTGCAATTCAGTCATCATAAAAATCTCCAACGCCAACTGAATAATTTAATTTTTAATTGATTCTAAGCGAAAATGAGCAAGAACAAAGCCGCAGGAAAAAATAACGATCTCAGTGAAGAGCACGCGAAGAAGATGAAAAGTAATTTATCATTTTGGTCGCCTTTGAACGATAATTTCAATCCTCCCAATAAAGAATCGGCGTGTACTTGGCATAAAAATGCCGATAAAGGAACTACTCCCCATACAACGAAAGATTGGTAAGAATTTATTAGAAAAATGCATTATCTAAATTTATTTCACGGTGTTATAAAATCATCCTGTTTATATTTAGGAGGAGGAATTCCAAGATTCTTCCTAATGCTATCGCTGCAATTGGTAATACCCCGATGATAAAACTAAATAAAATACCAGAGGAAGAAGGTTTAAAATGCGATGTTTGTAAGTACACATTTACTGTTGAACTTATACATTATTTATTTGTATAACATTAACCTTTTTTAAATAATGAGAGTTGTCAATTTCCGTATATTTTTCTGGAAACATTATTTTGTCCTGAATCGATTTCAACTGTAACTACGTGAAAAAATTTCGTAATTTGTTATTCAAGATTATTTTGCTATTTCAAAATCGCCTGATAAATATATTACAAATAATATGTCAGTATGTATCATTGAAAATTATTGTATGTATTTAATAGGGTAAAAATAGTCATTTTATGATTTAATTGATTACTTCACAACCAGCTTGTGTATCTCCCGTAAAGATATTAAAACAGCAATTCAATTGAGCAATTCATCTGGTTATGCAATCTTAATCGATTGATAACAAACTGAATACGAAATCTCCTAAAAAATTGTATCACTCAACAGCATCCGAGCCACTATAACTTCACTAAGAACATTTCAAATTCGTTTTCCAGACGTAAAATGCGAATTCTTCAACCCCGGCGGTTCAGTAAAAGACCGCATCGCCCTGAGATTGGTCGAAGACGCCGAAAAACAGGGCCTCCTCAAGCCCGGCTACACCATCATCGAGCCCACGTCCGGAAACACCGGCATCGGCCTGGCTTTGGCGGCCGCCGTTAAAGGTGCCTGGTATCCTATCGAGTTCAAGACCACTTTCAATTACATTCGGCTATCCCGCAGGTTACAGGTGCGTCATCGTGATGTCGGAGAAAATGTCCAACGAGAAGGTCTCGATTTTATCAGCACTCGGAGCAGAAATCGTCAGGACTCCGGTGAACGCCGATTCGAATTCGCCGGACGGAATGTTCGGTGTGACTCACAGACTCAGCAAGGAAATTCCCAACTCGATTATCCTGGACCAAGTAAATAAAATGGCGCTCTGTTTAACTTTAGAGTGACTCTAAAGTCGCGTTTTTAGCTTGACAGATTTACGTTGTTGTTATGGAGTAACTAGGGACTCGAGACGCTATGTTAGAGTCACTCTAAAGTTAAACAGAGGCGCTGAATATGGACTAATAACTATACAGATTAGTGCAAATTTATACGCAATATCGGTGCAACAAAGACGACTTCTATTTGTCTCGTATAAAGGAAAAAGAAAGAGTGTTTTTGATGGATTGCAAACTTACTCATTCTAACCGCTTACTTTAGATGTATTTCTTTCTTCAACTCGTAGAATTGACCATATTGCAAGCAAATTTACATTTAAATGAAGCTTCATTAATAATTTTTTTACAGTACTCAAATCCTGGTAACCCGCTGGCCCATTACGATACCACGGCTGAAGAAATTTACGATCAATGCGACAAAAACGTGGACATGATTGTGAGCTTCTACTGCAATAAAATTGAATTTTTTCCTCCATAAACAACGTAATTGTCGCAGGTAATCGGCGCCGGTACGGGCGGTACAGTCACCGGAATCGGTAGAAAATTCAAGGAGATCTCCCCGAACACCAAAATCGTGGCTGTCGATCCCGAAGGATCGATTCTAGCCCTACCGGATTCTATTAATCGAACCGATGTTGGTTTCTACGAAGTCGAAGGTATCGGCTACGATTTTCTACCAACTGTACTCGATCGAAGCGTGGTGGACTTGTGGATTAAAACGAACGATAAAGAATCTCTACCCATGGCCAGAAGATTGATAAAAGAAGGACTGTTAGTGGGTTAGTAGAGTTATAGAAACGATGTTTATGAATGTGTATGACAAAACAGCCATTCTGTTTAATAACCAGCTGGTTATACAGTTGCATTTTCTGTTCTAAAGAGAGTTTTTTTGCTGTGTTTAGGTTCCAGCAGTGGTGCTGCTGTAGCAGGAGCCATAAGAGCGGCCAAAAACCTCGAGGCTGGTAAGAAAGTCGTCGTGATCCTTCCTGATAGTATAAGAAATTACATTACGAAATTCGCTTCGGACCAATGGATGGTGGCAAGAGGGTTTATCAAGCCGAATAATACTCTAAATCATTGGTAAATTAATTACTGGATTAGAAGATTGATTAAAATAATGATTGGTTTTTGCAGGTGGTGGGATAAGAGCGCATCTGAATTGAACATGGATTTGGTAAAGGTGGTTCCTGCTAGTGTTACTTGTAAAGAAGCGTTGAACGGTATGAATAAATCGTCGAATAAATACGATCAATTGTGTGTAGTGGATAAAGTTGGGTAAGGAATTTGATTAATCGAAAAGGCAATTTGCTATGTAGATATTTCCAGAAATATAATGGGCATATGTACATCGCAATTATTAATGGAAAAACTGTTGAATGGAAGGATTAAACTGAACGAGAGTATCGAGACTTGCATTATTAGAATTTATCCAAAAGTTGAAACGAATACTAAATTAAGTGTTGTGTCCAAAATACTAGAAAGAGAATCATATGTTTTGGTTCTTGATAAACAGGGTAGGATATTTTAAATCTTAATAAAAAGTTATATTACTTATAACACTAATTGTAATTTCCAGGAGATGCAGAAAAGCCAGTGGGAATAATTAAACCTTTGAATTTGCTACAATTCATTCACAATAACGAGTGAGCTAGTCCAAAAAAATGAAGAAATGATGAATTGGTCTTAAAGATTTTGAATTGAATTTGTCTATTTAGATTTAAACAATTTAAATAATTGTAGAATGCATTTATGTTTTCTGTTTTGAAATATAACTTTTGAACTTTCATTCATCTGTAGATGATCAAAAACTATTCAGAAGATCTCTTAAAATTGAAATTTCACCAAGAACATAATTCGCCATTTTATTCACACGCTTACATCATCACCGATCATCAACATAAATTAGTTTTTTTATCCATTATCTCCCGATATGAATTACAACGCTTGTGGATAATATAAGTACCTACTCTGGAGTTCACAATAGCCTCTAATTGAATTTGCGTAGGCTATTGTTTAAGATTATTGATTATTTAATGAAACATATTTCTTTGCAAATCTTAGAAACTGTATTACTGGTATACAAATAGAGCAGCTCGGTTAGTTTTTGTGCGATAGATAGATAGACTTTAATAGCTTGAAGATGGATCCTGAAATACAGAAACTTTATACGAATCGTAAGTAATACAATGCGGTGAATATTGAATTTATTCGCTGTTTTCAAAGTACTTTTCGAGCTGCAAATTATTTTGGAACAATTACAATTTATTTACTATTATAAAAGTGGATTTATTTAAAGAGTATCGCACGTGGTTTGTTGCTAAACAATTAATTTTTTATTATTCCAGTTCCCAGATTTGGGATGAGACACCAGCAAGTTATATTGCTGTTTATGTTACTTACCATAGCAGTGGGAATGAGGTTCCATATGTCTGTTGCTATCGTCGCTATGACCGATAAAACCTCCTCACCAAATCCCAATGTCCCGGTAAGTACCAGGAATAAATCCTGCATAAATCCTCACCTCGAATTCTCCCTCCTTTTCTACTACACGCCTTCGCTCATTTAGATAGTAAAGGAGCGAGAGTTCAGGGTGAGCGATCTTGAATGAAACTTTTGCATCCCAAAATTGTTTGATAAATATTTATAATTGTGTATTAAGTGATGTGGACAAGTAATTTACAACATTTACAGTTCTTTACTAAACTTATCCCACATTAGAAGTTCAAATGTTAGATAGCTTTTATGTAAAGTGAATATTTCTTTGTTTTATATTTCAACTATTCGATATTGCGCAAATTGTTTGCATTTATGTATAAAATTCCGCTAAAAATTTGAACTGGTCCCTATCTATCTAATCTTGAGTACTGTACTGAACCAATTAACAACAACAAGTTAATACCGGAGTTTATGCCGTATAAGTACTTGATAAACGATAGCTTTACATGAACTGATTACCTAAATTATTTGTTTTCTAATACCTTGTTATTTTATTGAAATTTTATGATACAAAAGAACTTAGAATCGTTATCAGTTGTAAAATAAACAAAAAATGGCATCAACGCAATACTTGTTTCCTTCACATATACAGGGTGATAAGAACTGTCTACAAAACCATTTAAAACGCTCCAGAATCATTTAGAGCTGTTGAGAACCATTTAGAACGCCCCAGAATCAATTAGAACTGTTTAGAACCATTTAAAAGAGTTAATTAGAACGCTCAGAACCATTTAAAACGCTCCAGAATCATTGAGAACTGTTGAGAACTCTTTAGAACAATTTAAAAGAGTTAATTAGAACGCTTCAGAACTATTTAAAACGCTCCATAATCATTAGAAAGCTCCAGAATCATTGAGAACTGTTGAGAACCATTTAGAATGCACCAGAATAATTTAGAACTGTTTAGAACCATTTAAAAGAGTTAATCAGAACGCTTCAGAACTATTTAAAACGCTCCATAGTCATTTAGAACGCTCCAGAATCATTAAGAACCATTTAGAACGCCCCAGAATCATTGAGAACCATTTAGAACCATTTAAAAGAGTTAATTAGAACGCTCAGAATCGTTTAGAACTGGTTCCTGATCGATTTTCTCGATTCTAGGTGTACGATTGGGACAATACAAACATCATTTTATCGTCGTTCTTCTGGGGCTACATCACTTTGCAATTGTTCGCCGCCGAATGGGGCAGAAAATACGGTTCCAAACCGTTCCTCACCGTAGCGATGGCGATCAACGCAACGGTGGAACTTTTAATTCCGCTCGTAGCCGATAAATTGGGATCCTACGGCGTGATGGGCTGCAGAGCCCTTCAAGGAATGTGCCAAGGATTCCTCTATCCTTCCGTCAGCAATTTGCTGGGCAGGTGGACGCACATCACGGAACGGTCCAAATTGGGTAGCATAGTACTATCAGGTATTATGAAGGGTTGATAAATTAATTACAGAATCTTCGTAAATGATTGATTCACACGTGAACGAATTAGAAATGAACCTAGTAAATTTGTTATGTTGATGTTGGTACCCCAAAAAATAAGTTACTAGAATACTGTCAAGTGTCATTAATGTCAACGTCAACTCTATGAAATTTCGGTAGAAATTAGAAATAACGTTTTTTTTTTCCTGTGCTTTTCCCGATAAAAACTGTGTATCAACATGTATCCTTTAATTAATGATAGGTAAAAATAATCAGCAACCTGGAGGATTAATGTTCTTACGCCACAGTGTTGATTTGTATTCAAAATAGGGACATTTCTTGAAATAAATAACAACAGTGCACTTTGGGTTGCATACATTTTTAGTTCTCGTTTGAATCAATCATTTATGAAGACTCTGTGTAATATTAAAGGTTTCAACGAAGAATTTTTCCAGGCGCTCCTTTTGGAACTATACTTGCTATGCCTCTGGTGGGTTACATTTCTTCCACGTGGTCCGGGTGGCCTCTTAGTTTCTACCTGTACGGCTCGTTGGGGTATTTGTGGGTGATACTGTTCATTTTTTTCGGCTACAGCAGCCCGGCTCAGTGTAAAAACATTTCGGAGAATGAAAGAAGGTTTATCGAAAGCTCTTCTAATATCAAAAAAGAAAAGGTAAACCGAAATGTCACCTTGAAGACTGATAATTCACGCATTAGTTTGCAGTACTTGTAGCGATTTCTATTGATTCCTCGTTTTCAGATGGTTATTCCTGTTAAATCGATTTTGACGAGTTTGCCGTTTTGGGCGTTGTTTTTCTCGCAAGTCGGGCAAATTTGGGGCTACAATACACTCATGACGGAAATTCCGAACTACATGAACAAAGTCATGGGATTTGACATGAAATCGGCAAGTGCGATAGAGATTTCTAAAAGCCAAAAAAATCTTAATTTTCTAATTACTTTTAGAACGGTCTTTTATCGGCTACTCCTTACGCCGCTTGCTTTTTAATGTCGTATGTGTTTGGAAACACCAGCGACTACCTAATAAATAAAAACTACATATCCAGGACTACTGCGAGGAAACTATTCAACGGAATTTGTAAGCATTATAGCGTACGAAAATACCCGAACGCTCGAGTATAACGTTTCGTTAAATCATTAGCAGGATTCGGTGCTGGTTCCTCCTTGATAATCTTAGGGTTCCTGCCTAATACCATGAAAAGTTTATCCGTCGTAATGCTGGTGTGCGCTGTTGGAATCCAATCAGCAGCTACCAGCGGTTACCAGATAAACCACATCGATCTATCGCCGAATTTCTCCGGATTACTGCAATCGATTTGCAATAGTTGCGGCAGCATGCTGTCTATAGCTGCACCTGTTACCGTTCAATTAATAGTAAAGGACGAAGTAAGTACAGGCGGTGCAAAACAAATATCAATCACGTCACCTATGATTTACTACGTCACAAGTAGGAAGTGTTGCCGAACTTTTGTAGAGTTTACGAAATCTGAGAATTTTCTTAAATTGGCAAATGGCAAAATGGCGAGAAGAAATTGAAAATTAGGGTTACCTGTTTTACGTTTCTAAACGTTTCTTCTAACAACTTCCATTAGACATTTATAAAAGAAAGAGTGACATTTGCGACTTTTCACTCTGACAGCTGTCATTTTTTATTAATCTTTCTTTGTTCAACTCATAGAAACGACCATGTTGCGGTCTGAATTGAAGCAATCGATCTACAAACGTCAAATTTTGACAATATATATTTTTTTGGATGATATAATTCTACTTTTCAACATTTTCTATCATCATTTGTTAATATTAAATTAAATTCTACATAAAAATACACCTTGCTCCATTTCCGATTGCAATATGGTCATTTCTATGAGTGGAACAAAGAGTTTATTAAAATGACAGTTGTAATGACAGAATGTCACTCTTTCTTTTTCCTTTGTAGGTGTCTAATGGAAGTTGTCTTTATCGCACCCATGGCCTATATAACTTATATTGCAATCAAAAATGGAGCAACATGTATATTAAATTCGTATTTTTCTAGACTGATAAAGCCGAATGGCGGATAGTTTTCATCATAGCGGGATTGATGTACATTGTGCCGAGCATTACATATTCCATTTTTGCGGCGGGAGTTCGACAGAAATGGGACGGGGCCGATGATCCTGTTACAGCCCACAGGAAATCCGTGGAGGCCCGGGCTAAAAAAGTATCCGTTTGGTCCATTATGTCTACGTAAATATTTTTTAATAAGAGAATTTATTTTTAATTTAACGTGACTGTAATTATTTATTATTTATTATATGTGTGCAATTTGCGATACAAAATTAACTGAGGTGTCATTTGTCAATTCGTTTTCCTATTCGAAAAGTTGAATAAAAAATATGAAATTTTGTATACACTTTTTAATTATTAAGGAGCATTTTTTGAGGTGAAAGATTTTATATTTAAAAAAATACAAATAAGGAGATATACCTACGATCAAATAAACAATTTGAGTAAATAAAAAAATCCTAAATACCATACAAACAATTCCAAGTGTTGATTGTTGTGAATAACTTCACAAAGCACTTCATTTTCCAACAAATTTTAATTATTACTTGTAAATCAAATTAAAGATAATCGAAATAATCGTTTTATTAAAATCTTTAGATTATTATTTAGTATCGAATTTCAGATTAAAAACCATTTAATCTGTAACTAATTGAATTTAATAGTCGACAGGCGCGAGAAATTCGATAAAAATTTCTATCGAAGGTGTTGCATAAAAATGACGACGATTGTAGGTAAGTGAAGTATTTTTCGGCTCAAACGACTTCTCTAAAAGAACTCGATGAATATCCATTAATAAATCATCTTCCTCTGCACTTTTCTACAAGCATCTTCTAAGTGCTATAATGGAATCTAATTTTACTCTCTTTTATGGATTTTAAATGGATTTTTTTCCTAGGGCCTCGATTTGGCAAAAGGCACATACAAGTAGCCCTAATGTTTTGCCTCCTTTCCATTGCATTTGCAATGCGAATGCAGCTCAGCGAAGCCATGGTTGCGATGACGTCGCGAAAAAATCCAGTTTCCCCGAATCCCGACGTGAAAGTAAATATTTACCCATTCTTAGTTAAATTTAAACGTTAAAAAAATTCATATTTAATTTTCGAGCTGTTCGATTGGGACAACCAGAGCGTCCTGCTCTCGACCTTCTGGTGGGGGTACCCGTGGTTGCAAATTTTAGCAGCGAACCTGGGCAGGGTTTATGGGACGAAGTACTTCTTGATTGGCGCGATGGTGGTGAATTCGACGTTTTGTTGCTTGGTGCCGTTTTTTACAATAAAATGGGACTCGACCGGGTTGATTGTGATAAGGATACTGCAAGGTTTGTCGCAGGGTTTCTTCTATCCGTCCTGCAATAACTTGCTCTCGGTTTGGAGTCCCGTTTCGGAGAGGGCTACTTTGGGAAATATCGTATATTCCGGTGAGTTTATATATACAGGTTGCTCCATTCTTGATCGACTTTTTCGTTATTTGCAACATTTCGTCGCTTTTAATGAACGGGAATAAAAGAAATTAGCATAATTCGCACAATTACATATTTTCCGATCCTTTATATTTACTAAAAACCGAGAAATGATTAAATTAATTTACAAAAAAAACTTACACAATGACAGCGGCGTAGAACAAACTTCGAACTGTCAAACTTGTCATTTCCGTTGCTACGGGATTGACATTTAAATTTATGTACAGGGTGGTTTTTCTTTAAGGAAATCGGAAAAATTGATATACGGGGTGTTCAGCGAGTCAAGGTTATAAATCTCTTTGAAAATGGGGTATACAGGTTGTTCCATTTTTTATCACAACATAGCTTATATAGGCCATGGGTGCGATAAAGACAACTTTCATTAGACATTTACAAAGGAAAGGGAAAGAGTGACATTTGTGTCATTGCAACTTTTCACTTTGACAACTGTCATTTTAATAATCTTTCTTTGTTCCACTCATAGAAATGGCCATGTTGCAATCGGAAATGTAGCAAGGTGTATATTATTGTACAATAATTCATTTCATATTTGTTAGGTGCTTTCTTTGGTACTATCATAACAATGCCTTTGGTGTCGCTTTTTTCAACTACTTGGTACGGATGGCCTCTTTCTTTTTACGTTTACGGAGTCGTTGGTTACCTGTGGGCTATTGCATTTTATTTTTTCGGAGCGAGTTTTCCTTCTTCTCATCGGCATATCACAGTCGAAGAGAAAGAATACATAGAGAAGAACTTGGATTCGTCCAAGGAAAAAGTAAGTATTTGAAGGAAGTGAAAGGAAGTGAGGTACTCATTTATTTAATTTGTAGATGAATATACCGTGGTTGGAAATTTTAAAAAATCGCCCGTTTTGGGCGGTTTTTGTGGTGCAAGTCGGGCAGTTTTTTTGTAATTTGATATTGATGTTGGAAACGCCGTTGTATTTGTTTAAAGTGATGAATTTCGATATCGAATGGGTAAGTGTATACTCAATAATTTGCGACAAATAGATAGTTATGCTACTGAAATTTAATAAATAATTGCATTTTTCTAGAATGGAATTTTAAGTGCCGCTCCAAATGTTGCAAGTTTCCTCTTTATGATAATATTTGGGACCATAGGAGATTATCTGATAAACAAAGATATATTTAAGATTCAGTTTTCTAGAAAATTCTTCACTACAATAGGTAAATTTTTAACTTCAATAAGTTTCCTCAGTTAATCGTTGCGTTTTTATTTTATTCAAAAATCTTTGAATCTTTGAATCTCAAAAAGATTCGAATTTTTTGAGAAAGAATTCAAATTCAATCATTGAGAGATCAAAAAAGCAAATATTTAACCTTACACCTATAAACTGTGTAATTTTTTAAGATTTAATTACAATTGTAATTTTTATCAACATTTTGGTAGTTATCTAATCTAAACCTTGGATTTAATTGTTTCTAGGCACCATTATATATGCACCACTGATATAGCTTCTGCCATCAAAAACAATGAACTATTTCAAACTCATTATCCTAATTTTGCCATAATTGATGAATGAAATCATTATTTGATGAACAGTATCTTATTTTTCAAACACATATTAGTTATGAACAAAGTGACGCCTTTTTTTTCAGTTATCTTTTCCATCTGCACTAGACATAAACAAAATTTGATGATAATAGTTATACTATTGTAGATTATACCGATGGAGGGTGTCTAATTATCTGATAATTGTGAATACAATAAAATTATACCAATTATTCGAAACTCGTTTTTAGGTTCTTTAGTACCGGCGACATCTCTGTTGATCCTGGCGTTTTCGCCGAAAGAAGCGAAAGTTTTATCTGTGTTCATGCTGATACTAGCGGCAGGAAGCGCCTCAGCATGCGGATCAGGAGCCGTCGTGAATCACATCGATCTATCGCCGAATTTCGCCGGGGTTCTGCTCGGTATAATCAACACCAGCGGCACTTTCGTTTCCATCACAGGACCTCTGGCGGTCCAAGTCATCGTCACGGACGAGGTAATTCAATTATTAGGTATATTCGTTAATTTAAAGATTATTTCGAACTTATTGTAGACGGATAAAGACCAATGGAAGATCATATTCTGCATTGCAGCAGCGGTGTATGTAATGCCTTGGGTAATATACACGATATTCGCTTCGGCAGAAGTTCAGAAATTCGATGGTTCCCCATCGGAGAACATCATCGAAAGGAAGGAAAGACTCAAGAAACATTCTGTGATATCTATAATGTCTATGTGAGAGATTGTTAAGCTCGATGCGTGTTATAATTTAATAAAAATACTCGTTAACTTTGTAAATAACATTGTAAATATATTTCGATAGTTCTAAACAAAAAAAAATCAACGAGTTAAATTAAAGAAGAGGAAAAAATCTGTTGCAAAATTTTTGGTAATTCCGCCGTGTTGTTGCATATAAATGCTCGACCAGCCGGTAGTTGTTTTGTTAACCTAAAAAATAGAAATGAATAAATATACAGAGGGAATAAAGCTTGTGCTCATTAAACATTTCCAATTTTTTATACACATAAGTGCAAATTTCTACGCAATATCATCAAAGGGTGCAACAAAGACAACTTCCATAGTCTCATATAAAGGAAAAAGTAAGAGCGATATTGTGGTATTGAAACATTCTCACTCTAACCGACTGTTTCTTTGTTCAACTCGAATTGTTCTGCTCAATTAATGGATTAATCGGTGTAATTACCTTTCAGCTTGATCTCCTAAACTTCCAATGAAAATGGCGTACGATCTGACGTCAGGTCTCGAAGACATCGCTTTGGCCAATTCGGACGGGGGAATCCCGTATCTCTGGAGATTCGCATCGGACAAAACGATCACAATAGCTTCATCGTAATCTTCCGTTTTTATACTATCTATAGCCCATTTGGTGGATTCTAGCGTATTATCGCCCGACCAGCAGAATTGCGAATGGGCGTGCATCAACTGAAAATTTATTTTTAAATAGAAACGATTTTATTTTCTTATTTAACCGCTTTTACCCTAATGACGTTCAATCTCTCCATATTATTCTTAGGCGGATCATCCTTCTTTACGAACGATAAATTGTACTCTTCGCCCGAATGGCCGATAATATCGTATCGAATTTTCTGCTGTAGATTCTCGAAGGCCTCCATCACCAAAACGACGGCCTCCAACTGTCTGTCCAAACGGCCATCGAACGAATTGAACCTGTACATGCTGCCCGAAACGTCCGAGACCACTCGGAATAATTTCGGTTTAGCCGGAGGGGCCCCCAACTCGCTTTGTTTCTCCGTGCGACGTCTGTAAATCGATTTTTCGCCGAGCAAACCTGAAACAAAAACACGGAGTGAAAGAATTTGTGGAGCAGAGTAGAACATGTGAAAAAATAACGGTTATTTTGTAACACCAGTTACTGCACCTCTATACCGAAAAAATTATTACCACCTCTATTAAACTGCTGTCATACGAAACGTCATTAATGTCAATTTCGATTTTTATGATGTACATATCATCGAACGCATCTTAAAGTCCTACTAATGCGAAAAAAATGCGAATTTCTTTGAATTACCGTCAATTAATTTCCCGTCGTCCAATTCGCCGGACGTCTGATGCCTGTGCCATTGCCTCTCCTCGTTTTTGCTCTGCAAATTGCCCAAAATCACTCTCAACGAGCGCACTTGATTTCGCACGGCGTCGGAGAATTGCGCGTAGACCGAAGCGTCGTAGCCGCTCATTCCGATTTCCTTCAGTTTCTCCCGGAAATGTTTCCTGTTCATTTCCCTGGCCGCTTTTCGAACGTGTTCGGGCACGGAGTTCTTTTCTTCGTCCGATAACTGGAAATTATCGAGATTCGAGACGCGCTCTTTAAACGATCGATTCAAGACGGAGAATAATTAATGGAAAAAGGGGAAACCTATGCTCAATTAACTCAAAAATGAACAGAATAGAGAACGATTGAAAAGTGTAAGATAAGAAGTCCAGCAATGGACTGATAAAGGTTTCTAGAAGAAGAAGAGTGAATCTACCTGATGCACTTGATGTCCTTTATCCAATCTATAGGGTCCCCCTTTGCCTCCAAGACCAGCCGTATCGCGTCCTCCCGTTCCCCCAGCCCAAGTGTTACCTCCCACGTGAGGTTCGTTATTCGGATCGTCTTTACCGTGTTTTGGTCCTTTCACATCCAAACTGAAATCACAGATTATCATTGACAGTGTTTTGAAGGATTTAGAAGGTGTACTTACCCGCTTTTTCTGTTTATAGCCATTTTAAGATATTCTTTGGAGCGCTTCTTGGCGACGTATTCGGATGAAGTAATATTCTTATCGGAGAAACCGTGTTTTAGTAATATTTCTCCAATCGTTTCGACCATTTCAGGATTGTATCGATCGAAATCGAACACGTTGAAAATCACATCTTCTAAGTCGGATTCGGGAAATTTCTGCAACGTTAAATCAAGTATTCCAGCGAATTAAATAGCAGCAGAGCAGAGCAGAGCAGAGCAGAGCAGAGCAGAGCAGAGCAGAGCAGAGCAGAGCAGAGCAGAGCAGAGCAGAGCAGAGCAGAGCAGAGCAGAGCAGAGCAGAGCAGAGCAGAGCAGAGCAGAGCAGAGCAGAGCAGAGCAGAGCAGAGCAGAGCAGAGCAGAGCAGAGCAGAGCAGAGCAGAGCAGAGCAGAGCAGAATAGGACTAGAGTATAAAATGCTTTGTTGTAAATAAAAGATCCCAAAAAATCGCCTACTTGTAAATGCTTCACGATATTCACAAGTTCTCTGGTGGAATACGGATAATTGACGATCCCGCGATCCGACAACGTCCTTAAATCGCCGAAAATATCCAAAAGTCTCCCGATGGCATCTTCGTCGACGTCCGGTCCGTAACGCTTCAGCAGATCCATTTCCGACGATCTGGACGGATTATCCACCGAATGGCTGGCGAACAGGTCGCCCAAAGACCCGAAAAAATCGTTACCTGGAATTCAGCAAAATGAACCTTTAAAAAAACTAATTTTTCCAATCACTTAGTCACATATACACCTTGCTCCATTTCCGATTGCAACATGGTCATTTCTATGAGTGGAACAAAGAAAGATTATTAAAATGACAGTTGTCAAAGTGAAAAGTTGCAATGACACAAATGTCACTCTTTCCTTTTCCTTTGTAAGTGTCTAATGAAAGTTGTCTTTATCGCACTCATGGCCTATATAACTTATGTTGCGATCAAAAATGGAACAACCTGTATACCCCATTTTCAAAGAGATTTATAACCTTGACTCGCTGAACACCCCGTATATCAATTTTTCCGATTTCCTTAAGTAAAAAACACCCTGTACATAAATTTAAATGTCAATCCCGTAGCAACGGAAATGACAAGTTTGACAGTTCGAAGTTTGTTCTACGCCGCTGTCATTAGTGTAAGTTTTTTTTGTAAATTAATTTAATCATTTCTCGGTTTTTAGTAAATATAAATGATTGAAAATATGTAATTGTGCGAATTATGGTAATTTCTTTTATTCCCATTCATTAAAAGCGACGAAATGTTGCAAATAACGAAAAAGTCTCTCACTTTGGTGTAATTCCGTTCGAACCAAACGAACGGGCAACTTTCGATCAAATAATCTAATTAGAAAGCTGTCAAAAATTTCAATTTTATTCACTGTTCCAAATCGAATTATGGAAAAATCGAGTTTTTTTTGGCGAAAAGAGGTAGATTTTCGCAATCGGCGAATTTTTTAACGTCCCCCTTTTGTACCTCTGTATGCCCCAGGAATTCTTCTTTTTAATTCGATCCCCAATCAATCGTTAACGCCTATCTTTTTATAAATATAGGAACAAACCTTGTATACACCTACCTAAAAATGGAAAACCGGGTCTATTAGCCAACACGATCAATCTAAAATCCGGATGGGCGACGATCACCTTCTCAGAATCCCCAATTCTCGCCACTCTACCATCGACAATCCTCCGACCGTCGCTCAAAATCATCTCGCCGGATTCCACCAGCGTTTTGAGCACGCAAGTAACGTGCGTGGGCGCCTTATCGGCCTCGTCGATCACCAAAACGTCGCCGTTTTTCACGGCCTTCACCAACGCGGAATCCTCGTGCAACAGCACACCGTCCACGATGGTCGGTTGAACCGTCAGCGTTTGCACGGTGGTGTCCCTGTGCAATTGAATATACTCCCTAGGCCGGTTTAACAGATGTAAGAACCTATCGACTATTTTGTTTTTACCTACCCCTTGATTGCCGACCAGCAACAAGTGGTAGCCCAATTCGAAATCCTGCAGCATTTCCTCCATGAGGGCCACGTGCTGGGGCACGTCGTAGAAGAGAGTGTCGGGGACTTTGGAGGAGTTTTCGGTGCGACGTACGTCGCAGATTGTCTCGCCTATAGTGAGACGTCCGTCGATGATTTCGCAACGTACGATCGAATGACTTTCTTCCATTGGTAATATACCGATGTTTGCAATGGTTTTTTCGAGCGCTTCTCGAGCGAGGGTAGGTAAAAATTTGATCATGAAAGCCGATTCTACGATTTCGTGCACGTTTTCGTTCGGGTATTTGCGCATTTTCGCGGCGATCTGCAGGATTTTCCTCGTCGATAGGTGGCCGGAGAGGCTGCGCAGCGTCGCGTCCGGGCTGGATCTCAACACGTGCGCCAAGTCTATCACTTGCTGTAGCGGCTTCGATATCGTTCCGACCTTAAAAAACCAATCATAAAGAACATACACTAGAAACTAGAGAATCAGACTTACCAGGGATCGAACGATGTGCATCTCCTCCGACTTGGTCAGGCTTCTCATTTCGTGGAAAACGAACAGATTCAACATTTCGGATGATAACCAACTCGGCGTATCGGATCTCGCGTTCGACGGCTCTCCTATCGCTATTATCCTGAAATCCGGATGGATTTCGAACACTTTCCTTTCGGCCAATTCGGTTTTACCGAGACCGTACTGGTTTCGAAGAAATTCGCAACGTTCCCGGTTAATCAGCCGCGTCCCGTCGTGCAATTGGATTTCTCTATCCTGTACCAATCTGAAATGCAAAAAAAAATGTATTATACACAAGGCGTTTATTGAGTACTTGCACAATACCTGTACCGGACAGTTCTAAAATATTGTTTTGTACAGTTCTAATTCGTTCAGAAGCGTTCTAAATCATTCTGGACAGTTCTCAAAATAATTCTGATTGGTTCTGAATTGAGATATACAAGTTGTTGGTTAAATTTATCCACTACTATTACACAATAAAAGAGAGTAGTTTAGTGTCAATATTTGCGATTTCTTAGGCATCTGACCGTAACTTATCCAATCTAATAAACTCACCTGTATAATATAGTCAAAGTGCTGGGATGAATGCGATCGATACCGTCCAAAACGGTGATTTTCCCTTCCAAAGCGGCTTCTATCAACGGCGAATTCCTCCAAACCGTATCGCCGTTGCTCAGGGTCACCCGTTGCTGGATCAGATCCCTCGAAGTCATGTCCTGGTACAACGGAATGGTCTCGATCGGTTTGTTCGATTTATCCGCTATCATATTCGCGATGGTGTTTTTTCCGCAACCTCTCCTACCCACGATGCACACGTCTCCTATTTCGATGGAACTCGTGATTTTCTCGATCAGTTCCCGGTGATATGGTAGATCTACGAACGACTTCGAGGATGATTTCGCGTTTGAAATATCATCGGAGAAATTCGTTTGAGAGTGATCTTGTTGAGGGGGTTCTACTTGTAGTTTGATTAGCATGTCTTCCAAGTCGTTGAGGCCTTCTTTTAGGAAGGTTTTGTAGGGGTACAGTTGGTAGATGACTTCGTAGGGCGTCAGGCTGGGGTTTTTCTCCTAAAAATAAATGATAAAATAGCTCATACCTTTCATTTACTGATCTCATTAACGTTGATATGGGGGTATAAACTTACGAGAATCAGGGCTGCCGAAGGTAAATTATCCAAAGGGAAATCCGGATGGCCCAAAGAGGTGAATTCTTCATTGACTAGAGCAAAGGCGCAGGATAGAATTTTTTCTAATTTTTCTACGGGAGCGCCAGGGGCGATTCGTCGTAGCAAATCGTACCATTCCTAAAAAAAAAAGAAATAATGATTGATCAATATGTTTCGAATAAGCAGGAAATGTTCGACAAAAACTCACCTGATAATTGTAAGTGTATACATCTCTTACTTGAAATCTCGACCTCAACGGAGGATCTAAAGGATTACCTCTGTATCTGAAAAAAGGAATATTTTATTTCTCGAAAATTCCGAAAATCCATCACTAAATAATGTACTTACTTTGGAACCGGTAAACCCAAGGCTACCACTCGGAAATTTTCGTCTACTTTAACTAACTTCCATTGGTCCAGTTGATCTTCTCCGTGTTCCTAAAAATAAATTATAAATTAGTTGTAGTCGGGTACTTAGAGAAGAGTAAATACGCTTCTGGAACGCTCTAAAATCTCTTTAAAACAACTCTAAAACCACTCCAAATACGCTTCAAAAACTCCTCTGCTACTCGACAACTGACAAGTCCTTTAAAACTTCCAGAACTCTACAGAAGCAGTTCAAAAAAAGCGCCACAAGGGAGGTTTGAAACGGTACAAAGAAATCCTTTCGATTTCAATTCCATCGAAACTCACCTCGAGCAGCCTGTCGTATCTCGACGGGGAAATCAACATCCTCCCGTCCTCCAAATGCATCTCCCTGTTCTCCAGCAAATTGTTCAACACCGGCAACACGTTCCTCTCGGCCTTTTCGATGCCCTCCAGGACGAGCACTCTGCCTTCGACGGCCGCTCGGACGGCGCTCTGGTCGAAATATTTCGCCGTACCGGCCACGATTTCCCTCCGCTGTTTCAAATCCGATTCGGTGGTGTCGCGGCTGATGGCGACGTACTCGTGCTCGCCGCCGATCAATTCCAGATACTGCATGGCCAAGCGGCGCTTCCTCGAGCCGGGCGGGCCCAGCAGGAACACGTCCTGCTGCAGAAGGTCCTTTTCCAGCATCCATTTCAAATGGTGCAAGTTGCTCTGGGGGATGTTCTCGAAATCTGAAGCGAAATTAACCGATACTGGACGCTTGTGACTTGTACGAAGCCTTATGCTTACGGTATTTCCTCGGAACGTACTCCGGGCGCTTGCTTTCGTTTAGTTTTTTAACGACATTTCCGATCGCAATGGTATCTTCGTTGGGTCCTTTAGAGGCGTATTTTCTGAACAAGTAGCGGCCTAAGATTGTTTTGTCGTTGTTAAGTAGAATTACGCGAACTAGTTTACTTTTTGTTGGTAAACATAACATTGTTCACGATATTATAATCATTCCTTGTTGTGACATTTATTGTACTATTTAATGCAATAACGAGCGAATACGAAGAAACAACCGAACCGTATGTGCACACGCGGAAAATTAACTATAATAAATAGAAAATACAAAGTTCAAATTTACGTAAAATCCGCGATTGACTTTTATTTTTTAGGTTAGGTTACTTCTTCTTTTCTTGTAAAATCATTGTTTTCGAAAATGGCTGTATTACCTCTGTTTCCTTTTCAATGTGCCACCCTGTATACTTTGAGTGCAATATTTTTATCGAATTGCTCTAATTTAAAAGTAAATTCAACTATTCAGATGAATTGAATGGCTGCCATAAAGACACTGTAGCACAAAAGGCCAAAAATTTAAAGGTTAGGTATGCATTTGTCAAATGAAGTGCACGTCAAAAACTGAGTTGAATATTTTTAGGTGTTTATTTACAAAATTCATTACGAATAAATTATTTGCTACTAAAAAACTACGTGTTAATGCCGTATTTGGACTTCATCTTGTCGATTTCCTCCTGCTTCTTATCGATATCGGTCTTCTTGAATGCCTTGTTAGCTTGATAGTAAAGGACCACCAGGTATCTGTTGCAAACGTTGAAGCCCGACAAGTGATCGCAGGCGTTTTTGGCGTCGAAAATGTCCTCGAAAACGACGAAGGCCGTGCCCCTCGTTTCGGGCGTGTTGCCCACGCGTATCTGCCGGATGGCCCCGTACTTACCGAAGATATCGTACATTTCCTCGGCTGAAATCTTGTAGGGCAGGTTCCTCACGTAGAGGATCCGGTTGATTTCGGGCGGGAGGCGCACGTTGGCCTTTCTTTGCATGGCCAACGCCATTTTTATCGGTTTTCGGTGAGTATTTTTGCTTGTTTATGGGTTTTTAAAGTACGATTTATCACGATGTATACACACAAGAATGGTTTGTTGTTGTGACTAATGACTTGTGACAAGTGACGTTTGGAATTCTATCTGTTATGGTGTATGCCTTTACGGGAATTGAGCACAGGTTTTTGAAATTGGGTTGGTTCTCAATGTTTATTTTTTATCAGTAATTTATTATGAGTTATTAATTAAAAAAAAACACCGATTTAACTGTGTATTTTTGTATTCCATTTGTCATATATGTTGACCAATGTGTGGTTAAATAGTTCCGGTAGCTTGGTCCAATATCCCGGGAAAGAGAAAGAAGAAGAAAAATATGAAATATCAACAATCAACAGTTTGGTAATAATAAGGTAAACGTGTATTTGTTTATTAGTTTTAAATCGAAAAGAAATTGTACAAGTTTAAAAAAATCACATATTATAATTAAACAACAAATTAATCTCTAATTTACATTATTGTCTTTTAATGCATTAGTATTACCTTGCCGTTTTTTGTAAGAATAAATCATCGAGATTCGGAATGTACGGGATCCACAAGGAATGCAATAAAATGGCAGTGTGATATCCATCGCAATATCAAAATATAATCTCCATAAAAGTACTTCAATTCACTACCATCGCTTCGTCGGGCTTACAAACCTTTATTGAAATAAACCTCGACCGGGACGCGCTTCGAACTCTTCTTTATGCTTTCCTGCAAATGGCGGAATTAAGAAAACAAACAGAGTGAATACCAAAAAAACCTATGCAAGATCACCGTGAACAAATCAAATGCAAATCACCGAAGATCCTGAAGGGCCATTAAACCACTTACTTTCAACTCGGGCTCCAATTGCTCGAACGGAATGCTGGCCTTTTGCTTGAAGAACGCGCAGGCCAACGGCGTGGCGAATGTCAAGCACAGTCCCAAGGCCCCGACGGAGGCCGGCAACACCAGCCACGGGTGTCTGCGCAACAATCCCTTCTTCTCCAGCGAATTCATTATCACCGGCGTTATAACTAGCCCAGAATCGATCAGTTTCGTAAATAATCCGCCATGTTTTTCAGCTATAGGTACTCACCCATGCCCGGCAGAGCCATGAAAATCCTGCTGAACGTCACCTGAACGATCCCATTCTGAGCGGCCGCTTTGGAGTAGCCCAGCTTGTTGTTTTGCTCATCATACACAGGCGTTCCCTCTTTCAATTCCCTAATAAAAGCGAGTGAATCAGTAGATTTTTTTTGGGTTTTTTAGAGTCTACTTACTGCGCCCTCATCATGGGTATGTTGATGCAATTCGCTGCCGCTACAGCCACAAAAGGCACCATCCTGCCTATCAACTGGGGCATTCTCTAAGGGGAAAGATCGAGGAAATAGATCAATGGCAGTTAGTTATACCTTTGTTTACCTTTGTCAGACTGTTGAGGCCGAGGGCCGTCCCGACGGCGCCGCCGGTGGCGCAAACGTACGACGTCAGAATCTGGCTGGGTGCAAAGAATATTATTTTAATTATATACAGGGCGTTAGGCCGATGCTTACGTGTCGCTTTGGGCCAAATCGCCGCTTCGGTTTGTGTAGTTGACCAAAGCGTTGAAGGATTGATTGAGCCATTGCCAGAAGACGACGGCCGGGGTGCTCTTGTAGAAGGTGATCATGCCGCCGGTGATGAGCATGTTCATGGGCACCTGGGCGGACATCCTGCCTAAAATGTTCATCTTCTCGCCGGTGTCCGGATGGAAGGCGGAATCGTAGAGGTTCTTCGCCTTCCAGAGGGCGTTCTCGTCGATGTTCGGGACGTTCTCGCCGGACCTGGGGGATCGATGGAGAAGATTACGATGGTGTGGAAATCGAGGGGGTTCTATGAGGATTTTGGAATGGGAAGATTTATGTATGGGCTCCAGTAGAGAAGATTATTGTGTGATTGAAAATGTAGAAATTGGAAGGGGTTTTTAGCATAGGAAGATTGGTATGTGTGTCCCGTTAGTGTCATTCTAGTTTCTGGATCAATGGAGAAAATGATGGTGTGAATGAAGATGTAGAAATAGAGATGGTTTTATTATTATCTTACCTGTATTTCCGTACGATTTCCCTGGCATCTTCGAGCTGCTGGTTCGTGGCGAAAATATTCAAGGGATTGGTGGTGAGGAAGAAATGCCTGGCCCGTCCTGTATAAGTGTTTTGATCATACCTGGGCTGGTCAAGGTTCACTTTGATCTGTCCCGTTCCTTCCGCGACCATCGGGATGTCTGGAAGAATACAGGGTGAAACGTGAAAACAAATTACAACATTGTTGTTTAAAAAAATACAAGGTGATAGAAGAAGAATGCAAGGTGAAGCGCGATAAAGAATATTAAAATATCGTTTAATTGTCTACTTGCAAGAGATTATTATTTTGTATAATGACGTGCGCGCGTTGACGTTTGTGCTGTCGCGGTGGAATTTTTTCGATTTAACAATGGATAATTTTATTGTTGATAATTCTCGACGCGTTTAAACGGTATGGTATTTGCAATTCGAATTATTTTTCAAAACGTTTATTTTTCAATTTCTACTATTATTTCACTATCTATATTATTAATTGTTGCCTTGTTCAAATTTCCAATCGTTAATGAAACTTTATTTATTCATCCTTAGTACGTTATAAATTTACTTAATAAATTTTTGTTTTGTATGTGAGAAAAAAAATCTTATATTATGTAAGATATTTTGTAACAAATTTTGTCAAATTGCAATAGCAGAGTTGATAGAGACGTTTGCGTTTAATCTTCATGCCCTCGGTTCGAATCTCAGCCACACCATTGGTTTTTTTTTATTTTTAAATAATTTTTAATGCTTTAAATCTTATTCTTTTGCCTATACTTGACGCGTTTGGAAGACGGAGTAATAAACACATTAATCAGCCGAAGTCCACCCGGGGTGTAAACGAGTCGCCGGTATCACTCACTCCCCATTGGCCGGCCTAAAAGTTGATACTTTGTGAATGGTTTTGAGTAATTGTAGGCGATGTGCGAAATTTCGATCGATCGAATCGATCATTGTACAGGATTTTTCCGTACTGGGGTAGGTATAATTTGGAACCGCCTGACATTTTTATTACTCCGTCTTCCAAACGCGCCAAGTATACATAAGTACGAATTGACTTTAAAATATTTTTTACATTAGTTGTTTTTTAAGAGATAACAAAAATCGCGATATTAATTAATAAACAATATCACTACGTAATAATTACATAAAATAAACAATAAAGAATCTACACGTACTTACCTTGTCTGTTAATTAATAGATAAACAGGTTTTCTATATTAGGAATTATAATATAGAGAAGTGGAAACCAATCGATCGACCTTTTTTTCTCTTTTCCTTGGAACGGTTATTAAAGTATTAATCGAAGTGATAAGGAATTAAAATCGTTTAGCGTTGATTGTGCAACTCGTTCGGGCGATAATGCGATAATAATTTGGAAAAGTAAATAAAATGATTTAAGTTGCTGGTGTGTTTTCGTAATATTAAAGACCGATAATTGAGCGCATGCGCCGTACCGGCGACGAGTCGATAACGGTGTTAACATTAGACGATCGGCGCCTGCTTGGATTTTTCTTAATTTTAAACTAATATCCGATGATTTGTATTATTGGTTCAATTCAACATCGAAGAAGGTTATGAATTTTTTGTTTTAATTACCTACCTATAAATCCGTATTCAGTGAGTTATTTTTCATTTGATTAGACATTGTTTAATTTGACAGTTTTACATTGTTGTTATGGGGTAACTAAGGAGATTCTTTCAAATTGACAGTTTTACATTGTTGTTATGGAGTAACTAAGGAGATTCCTTCAACTGACAGTTTTACGTAAAAGTAATAAATGAAATAAATACCTTATAAGAATATACTTCCGAAAATAAAAAAAAAATGGGAATGTTTGGTGGGATCAAGTGTCTTCTGAAATCATATTACAAAAAATTAAAAACAAAGTTAGATTTTCGAAATATTTTATTAACATAAACGAATTGATATATGTACATACATAGATGTTTGAAAATTAACATCATTTTCTACAAAAAAAATACATAATAATAGGAATGTTAGTACGTACGAATAAAATATTGATAGTTTTTTTAATTAATTTTTAACTGCTTTATCTTGTATAATCTTTGGTAAAGTGCTGTATATTATTCGGGAGTTCCCCTGAAATTTCCTAACAATAAATCCCTTAAACATTACGAATGATTGCCCTCAGTCAAAATTACATATTTTTTAATGGTTTTAAAAGGGACAAATTGATTGCGTGTGAATTTCAAATACAAGGAATTTTCCAAAATTTTCCTAATATTTTTAAATATCGAATCACATAGGCCTTTCAGTGGACGAACGTGTTACTATTATAAGTACAAAAATTGCAGTAATATTTACATTAAGCTCGATCGGAAAAATTTACCTATTATACCAAAACAGTCTCCATTAAATCACGCTTTTTAAATTTTACCCATTTTTCAGTCCATTTTCCTACTGAATAAATTCATCTAAAAAAAATCACCTCGATACACGCTAGGTATAGAACATTAGTAAAAAAACCGCTTTGATAATAAACAATAAAATAAAAAAAAACTTAATACTTTCCTTTTATACAAATATATCTTATTATTTAGGGTTTCTGAAATATTTTGGCTCGCAAAAAACCCATCAAACTACAAAGTAAAATGTACTTTCTTGGGACTTTTAATCCGTCAAGATCTCGCCTTGGGCACGTTCTCGACGAACTGCCCGATGATATTTCCTCGGGGCGAGTAATTCCCCACCACGTACGTTTGCCCCTTCTTGTTCTTAGCAATACCTTCAACAAAACAATTCCAATTATCACAAAAAACAAATAATAATCAAGAAGCCCCTCACCGATTCCAAATTCAGTGCTGCCACGCCAAACAACTTGGGTGAAATGCAGCGTATTCCTGTTCACTCTTTCCACCCCGTATATATGGCTCTTGCACTCATCGTACCATTCCTTAATGGCGTCCCTCGCCGTGGGAGTGTGGCTGAAATCCGAGGAATACAGACAGAAAATGTTCTCGCCATATTCGGAATTCGCCCTGTGCTGTAAACTCGACGTTCTGGCGCACGTCTCGGCCCATTCTTGCGCGTAGTTACACAACTGGAATGAATATTTGCCATTTTATGCACGATTGGATTTTACAGTGAAATATAACGGTTATTTGTAACAGTCGTTACTGCACCTCTATACAGAAAAGTCTATTCCCACCTCTATTAAACTTCTGTCATTAATGTCAATTTCGATTTATTGTTAATTTTGACAGTTAAAAAAAACACTTTAAAAAAAATTCGCAATCAGAGATAAGAGATACTTACATCTTTAGATAAAGTCAAATCGGGTACTCCGTGTTTCCTCCTATACTCGTTGTGAACTTTGAGAGCATCTAAAGCGAATTGAGTGCAACCGGAAAACGTCGAAACACCGGCCTCGTCTTTACCGGAATTCGGCAACTTTTCCCCATAGAAAGCCGGTTTGACGGGCGGCACGTTTTCCACGTAACACCCCACGAAATTCCCGGCGGGCGAGTAATTGGCGACCACGTAAATGCTGCCCTGCGAGTTTTTCGCCACGCCGACGCCCAAGAACTCGCTGGACTTCCACACGACTTGCGAGAAATGCCCCGACTTCAGATCGTTGGGCTCCCGCCCGAACGGGTGCTGGGCCACCTCCTCGTACCACGTATCGACCGGCGTGTGCCCGTTGATGGTGAAATTCGGATCGGACGAGTACAAGCAGTAGATGTTCTCGCCGTAGTTGCTGCCCGGCCGGTGCTCCAGGATGTTCTTCTGCGCCAAATAGCTCGCCCATTCCTGGCTGTACTTGCACAGCTTCCTGTCCAGTTTCAACGGCGCCACGCCGTGCCTGCGTCTGTAGGCGTTGTGCGCCTCCAGGAAGTCCTCCTCGAAGCTGCCTTCGGTGATGGGGGTCGGCGATTTGGGGCTCTTCGGGGCGGTTAGGGACAGTTTCGCCACGTCGCTGGCTAGATCGATGTGATTGTTGTTGGTCGGGAAGCCGCCTAAAGGCGGTACGTTCTCGGCGAATTGCCCGATTATGTTGCCCGGCGGGTAGTAGTTGGCTACTACTATTATCTTGCCGCCCGACTTGGCGAAGGCCACTCCCAGTTCTTTGGAATCCTTCCATACCACCTGGAAATCGGGCGATTTATAGTGTTGAAATAAAGGGGACAAATTGTATCTATGATTTTGAATAACGGTTATTTTGTAACAGTCGTTACTGCACCTCTATACCGAAAAATCGTTTCTCATCTCTATTAAACTTCTGTCATACGAAATGTCATTATTGTTAATTTCGAAAGTTTCTGTCACGGCGATATAATTATAATGTCTGGAAACAGCCTGTGCTTATGCATTTAGAGAATGTGTCCCGTTATTTGAAGACTTTTTTTGAGCTTCACTTCAGAGGACCAACTTATCTCAGCCAATCAGCGTCGCGCTGCATATAAATTGCGGTTGTGTGAAATGACAGTTCGAGCTGTCAAAACTTCAAAAATTATTTTTTGACATTTCGAGGAGAAAATGGAGAAATACATTAACCGAAGATACGCGAGGCATGATGTTAACAGCAAAATCATCGCTGATGTAAGTATATTTTTATATTTTCTATCTATTTTTAGTTTGAATAAAACCTTTTTTAATGCTAATTCTATATAATTCGTACGAAAAAAACCGTGGTCCTTTACAACATCGCCTCCTAGCGGCCGTTTTAGGAACCCTGTTTTATCCCCAAATAACGGAACTTGTCCAGGTTTATGTATCATCGAACGCATCTTAAAGTCCCACATTTTTCCATCTAATGCAAAAAAAGAGTATACCAGTGTCTAGATACCTGCGTAAAATGTCCCGAAGCCAAGCTGCTGGGCTCTCGGCCGAATTCGTGACATTTGATCTCCTCGTACCAACTGTCCACGGTCCTCTTGCCCGTCACGGTGAAATTCGGATTCGAGGATTGCACGAAGAACAAATTCTCGCCGTAATCTTTGTTGTTGCTGTGCCGCATGACGCCCTTCCTGATCAAATCGTTGGCCCAATCCTGGCTGACCTTGCACATGGTTTTGTTCAGTTTCAAAGGGGGCGCTCCGTGCTTCAGCCGGTACTCGTTGTGGGCCCGAAGGCACTCCTGCTGGAACTCCATTAACACGTTCTTTTTCTATTTGTTGTAAACAGAAAAGGAAAAAATGTAATATTCATGTGTATATATAGGGTATTGTGATCTAAAATATTATTTTAAGGGGTGTAGGTACTACTGAAATGCTCGATAAAGAAATGTATTTATAGTGCAGTGTAAAATAATAAGTAACGGGAATAAGTGGGGCTTTAAGATGCGTTCGATGATTGACAATAAGATTGTTAAAATTGACGTTCTGTTGACAGAAGTTTAATAGAGGTGGGAATCGAATTTTTAGTATAGAGGTGAAATAACGACTGTTACAAGATAACCGTTCCTTTTTAAGAATCCATTTTCTACTCTATTTTAGATTTATCGAGCATTTAGTTTATGAACGTGGATTTAGATGTAATTTGCATTGGAATTAAAATACCAATTATTTAGTATCTACTATCGATAAAAAATGTAAAATTATGGGGAGTTGAGGGAACTTTTTCCAGTACCTTAACTATGTGTTTTTTAGCGGTTTTTCCAACTTTATCTGTCAAGGCTTCTACGATGTCGGGGGGGCACTTTTCTTCTTTATCTTTCGTCTCTGTGGTGATTTTGCATTCGGTTCTTTCGCCCCGGAACGTTTCGATTGTCTCTCTCGTGATTGTCTCTAATTTCGGCTCCTATAAAAAAAATAATATTAGGAAATAATTGCAAAATACATTTTTTGAAACTTTGAATCTTTCTTCTAATTCTTCTAATTTTTTTATATCCGAGAAAATAGCCCAAAAATTTTAATATTTATATTTCCCACGGTTTCCGTGAAAGCGATCAAATCGCGTCAATTATTTTTAACAACAATTTCTTTTTTGCAACAAATTTGCACGAATTTGTTCCATTATTGTTAAAGTGTCGCAACAAAATGACATTGCTTTATGGTCCGCCGATTTTGCCAACATTGTTTTTTTATTCTACGGAATAATGGTGAAAGAAAAAAAAAACGAAAAAAAAAAAAATAAAAAAAAAGAGACTTACTTTTTCAGCTAGTTACATGAGAAGTATATTAGAGTAATTGAAAGTAATTGCTGATAGAACGCTCTTTAAATATCCCAAGATTATCTCGATAGTCGCATCACAGTTATCATAATAAGTTTCAAGTACACAGGTTTGTAAATTAGTAATTGTTTTCCAGAAATTTTACTATCTCTAATTTTTATTTCTCCACTAATGCGTGTGTACAAAATGACATAATATTTTTCTATAAAATTACATGTTTTTTATCTAAAAGAAAGTACAAATCTATTTTTTAATCACGTTTGAAATTCCTCGATGTAATTCACGAAATTTTGCGGGAAATTTTTCAAATTTTCGAATAAAATATCTATTTTTTTACAACTATATCTTCCGAGTCCAGCTGTAAATTTCTCCTTGTTATACAGCTAAAAACTTTTATCCAGCTGCACTAGGGACTAGTTGGGCAGTGAATAGGATAGAGTAGGGCAATTTAAGACTGTCCTACACAATCCTACACTGCCCTACTCTATTCTACACTATCCTGCACTGTAAATACTAGTAAAATAACATTACCTACCTGTCCGTTTTGAATTGAAGCGAAGGTCCTTTGATCGGTTTTCCTGACCATCACGATCCTGCTGGATCCGTCGTGACCGTGGGCTGTTTTCCTGAACCGGTGGAGATCGGTGAGAGAGCCCGGGAAAGTCGGTTTCCTCCTGAACCAGCAAAAAAATAAATTAAATTTCGTTGAATTATCGAATTGAAATTTTTTATCACACAATTTTGTTATTTTCTAACCGGTAAGAAATTGTAAATATGTATACTAAAATAAAGAACTAACCATTCTTCTAGCAGTACCATTTCTGTGCTATACCGGAGCCAAACTGTGCACAAAGTGTGAATAAAAGCTAATACTTTTCCAATCTCGGTTCCATTTTACCGGCCATGTGTAACAAATTACACCAAAGATATACAATATAATGTTGTATAGGGGATTTTCTATTTCATATTTTACATTTATTTTTTTATTAAATTATTATTTATTATCGATTTTCGATGTGCAATATGACACGCTCTTGCATGTATCAATGCATTTTATGTTCCCACCTTAATCGATACTGCAGATGAAATACGATTAGGCAATGGGAAAATTCGTTGGGTTAGATATACAGGATGGATTATTAAAAAAGATTTTTCTAAAGAAAATCTAGCTGCTTAAATAATGTATGTTATAAAAATTTTAATGGGACTCCCTATATATTTGATTGTACAGATATTTTTTTGAAATCTATAGAATCAAACCCGCCTTAATTCATGACCTGAACCCTACAATCAATTTCAACGAATATCTAATAATTATAGTTTTGATTTTTTTCACTCTACCTTTACAACTGGATTTTTTTTCTATTACACTAATTTAGTTTTTTTTGCCGTACGGTTAGTGTAGCAGTAAATTGTTTGATTTCATACTTAATTGCAATAAGAAAAGTATATCTCATCCAATGTAGCTTGGCAGTTGAATCAGAATAGTCGAGAACGAATTGGAACTGTCTAGAATTATTCAGAACAGTCAGAAAACATTTAGAACTGTACAAAATAATTTAGAAATATAGAGAATCATTTAGAACTGTGTGCTATCGTTTATAACCGTGTGGAATGTTTTAAAACTGTCTATAAAAATAGTTTATAGATTTATAAAACATTTTTATACAACATAGAACTGGATATTTTTTCTATTATATATCCTACACTAATTTAGTATTTTTTACCGTACCTACGGTTAGTGTAGCAGTAAAAGTATTGGATTTATATTTAATTGCAATGCGCAATGGTTTCATCACGAAGTTTCGATTTCTTCGAGTTAATTGGATTTTTTAAACGGTATTTATTAGAGTCTTTTATGAAGTGTGAATTTGTAGCACGAAAATCGAAGTTAACGGCGTATTTCAGTAGAATACCGACTGTGAAATCGATATAGAAAGGAAAGAAAATGAAAATTGATTATTCGAATTTAATGATTATCTGCTACATAAATATACAAATGTAATCAAATATTATTTGATCCACATTAAGAATTCATTTAAAAACTCACCCATTGTTTTCTTCAGGAAAATCTAAACTCATCATCGAAATTTTGTATTTTTATTAACATTTTTCCGCAATATTAATAAAATATTGAATGATTGAAAGAAATAACTGAATGGATTTAGATTACTCTATATACGTACATAGATTAACCATGATATCATTTACTTAATAATAAAAATTTTATCATAGAAATTATTGGCAACCTTAGGTAAATTTTAGCGATAAGAAGTGAATGTTATAAAAATAAAATTATTTAAAAAATGTAATTTTCAAGTAGGTACTTACAGAACTTTTATTTATTTTTTACCTCCAGCAGTCTATTGACTAATTTCTAGTAGGTACAGGAATAAATATCATACAGGAATTGTAAATGGAAACTTATATCGGTTTTCCTATTGCGATAAAATTGTAGAGTCGTTTTAATTGCGATAATTTTAATTAGTTTTTGCTCGAATTCAAGTCCAATAATTACCGAGAACTTGGTAATTAAAAATTGAAAAACATGAAGGTAGAAAGATTAAAAAAATCCCAGTTATCTCGAAAATTAATTGAGCACAATTATTTCTCTACAATTTTTAAAGGGTGAAATTTTCAATCAACACCAGCTCCAGCTTTATTATTACTTTGAGATGAGATTAGGTTTAAAAATGTCGTTAAAAAAATCTCTAATTTACACTAGATTTACTCCTATTGCTCGCCTAATTTCCCACAAATTTCCTCTAATTATCACCGGCGAAATAAAATAAATTTCTCCTTCTAGCATTTACGCTTAGAGCACTTTTAGGTCAAATTCTAGACAATTCTCATTATTTTTTGTACGTCAATTATAAAAAAATACCGTTTAATCCGATTCCTAATCATGATTAAATTAATATTGTAAACATACAATAGTATACAGGGTGTTTCATTTAATATAAATACCGATAGAACCTGGCGAAATATTTTTAAAAGTTGCACCCCCAAAATACTCTGTATACAAATAAATTATGTATAAAACTCATTAATTAATTACAAATTTTTGCCTTGTTTTCCTACACACCTACATTACAAACTCTAATAAAGTTTTATCAACGTTTTACGAGCGTTTATTTTTAGATTAAAAGCGTTGTTTAACTTGAAATTTAATAAACATCGTGAAGGTTACATTCAAATATTTCCTAGTTAAAGTTTCCTAATTTAAAGACACCCTCAAAGGGTATTTTTCTCTAAAAAAAAACTAACTCAAGACTCTCTACATTTCCCTATCTCAAACGTAGAATTAGAACCTTACAAAATCCAATCAATTCGTCAGTTAATGTCCCTCACAGCTTTATTATTCTACAATGACAATCAACTATAATAAAGCGGTTAAAATTATTATCTTTCCATACAAATTCCACCCCTTTTCACTAAGTTTATTTAAATTATTACACAAACAAATAATTAAAGAATGCGGTTGCATTTCCAATAATTGTTTTCCAACACGTATTCTCGATAACCGGCGCGCGTGGAAAGCGGAAAACCTCACCGGACGTGCGGAAAAAACTCGTGAAAAACCGGGAAAACCTACCTAGGCGTGCTTGCGGCCGACATCCCGCCGCCCCCGATCGATGTTGTTGCAAACACTGCACTGAAACGAGCGAATTTTCTTCGGGAAAGCGGGAAATCGCGAGAAACCGGCGCCTCCTGCGCCTCTTCCGAGATGAGCCGGATTGCGGAAAATCTCGCGTAATCGATTAATTTTTTTGTTCCGGAAAAATCGACGATTTCCGATCTATATATTGAATTTTTTGTAACCAAAACACAACGATTAAAATTACGATTCTCGTTGAACTGACAGTAATTAATAAAATATGCCTATTCGATTTTATCGAAACGGTATTAAAAATTTGTTTTCCGAATTTCGAATTATTACAAAAACGAATTTGTTTATTGATTTAAAGGCGATTTTTAGAGCGATTTTTAAACCTTTTATTTATAACATTTAATTACTGTTTAACCTTGTCGAATGGAATCGATTGTAAAAAAATAAGTTTATCGTTTTGTATTGTTGATTAATTTTTTAATTATTGATTAAAAAACTTGGTATATTCGAAAGCCCCAACTGCTGTCAAAATGTATCTACAGATCTAAAATAGATTGATTTCAATTATGCCTAAATTATGATGCACACATGAGTAGTAAAAGGCCTCTAAAATGGGAATTTAATATTTTCCAAATTATATCTCTGTAATACTTAGTTTAAATTTAGTGTATATTTCGAGTAAATTCTTTATTCATTACCGAAAAATGTTCTCTTTACTTACATGTTTCAAACGGCGAATTTTCCTGCGGGATTTTCTCACGTTTTCCGCACGAAATATTAACAAATTTAGAAACACCGGATTATTTAAACATTTACATTTACACTAGAGCTTCGCTGCGACACAAAACACACATGGTCTGGAAATTTAAATATAGATCTAGAGAATTATATTTTGCAACTCTGATAGTGATAAGCCGGGCAATAAAAATGTATCGTAATTTAAATTGGAACTTCCTAACTATACCAATTTATATCCAATTACATTTACGGAGGTATTATTACAGGTACGATGTATAATAAATTTACTTGTTATTTTTTTATTCGTTGATTTGCGTGTATAGTTTGTTTATTTGTAGCGTTCGTTACCGATTATTTTCGACGAGAATTTTAAAAATCCCCCTTATTTATATACAGCATGTCCTTTAATATGCGATAAATATTTTTTGTTGATAAAGGATTAAATTTTTTACACAAAAAAAGGAAAAAATTGTAGCTATCTCGAAAGCAAATAATAGTAGAAACATCCTGTTTATTTTATGATTAGATACTTTACAAAATATTTTAAATAAACCTTTTGTGGGACATCCTGTATAACAGTGAAATGTGCCGATGTTCATATGATTGTCACATACAATAATGAACGTTGCATTATGAATAAATGGAAATCATTAGAAATTTCAGGTCAATTTCCTAAAGGGTCACTAAGTGTTGCAATGCACATTGAATGTGCAATATAATTTGCTGGAAATATATTATAGATATGCATTTTGTCGGTTGATATTCGTTGAAAATGATAGCATAGTAAAAATGCGAATTTTCGCGTTGATCTCAAATTGATCGGAAATCCGGTGTGTCGCAGTTCCACTCAAGTACAAGGCCAGTGTGTCAAGGTCGTTGCCAAACCCATGGTATTATCTAGTGGCACGCGATGGGGTTCGATAAAACCATTTTAAATGAGTTTTAACAGATTAAATTCCCGAATCGAATTAAAAACGAACGGTTGCGAAACAGTACGGAAGATATTAGAAAAAGTTTTAAAGAGAAAAATAGGGATTGTTCGAGATTACCTAAATTTATTCATCAAGTCTGTTGTTTTGTCAAAAGAAAGAGTTGAGAAAATTTCCATCACTAATTGAAAATGAAAAGTCATTTTTAGGCTAAATAGCCTAAGTAGCGGAGGCCTCACCTCACAACACAGACAAGAAAGGAAGTCAAACTTTAGAGCCATCGAAGCGAATACATCAAAGGCCACAAATGACATCACATTGACAGCTAAGCACTAAGCATGTGCAGCAACAATTTTCCAATTTTTTGGCCGAAGAGCCTGCTAGTGGAGGCCTTTATGTAGAAGAAAGAGAAGGAAGAATTAATGGCCTGGTTTTACTGTAGTGTTACATTAGTATTAAAACAAAGTATTAATTTATCATAGGCATTTATATTAAATTAAATAATAGTATACAAATAACACATAATGGATCATTAAATGGCATTTAAATAATTTATTTAAGTTATTATTTTATAAAAAAACATACAACATCGAAAGGCTATAAAGTAGTTTGTTTTTGCAACAAAAAAATCAAGTCAACGTCGAAAAAGACAAAAAAGAACCAAATTATTTAAAGCATTTATATTTTTTATAAGCTCGGATTCGGGAAGCAGTAAAATTGTTTCTTTAATTTGTTTAACTATTACAAATATTTCGATAAAATAGTCGAGACAGAAAAAAACTTGTTTGGATTAACATTTTTAGCTTAAAATGGCCCAAAATCAATTCCCTATATTATTCCTTCCAAAGTATCTCGATAAAAATTGTAAATGCATCATCAAACTTTAAACGATATTTTCAGCACATTTATGATGATAGATTTGAATATTTTTGGACCCAAATGTCGAAAAATTTACATTTTTTGCATCTCAACCATTTATCGACGGCCCTAAAACAATATCTTTATTATTTTTAAACGTATTTAAACTCGGGTGTTTTTTTTTTGTATTTAGAATATGTGTGGCAAAGCGTACATTTCATAATAACCTTTACAATAATACATTTTAAAAGGGTATCGCCATTTATAATTTTTTTCCAATTAAAAGAGTTTTCCAAAAGAAACGAAAGAATTTAATTTTATCTTTAAAAACATCGACTTTAAGAATTACCATAATTTTTATATCAAAGTCACAAATTCTAGATATTCGAGATATGATTTAGGTTGTTCGGAAATGATTTTTTTTGTTTATTTTAAAATTCGATATATTACAATATTTGTGCTTTCCTCATCATATCATCAATATCCTTCTGTACAATCGTTTTGAGGTAATCAAAAACAATTCAAAAGATTGTACAAAATTTACAGTAGTTCAAAGGAGAAAACACATACCATATTTAATACATGTAAAGCTCGGATTATCAACTATAATAAATAATAGTTGTATTAAATATAACTGCATTTTTTGCATATAAGTCTGAGACTAACTAAATGAGAATCTTCAAATTTTTCGTTAAAAAATTGATGCAAATTTCATAAAAATGATGAAATATAAATCTAAATACGTTCTTAACGCTTTTGTAATGTTGCATGAAAATAAATTGCACTTATTTGGTCCAAATTTTTTTGCAAATATTCCGAGCTTTATTTATATGTATATTTTTTTGTAACAATCAACATTCAACACGTATGATTCCAATTTTTTTTTGAAATTCCATATTTTTCTTCTTTTATTCTACCGGTTTGGGTTTTCGCTAATCTATTACACTTATCTACGACTAAACATTTAAATAGGTTTTTGATTGTGCTAGGGCAAACGAAAGGTTAAAACGTTGGTAAATTTACCAAAAAAATCCCGATAATTTTCAAATCATAACTGCGAAGAATTTGATTTTTTTCATGATTAAATTACATTCATTCGAATGCAAATGATATGTACACCAATCCATTTTTTCTCCATTATAAATGATGATTTAAACAATCCTGAAAAATATCCAATTACCCTGAATAACGATAAAAATCATACCTACAATTTTCTAACGTACGTTTATACATAAATTACATTCCAGTTAGAAAATAAATAAATAATTTTGATTTTTTTTATTTCTAGTATCTCGTAGGATTTGAATATTTTAACATTAATATTTTTGTTAAATTCAGCCTTAAACGCTTTTAGAAATATTTAAAATTCTAATCGAACTTTGAAGCACTCGACAGAAAAACAAACTCATTTATTTCAACAATTAATATTAATTTTTTGTACGCAAACCTAGTCCAGTATGAATTTCCTAATAACAAAAATTCCCTCTCAAAGAGATTCTCTAAATAAACTCAATAGAATAAAACATAACAAAGTGAATATACAGAGCTTTTCAAGCTTTAGTAACTACATAAAAATTTTTCTACCGCTAAACTTTCATACAATCATAGGTAAGATAAAAGTGAACACTCGAGGTATTTAAGTCAGAAAATAAAATACTTAATTGGGCAAATAAGTTACATAGTTGAGCAAAAACATAGGAAATAGAGGAACTTTATTTATTTATATTCATATTATTTAGGAAATTTAATGGCACAAATATTACTCCTTCAAACGATCCAGTGAATTTTATTTACACGAATATAACTTCAATTTAGAATTCAGCAAATCGCATTTTATGCTTTTTTTTTCATTAAAACATAAAATTAATAATAATCTCGTTTAACGATGAATTACTTATTAAATAATTTAACATAATCAACATAACATTTATATATTCTCGCTCTGTATAATCACTCAAACAGCTAATAAATAAGTGGAATAAATAAGTAAATATATAATTACATGATCAGGATGTGAACTGTTTAAACACGATCAATGCAAAGATTATTCGAGACATTTTAAATAGCATCGACTAGATTTTTTCAGCGAGATTCTCATAAATACTTTTCAAATTAATCAGTACACATCCTAAAAGCTCGACACCATTTTCGTACCGAAATAAAATCGGTTAAAATTACAACACCTACATATTTATTCAATAACGGGAAAAACTGATTTTCCCCCCCAAGAAAATTGGCTATTTCCGATTAAACTAAACAACAACAAAGCACAAACAACTTAATACTTATTACACATTTCTTTTTCAGTTCGATATATTTACAATGACTAGACGCTTCTTCGATAAGTTGTGTGAATTACTTTTTCTCAAATTTACCATTTCAATTGTCGAAAGAATACGTGTAAATACTACCGTGTAATTTCCGATTTCGCTTATGTTAACTTGTTCCGACGAAGATGAGGAGGAGGAGGTGGAGGAGCAACAGAAGATGGAAACGATGAAGACGAAGAAGATCCCGAAATATCCCGTTCATCGTATATCTCTAATATTGTGCTTCGAACCGAATATCTTGAGCATTTGTTCCTCGTAATCCGTTATGTTTCTCTTCATTATCTCCATGCAGGGACCCAATAGTCTCTCGAACGCTTCCACGTCTAAAACTAATCACAAATAATGTATTATTAATAGAGATTTTCTAGGGAGACAACGGTAAAGAAGTCTCTATAGACTCTAACATTCGAAGGGAAGAACAAGAAGAGAAATGTACATACAAATTCAAATTGGTTAGTGGTTTTTTTTATGAATAATTTTTACACTTACATGCGCATCGAACTTCGCCATCGCAAAATGCCGAAGCGGCCCTCGGCCGGTGCGTGACCAATGCCAATTCGCCGAAATAGCCCCCTTTCGTTATGCGATTTATTTCCACCTCTTTACCGCTATCGTCCAACACGCTAATCGCCACTTCGCCCTTTTCGACGAAATACATCCCGTCGGCCGCGTCCCCTTGCTTTATAATCCTGTCGCCGTCGCGAAAAACCCTACCAGAAAAAAAAAGATATACATTACAATACATTACATACAGTGAGGACCAAAAGTCCTTTAATTTTTGAATGGTAAGAGTTTTTGTCTCGCAATTTAGGGTGTTTATTTTGGAGTAAAAATACTATTTTTTAACTAAAAATGACAGTTGAAACTTTCAAAATGACAGTTAGGCGCCATTTTGATTTTTTTTTCTTATGGAAAGGGGGATCAAGTGACACCTCGTTTTAAAGGTAATTTCATTCTTAAGTCAACTCCCAAATTTGAAAACATTTTAATAACGCGTATTCACGTGAAGATCAATTTAATTTTAACCCCCGGGCATATTGATACATTTAAAAATTAATTCTGAACGTACTATAAAATGTGTCAATTAATTGTTGCTATGGTTTCTTGGCTCTGACATTTATTTGTCAAATTTAAAGTTAATGAAATTGACAGTTTCATCAACTTCTTCGTCAAATCAACTTCTCTCTCTTTGAGAAATCTCAAAAAAAAAATGTAATAAAAGTCCTACAGAAATAAAATTATAAACCCGAGTTTCAATAAAAAATTGAAAAATAAAAACTGCATTTTGCGTTCATAATTTTGCCTTAATTCTTTACTGTAGCAAATGTTGCACCAAAACAATCGTTAAAACAAAAAAAAAACAAGCACCCAAGCTTGCATTGCAGTAAATGGGAACAATTTTGAACATCTTGTATAAGTAATTGAACTGTTAAACTATTATTTTATTATCTCAATTTCTGTAAGACTTTTATTACATTTTTTTTTTGGAAATTAACTTCTCTCGTAACAGTGCATATGTGGTTAAAATTTGTCAGATAAGTTGTGAAACACCCTGTATAACCTATGTTGCGATCAAAAATAGAGCAACCTGTATACAGTTATCCCTTAAATGATATTATACCCTAATTCCAAAATAGTAGGCACTAAATTCTCAGAAATGATTGCGATAATGGGCCTCTCCCAGTGGCGTACGGAAAATATCGTAGGCTACAAGTGTGTTTGACGGGAAAAATCAGCAGGAGACTAATAATTAGAAGAGCAAGGATTATGTAATAAATAATAAAAGCGACAATACTCGGAAATATTATCGATTTAAGACGAAAACATTGCGTCAGGTTGTGATTCTAGATATTTAAGCATCTTCTATTTAAATAATTTACAAGCTGCTAAATAGCCATAGAATAACGGCTAACTAATAACGAAAACTTCACAATCATTTCTGAGAATTTAGTGCCTACTATTTTATAGTAGATTACCTGGAAACGAGAGCATCGGCGAGATTCATCCGCTCGTACGGTTGGAGCGTCTTCAACATGGGCACGCTCTCGATGAGCGACTCGTACATTTTGCGCTTCTTGAAGGCCGATTTGAGCACGATGCGCTTGAAGGTGTTGCGGTCCATGGCCCAAAGGCTGCCGTCGGTGACGGCCCTGACGGTGGCGGCGCGCGGCATGTTGTAGAGCAACGCCAATTCGCCGAAGCTGCCGCTGTTGTCGTACGTGTGGATGTGTTTGGGCTCTTTGTGCGGATCCGTCGCGACGAATACGTGGAAAACGCCGCTGGAAAAATCGCTCAGTTTTAGAACATTTCATAGAATAGAAGGGGTTTTTGTTCTGTGGAGTTTTGTAGGTGTAAAGGACGTTTTTCAACGGTAGAAAGTAGGAGGTTTTTAACAAGAAATCGCTCAGTTTTAGAACATTTCATCGGGGGAATAGAGGGGTTTTTGTTCTGTGGAGTTTTGTAGGTGTAAAGGACGTTTTTCAACGGCAGAAAGTAGGAGGTTTTTAACAAGAAATCGCTCATTTTTAGAACATTTCATCGGGGGTATAGAGGGGTTTTTGTTCTGTGGAGTTTTGTAGGTGTAAAGGACGCTTTTCAACGGCAGAAAGTAGGAGGTTTTTAACAAGAAATTAATGCAAATTTTTGAGTCCTAATGGCTTCTCGAAGTCGCCTAAGTAAGACTTATTTCACAAAAAATACAGTTATTCTCTAAACGTGTATTTGCCCAGAAATGGTACAAAAACTATTGGTTTCGTTTACAGATTATCTTCTTGACGTTAATCTTGATTAAAATTGCTTCATTACTCGTTTGATCAGAGATTAATATACTAAGTACCAGTGTTGTTAAGTAGTTAAAAATGTAATTCAACTACTTTTAATCTATTTAAATAACCAACTAACTACTTTTATAAGCTCAGGAACTTAAATACACTTAACTACATTTTTTGTAGTATTTAACTATTTTATTTAAATACATTTTAAAATAATTTATTCATTCTCTATGCAGGTAACGTTTCTAAAATTTTTGAAAATATAATTTTATCCTCCAAAAATAAAAATTATTTAGATAGATACCTGTATTGTTGTTTATGATCTAATCTACAAAGCTTATATAAATCCCTTTGCCCTGGTAAATGCCCAAATTCCTGGAATTTTGTCATTACAAATTTAGTTTTAAATACACCTGTATCTCAAAAAATAGAGCTGATGATGCGTCAAAAATGGAGGTAGATAAAAATATTTGAATTTAAACCAGTATTACTGAATAATCAATTTATACATATTGTGTAGGTGAAGAGTTAATTGCATTCAAATCAAAGGCAAAAAATCGTAAAATTGTCCAACGCGAAAAAGCAGGTAATGGTAATTAAAAAAAAAACACAATTAAACATTGGTAAATTAAATATTCGTTTGTTTGCTTTTTTAATTTCAACTTAACCTTGGGCCCTCGTTATCGCTACCTTTATAATCAATTTTCATTGGATTTAAACGAGTTTTACAAAGCATATTGTTTTTTAACCGTTCGACTTATTCCGAAGCCTCGTTTTATTTACGTGTTTGTACAGAAAAATAACGTAACATTACCATTAACGTTTGAAAATACGAATTAAAACCGTTCAGAACGATTTAACATGATTTCTGATCGATTCAGAACTCTTCAAGGAGGTATTATAATAATCCAGAACAATTTACAAAGCTGTCTGGACGATTCAAAACAGTTTGGAACAAATTAGAACGCTTTTTAGACTATTTAAAACTCATCAAGTAGAAATTATAACAGACCAGCACAATTTACATCGATCTATGGACAATTCAAAACTATTCAGAACTATTATAGAGTTAATGATTGAATTATTTAATCCAGAACAATTTACAGAGCTGTCTGGACGATTCAAAAACAGTCTGGAACAAATTAGAACGCGTTTTAGACTATTTAAAACTCATCAAGTAGAAATTATAACAGTCCAGCACAATTTACATCGATCTATGGACAATTCAAAACTATTCAGAACTATTATAGAGTTAATGATTGAATTATTTAATCCAGAACAATTTACAGAGCTGTCTGGACGATTCAAAAACAGTCTGGAACAAATTAGAACGCGTTTTAGACTATTTAAAACTCATCAAGTAGAAATTATAACAGTCCAGCACAATTTACAACGATCTCTGGACAATTTAAAACTATTCAGAACTTTTCATGATGGAATTATTTAATCCAGAACAATTTACAGAGCTGTCTGGACGATTCAAAAACAGTCTGGAACATTACTTGCGGCTCTCGTCTATATAGATAAGAAGCTTATTTAAAGCTTTATTAAAAAGCTATCTTATCGCAATTACGCGTTTTATATTACTCATTATAAACCAGCAAATAGAAAAATAAAGCAATAATTTATTATACCTTTGAATAACGTAAAAATTATCCCCGTCGTCGCCTTGCTTGATGACCAAATCGTCCTCTTTGACGATCCTTTCGAACATGGCGTCCAAAACTTCGTTCATTTGTTCGCTATCCAACGATCTAAATAATAAAATGTTCGCCACCGCCGATGCCAATCGATGTCTTTGCTCGTCGGACTTCGGATAGACGATTTTGTTCACTTCCTCGTCATCGTCCTCTTCCGGATTGTACGTTTCCGTAAAGACGGATTTCCTTCGGCCGGTGAATCGGATAACCGGCGGTTCTGGAATTACCACGAAAATTATTATTGGAAATTGTGAATGTCTATTATTGATTAATCGATGGGGAACGAGTCAAACAAAACAGTCTAAATTAAGCCATTAGCATCTAAAGTGTTTGTGTTAATTATTCGATACATCAACAAGGGTTGCTTTTTTTTGTTATATAGTCAGTTTTCAATTGAAATCTACAGAAAATGAGTCATTTCTAAGATACCGTAGTAATTAATTCCAAATAGAAAGCGTGTCAAGTTTTGTCAATTGCTTTTACTTTAGTGAACATACGATAAACTTGCAAATAATAAGAATTTTGTTAAATTTTATTTATATTTAGAAAAATCAGACAATACCATTAATTCTTATTTAGTCATATATCTTTTTCTAATTGCTCCTCTTTTTTTTCGTTTTCGCCATAAAATTCGAAAGAATTCCTAATTAAAACCTACTTAAAACCAAATTTAGTTAGAGAAAGTTGATCTTGTTCATCTTGTCACAGAAAATAAATGTAGTCAAACGGGTATTTTGTAGCATTCGAGATCGTTTCGAATCGATCTTTTTCCAAAGAAATCGTTTCAAAATCGATTCGAATTTATTTTTATTGCTTATTCATTAAAGCTACATATGTTTCCATTACAATGTTATTTGTTACAATTTTAGAGGACTTTTCGATTGAACTTCAATTTAAAAAGTCACCTCGCACAAAATCGTTTCGGTTTCAAGCAAAACAAAATTAGTGGGATTTTAGCTAGTAGGCTCAGAAATAAAAAATAACTTATATAATCAAATAATTATAAAATCATTTCTATGCCAATAGAGTAATTATATGCTAAATAATTGTAATAAAATGTATGTAATTTCGTTATTCGTGTAAATATTCACTAACCCAATGTAGATTTTTTCATTGTTCTGCACTAAATACTTTATAATTAATACACTAAAACACTGTATAGGATAAAATATATCGAAAGACTTGGCAGAAACTAATGTAAATTTCAAAATATGTAGTAGTTAATATAAAAAAGCTTGGATTAGTTCCAAAATGTGCAAGAATAAACGCATTAATAAAAATTTGAAATTCTGTAATTAAAGAAAAAAATAAATTCAATCGTTAATCAGTAAAAACCTTAAATAAATTCTTATATGTAAATGCCTAATGAATAATAAATAAAATTAGCAATTTATAATCACACACTTATTGTGTAAATTAACAACAAAAATATTTTTAATTAGTTATTCTTTCGAATATTTATAAATAGTCCGTTAATAAGTACATAATTTCATAATTAATTACCGTTTAAAAAAATGTAAATCATTCTAATTACATAAACCGATTGAGAATTTACATAATTTATACTTTACCATATATTATTAGTACTATTCTAAACAATACATGATCATTCCCACCGAGGAATACATGTAAAAATATTATCCCATTATACAAACAAGTTCAACCAGGAGAAACCATAAATTTTCTCGACAACTTATAAATCTTATTAAATCCCAACATTACGTAGTGTCGTCAATTACACAAACAGACCTAAATCCTTAATAAACAATAACTACGAGCAGTCATTCGTACACCATTTAAATGAACCAAATAACTTAATATGTACAAAAATGAAATGAACAAAATGTTACCATCTTCCCGAGACATAAGAGACTCCTCGTCGGGAGACAGGGCCTCCTGCGATCCATCTCCTACTTGATTGAATAGTTGATTAGTAGTTCTGAGTTCCCGCAATCTCGTAAAATACTCAGAGGCGTAATTGACGACATCCCCCGGTTGTTCTAGCAAATAGGTAATCGTGAATTCCAAAAGGACTTCGCGCAATTCGTCGGGTACGTGAATCCGGGAACCGGCTTGGCCGCGATTCATTTCTCCGAGTTTTCGTGCTTATTTTAAAGGTAAACGCGGATCAAATTCGACTGGTTTCGGATCAAAAACACTCTCGTCGATCGACTCAATACGAGCGGCACATATTTCACTGCGTTTTTTCTACGTTTAAAGCACTAATTTCACCGCCCTTAATGGCCCCCTTGCGATAAAATGGTGGCGATTCGAACGAGTTGGTTCCTTTTAATCCGGTTTTAATTTCTCCGCCTCGAATCCAAATTGATGGTTACTCGTGGGCGATTCTCTAGCGATTCGATTGCGCGATTGCTCCGCGGCCACTGAACATTATCTAAGAGAGAATTTCGAACCGTTTTCGAAGGGGGAGAAAAATGTCTTCACAAATACACGAATCAATGATTAATGATCCACTAGCGGAGCGGAGTAGTGACGGCTCACACGACAATTGACAGTTTTGACGTGGTCTTTTTATCTCTCTCTTTCTTTTACATATATACATTTAAATATCTAACTTCACGCTAGTGATAGTGACTTCAAAAATCAATCTTTCTCTTTCTTACAAAGTATTCTTTCTTTCTTTCTGTAAACGTAAACTTCTTGCGCCCCATAACAAACTCAATTGGATCTAAATTATCTAAATTCCTTTTGCCCACGTAAATGAACAAAATAACCATGGAATATTTTAAACAGATTGTAAATTACAATCTGTGTCCAGCTTTATTCAGTAATCCTACTTACATTTAAAGAAAACAAAATACGTAGAATAGAATTAATAGTATATTCACATTGCAACCGACAATTTTAGCGGCTTATTTAGAGTAGTTGGCGTTGATATAATGAAAAAGAACCACCAGGAGGAAAAGGACGATCCCGAGACCGTTCGAGAAAATCGCCAAGTGTACATCGGTGATCATTCTGTGGAGTGAAAAAAGTTTGATTCGTAAAAGTACGTTTTATAATACAGATTGTCGAGTAAACTTACTTGCCGGTTAATTACAAATATTTCCTTCGTAAAAAAATAAGAACTCTTGAAAAATCTTTATCAAAACGTCGGACGCAATCAACAATTAAATTGAGGTTATTTTCTTCTTCTTTCTTCTTTTATTGAAACATACAGTTTTCTTTTATCAAACCCCGTAACGCCATCTATTGAACATAATTGGAAACAGCTTTACACTCACTACATTTTTCGGTTTTCCGTTAAATATTTTTATCAAAAATCTGAAAATTTCATTCGGATTAGTAGATTACAAAAAATATAAAAAGAAAAATGCTATTGCTCGTCTATTCAGTTATTTGTATGTGGTCAGTTGGTTTAATGAATTTAAATCTTTGTTGTTTAGTTTTTGTATAAGAAAATATTTTTAAAGGTAATTTAATTCTCATAGAAAAGTAGCAATGATTTACTACGTTATTGTAAATCTAGATTTGTTTTAAATAGAAAACATTAAGTTGATAGTAATTGCCCTCAAACAGTATAAAAAGAAACTTAGTTTAAGTAGTTTAATATTTTTATTTTATTACTTCCAGTCGGTTTTAAATTAATATTCTATAGACAATTATACTATTTTTACAGAAATGTACGTCGCTTCAGTATCCTCGTCAATCAATTTCCACGAATTCCCCACCGGCGACGTCCTTTTCAATCACCGCCCCCGACAATCGGAGGGCCCCATCCGAACCATCTCCTGGTGCAAAGATGGAAACTGGCTGTCGGTCGTCCCGGACTCAGGCCACACTGAAATCATCAGCGTCAGGGGCGAACTAAAACTGCTCAAAACCATCACCGAAATAACCCAACCGAGCTCCGCTTGCTTCCAAAACACCACGAAAAAGTACATCGGTATCGGAACCGAAGGCGGCTCGGTGTTGGTTTACGATGTAAAATCCCAGAAGGTCAAGAAAAGATTCTCCAGCGCTTCAAGTAGAGTCGATCACATCGCTTTCACCGCTAAAGACACCCATTGCACGGTAGCCTGCAAAAAAGATGTATTAGTCTATAACAACGTAACGAACAGCCCTCCGACTCGTCTCGAAGTGCCTCGATCTAGCTACGTAACCTGCCTGAAGACCAACATGTTAAAGACCAGCTTCGTTATGGCCGGTAGTGATGAGGGTATTCTAGTCCTGTGGGACATAAACACAAACTCGCACGTGTTCTGTTCGGAGGCCCATCAAGCACCCGTAACATCGTTGGCTTTTTCGCCCGTAAACCGCGACCTGGTCCTCACCGCAGGAGCCGACAGGCACTTTTGCTTCTACGATATCATCGATAAGAAACGCGTGGGGCAGGTTACAGTGGAAAATTGTGTTACGGCTGTCGATTTCTCCCCGGACGGAGTCTACTTTATAACGGCTTGTCAAAACGGGCGGATGGTTACTTACGATTCGAGGAACATAAATAAACCGGTGTATTCCGTTCAGGCCCACAACAGTTCGATAAAACAAGTAGCGTTTCAAAACGCGGTGACTAGTCGAAACGCTAGTACTTACAGTATATCATCGAGCAGTTCGATATCGAGTAGAAGAGGAAGTACCGGTTCCCGGTCGAATCGGAACAACACCGAACCATCCGATCTATCCGGTTGGCTAGCTTTACAACCATCGGTGGCGCAAAACGAAGGAACTGCATGCTCCAACGATAGCAAAGACTCCTTCCTGGCGGCGCTCGGTGTAGACAAGCAATTGGCTGGTTCGATCAAAGTGGAGGGCACGCCGGTGGTTCCGAAACTCGTGCCGAAAATCGTTACGAGTCTCGTCGAATCCGCGGATTCCCCGCTGGCGCTCCGGAAGCCGTTCAGTTCGACGCCCAAAGTACCGGCGAGCAGCAGGAGCGAGGCCTTCGCGGAGGCGCCTTCTACGAGCGAGATAAAGACCATCGTTAGGGAGTCGTTCAACGAAGAACTGAGGCACGTGTTGAGGGATTACGTGAACGAGGGATTGGGGAGACTCGCGGGCGAGTTGAAGGAGGCGTTCGAGTTCGAAAACGCGCGTTCGGTGTTCCAGTTGAGGGCCACGCTGACGGAGATTCACGTGGCGAATTTGCGGGATTTTTTCAAAATGGAAGAACGCTTGAAAGTGCTGCAGGATGATGTTCGATTCTTGCAGGATCAGCTGCAGAATATGTGCCCGAATTTGTAAATTACTGTTTATTAGTATTTTTTTACTGTTTTTTTTATATATTTTTTTGCGTTAATGTTGAATAATGGGATTAAATTATTTATTTCATTGTATTTTTTGTTTCTTTTTCAAAATAAACCATCAATAAAAATTAAGGTATGATTCAGCTGTAGTTTTCTCTAAGAATATTTTCAAATAATACTTTTCCAACTTTTAAATATTTTTTACATGTAGCTTCTTATCTCTTAGTTTTCCATTATGTTGTATCAACATACTGTATAATTTTATCAATAGATTGGCTTGTTAGATAAAATAAACCACCATTCCATTCAATTAGAAATTTATTTCTCATTCGCATTTCGATTATTTATAAAAATATACGCTAAATTTCGTAACGTTTAGGAACAACATAAGAAAGAACAACTAAATTAACTAGATTGTATTAAACATAATTTCATTACACATCGACTTAAATTATGCATGTACATTATACAAAAAAAAATGAAACGTCATCGATATAAATACCTACCTACAGTACACAATACATAGTAAACCAAACCGGAATCATTCGATTCCCCTTCACGTTTTCCTCTTCGATTTCTTCTTCTTCTTCTTGGTCTTCCTGTGCTTCTTCCTCTTGCGATCCTTATCGCTGTCGCTCGACTCCGACTCCTCCGACGAGCTCTCCGTGCTGCTCTCCTTCCTCTTCTTCTTCCTGTGCTTCTTGCGCTTCTTGCTCTTCTTGCGCTCCTCCTGCGAACTCGACGACGATCCCGACTCGGAGCTCGAACTGCGCTCGGACTCCTTCTTCGCCGGTTTCCGCTTCGCCTTCTTCTCGTCCTCATCGTCCGAATGCGATTCGTCGTAATCCGGCTCGAAGTTCGCCTCGTCGATGGTCGCCTTGCGCTTGCTGGTCGCCAACGAACCTACTGGGTCCTTCTGATCCTCGATTTTACCCTCATCTTCGTCCTTCTTTTTCGCCTTCTCCCGCTTGGGTTTCTTCTCTTTCCTCTTCAGCTTATCCTTGCTTTGGCTGCGCGTCCTCGATCGCTTCCTCTTCGACTTCTTCTCGTCATCTTCGACCTTCTTGGGTTGCTTGTCTTTCTTGGTTTTGTCGCGTTTGTGATCGCTTCGCGCGCTCTCGCCTCGTCTGTACGATTTACCATCGTCGCTTCTTTGCCTTCGCCTTTCTCTGCTGCTCCTCCTCGATCTCGATCGTTTGCGTCGATCGTCCTGCGAGTCCTGGTGCGGGCGTTTCTCGCCCGCGCTCGCGTTCCTGCCGAGTTCGCCGCGCCTCGAAAACGGCGACACCGTGTTAGATCTCCTGCTTAGATTGATCACTTTGTCGTTGGCATCGTCGACTTTAACCCCTAATCGTTCTTTCACCGACAACCGCACGGGCGGCGGTTCGATTTTGGCCGGCGCCTGGACGATTTTCTCCGGCTCCTTGTCGCCCGAATAGAGCTTCGCCCGATCGTTGCCGATTTTCTTGATTTCTATGGGCCGGATGGCGTTGATGGCTTTGGCGAAGATGGCGTTCTCGGCTCGCTTCAGCACCTCGTTGGTCACCTTGCCGTTTTTATCGATCGACGAGTCTTCGTCGGGGCTGGCTCCGGCTCCGGCGGCGGTCGCGGTCGCGGCAGCCGCCCCGTCGTCGTCCACCTCCCATTTGGATTTCTCCGGCACCGGCGCCAGGATGTCGCTCTTGTCGAGCTCCGTCTTGAGGTCCAGGTCGGTCGAGTGCAGCTCGAGCACGTCCTTCTCCTCGTCGACGTCCTTGATTTCGCCGTCTTCGGTTATTTCGGTTTCGTCGTCGTCGTCGGGCGGCGGTTTGTTCACGCCGTCCTCGCGACCTTCGAACGGGGAATCGTTGTTGATTTTCCGGTAGTTTTCCAGCACGTTCGGATCGATGTCGGTCGATGCGTCGTCGTACAATTCCGCTTTGGCTTCGTTCGATTCCGGTTCTTTCTTCTCCGACGATTTGTTGTTACTATCATCTGCTTTATTATCGTTTATAGGATCTTTAGCTTCGCTTTTGTCGATGATTTCCGCGTGGGTTTCTTGTTGTTGGTGTTCGATTCGTTCCTCTTTCGCATTGGCGTCTTTCGGTTTGTCGATTTTTTTATGCTTGTCTTTATCGGATCGTTTTCTATCGCCTCCGTGCTGCTTCTTCTCCTTCTTATCGTCGTCGTCTTCATCATCGGTGTGTTTCGGTATGATCTGCCTGAATTCCTCCTTGGATTTCTTGTCTTTGCTCTCCTTATCCTTCTTGTGTTTGTCCTTCTTGTCGCGCTTCTTCTTCTTCTCGGTCTCCTTCTTGTCCTTGTGTTTCTTCTTGTCTTTGTTTTTTTTGGTTTTCTCGTCGTCGGAGTGGTCCTTTTTGCGGTCCTCGGAGGATTCGCGCCGCCTGCGCTTGTGCTTGTCGGGGCTGTCTTTCTCGCGCTCCTTGGAGCGCGATTTGCGCTTGTCGGGCGTTCGGCTTCGCTTGTCGTGCCTGCGCTTCCTGTCGGCGGAGTCCTTGCGCTTGTCGGGCTTCTCCTCCTTCTTGGCGGGCTCCTTCTTCTCGGCCGGCTTGTTGTACTCGTCGACGCCGGGGGGCGCTATGTCGTCGTCGACGCCCGGCGGGGCGACGTCCTGGTACTGTCGCTGGGGTTGGATGCTGTGGATGGTTTGGGGCAGGGGCTGGCTGAACGGCGGCGGGTCTTTGTTCATGAAAGGCGGCCCGAAATCTCGCGCTGGTCCGAATCTAAACAAACATATCGAAGCGTTAAAATTCTGTTGGAAGTTCTACTTTTTATTGGGGGGGTTTCCCGAGCAAACTAATCTACTACGATGCGGTTTGGTGCAAAATCGTTTTGGGATATAATTAATTGATTGTAACGGAGGCACTTCGTTGATGGTTTGCTTCGTGAGGTTCGATTGAAGTAGGGCCTAAATATTTAGAGGTTTTTTTTAATTGATACATCTCGACCAATACGTGGAATTTATGTTGCGAAATCTAATTGAAAAAGTGGATTATTTAACTAATAAACTGAGTTAAAATGGATCGAATTGTTCAAGATACATGAATTAAAAATAATCCTTGTCGGGAATAAAGATGGTTGAACCGCAATTTGTTAACGTACAACTCACCTTTAAATAAAACTGTGAAAGTGAAACGATTTAAATAGTGTTTTATTTTGGAAAATCTCGTGTATTTTTAAAAGTAAACCAGTCAGTAAAGGTGATAAATCCTCTTGATAAATCCTCTTGTCTCTCCTCATTTCGCAAAATAAATTAAAATAAAAGATTCCAATCGAAAACAACCATTTATTCGACATCAAGTTTTACAATGAATTGTACAAATGCGTCGGAAATCCAATCAGTAGAATTAATTTTATATCACAGTTATTGGTAAAACACAAAATCATTTACTATAATATCTTCCATATAAATTTTTTGACGGTTTCAATTATAATTACAAATTTAATTCCCATTAAAAATTGTATACTTAAGACTAAATTATTGTTAAAAGTTTTCAACCCTTTGTACAAGAAAAATAAATGGATTTATTTGTATAACAATGTATCGTATAAACAATCAAAAAATATATTACTATTCCAATCAATATTATAATAACATGCAAAAAATAAAAATATATTATTTTCAGGTAGGAAGTTTACATAAAATGTAGACATTATTTTTTATAAGAAATTAATTAGGTACGTTTTCCATGAATTTTCAATTTTTCCATCAAGTTTCAAGTATATTTCAGAAAACAATCGTGCTGTATGTTTGTTATTTTCAGCGGAAAATTTGAATATATACAGGGCGTCACATGAACGGAAGGCGAAAGACTAAAATGACACAAACTTCGCAATAGAAACGTTTATTTATTTCAACGTACACCTTAAAATACAACAGGAAGAAACTTTTTAATACAACACACATACAAAAGCACCGGCAGTAAAAAAAACTTATCGTTTAGATTTCTTCTTCTTCCTCTTTTTGTCGTGCTTCGCCCGCTTCTCCATTTCCATGAAATACATTTTCTCAGTCGACATGGCTTGAGCTTCGACCTCGTCGGGATCGATAGCGTCCCATTTCGACGGAACGAAATATTTCTTTATATCAATTTCGGACAAACCTGCGACTTTTTTACCGTTTTCTTCACCACTCGACCGCCTCAACAAACAAGCCCCGTCCAACGGCTCGTCCAACCCCAAACTACTATCGTCTTCCTCCACGAATTTATTACCACTAAACAACGCGTTAACTTTATCCAAAAACTCCTCCGAAAACATCCTGTAAATATCCCAATGCCTCACGATTCTAACGATCCTCGTATCGAAATTATCCCTATCGCACAGCGTCTTCAAAGCGTCGCGGCGACTCCTCGTGAACCGAAACACCTCCAACAACATCCCCTCCTGCTTCTCGATCCTCAACGGCAGCTTCTTCGCCTTGCAATTGCTGAGTACATCCGACAGCAAGTACAATCTAGCGATCCTCTTCGGCGCTTCGGTGCCCTCGTTCCTCAACGACTCCACGATTATCTCGATAGCATCGTCCACAGCGCTCGATCGAGCCAAACAGAACGCCATCGCTTCGGCCACGTTTGCTCGCCCCATCGTCAACCGCCTAATCAATTCCACCAATCGCTCCGATTGCGCCTCGCCCAACCGCCGCTCGCCGGCCTCCACCAGCCCGTCGGGCATGCCCGACGTGTAGCAGGGCGTCGCCGGCGGGCACCACACCGAGCCGCCCTCGAACATCCGAAACTCCCGCATCGACCACGACCTCGGCCCGTCCCCGTTCAATATAGAAAACAACTTCCAGCGGTAGTAGACGTGCGTCGGCGATTTGCAGTCGAAGAGGAAATTAAAGTCCGGATTGTCGAGCTCCTTGCGCATGACGAGCGCCTCGAACGCCGGCCCCTCGCGCACCACGAACTCTATCATGCGGTGGACGAGCGCCAGGAGTTTTTTGTTCAGCGGGACGGCGACTTTCACGCGGCAATCGCGCAGGAACCGCGCGAAATCGCCTGAAGATCGCGCGGTGGGTTGCGCGTTGAAGGGTAAACCGGACGAAGGTGGTGGTAAATAGAGCTTCAGGAGGGAGTCGGGGATGTAGATGGGGTGCGAGGGGATCTCGACGGATTTGCCCCAACAGACGCGCATGTCGTCGCGACGCTGGTTGGCTTTGAGCGCGCGCTCGGCGTCTTTTCTACTCATAAAAGCCACGAAGCCGCAGTTGGAGTTGCGGTGGGTTTCGTCGGCGCGGGGCCAGAGGATTTTCACGCTCGCTAGGGGGCCGTACGCGCCGAACTCCACCATGAGATGGTTCTCGGTGATTTTCGAGCTCAGATTCGCCACGAACAGGTTCGTAGTGGCGGCGTCTTCGGTCGAATTCGCCGGGGATTTGTCCTTTTCGTGGCGCTGCTTCAGCTCCTCCTTGAGCAGGTCCAAGTTCGACGGGGGCCGTTCGAATTTTTTGGGCTTGTTCAAGGCGGTGTCCTTGAGGATTCGAGCGCATTCGAGCGCCGTTTTGGTTTCGCTGAGTTTGGCGGATGGGATCAACGGTTTGGGGTTGTAGATTTGGCCGACGTCGGCGGTTTGTTGCTCGTTGTTGCGGTATAATACGGACGATCGCACGAACGGTTTGTTCGCTATCGAAATCGACGGGTTTTGGAAGGTTTCGAGGAAATCTTTGAAAACGTGCGCCGCCGCTTCTTGGTCTTCTTTTCTCTTGCGTTTGTAACTACTCTTCGACATCTTCTAATCGAGGTTTATTTTTCTACTCGACACTCGATAGGCAAAGTGTCAAAACTGTCATTTGCTAAGTATACTAGATGTAGTTTGTATTAAATGTCCACTTATCACTAGATCACGGCATTTTATTTGTGAGGTCTGGAAACAGCCTATTAGAGAATGTGTCCCGTTATTTGAAGACTTTTCGAGCTTCATTTTTGCGATGTATGTAAATCGCGGTTGTCAGATGACAGTTCGAGCTGTCAAAACTTCAAAAATTATTTTTTGACATTTCGAGGAGAAAATGGAGAAATACATTAACCGAAGATACGCGAGGCTTGATGATAACAACAAAATCTTAGTTGATTTAAGTATATTTTTATATTTTTTATATATTTTTAGTTTGAATCAAACCTTTTTTAATGCTAAAAACCGTGTTCTTTACAACATCGCCTCCTAGCGGCCGTTTTATGAACCCTGTTTTATCCTCAAATAACGGGACACTTTTTCGACTTATGTTTCCAGACCTTAGAAATATACTACACCGAAATAACTTGGAAATTTTATTGAATATGCAAATATCTTTAAGACTTTTATTAGTTTTATACGTACTAAAAATCTGTAAATATGTATAAGTGTCAGTCATTGCGGAGAATAACAAACAAAAATTGCTAAATAATAGTCACATTTTTAATAATAAGTATGATGTTTAAATCGTAATATTCAGTACAAAGGATTAAATATATGTGTTTTTTTTAATTTCAATGTATTATCGATTATAATATCACAGATAAATATCACCATAAGAACCTATTGGGACATCGAGGCACAAATTGCCCTAATTTTTTTTTTAAATAACGAGTAAACTTTCATCTCGACGATAATTCATTACAGATAATTCACAGAATTTACATTGGATAATTTTCAAGTCGATTGAAATAAAAACTCGTATACATTTAAATATCGAAATAAAACGTTAACAACAAAGTATTTCGTACACATCAGAGAGGAAGATCGAACGAAAAAAAAAAAATAGTAAGCAATTTACAACAAATTCATCGACTTCATCGATTAACGAGAAAAAGTACAATCAAACCTAATCGATTACAAACTTTTGTATAGATTATTTAAAACAAAAAGTTACATTTAATACACCGGGTCTTATGTACTTTTTCCCCAAGCGTCCTATCAAACCAATCAATACTCTTACAAACGGCAAATAATAAATGTACCTGTTCGGTTGGTATCCTGTTTGCAACGGTTGCGGAGCCGGCGGGAAATAACCATCGGACCTCGGTTGGTTCCATTGGGCCTGGTGGCCCCTCGACGGAGCCACTCCTCCTCTTTTATCATCGTAATTATCGTAGTATCTGTCTCTGTCGCGGTCTCTATCTCTAGGCGATCGCCTCTCTCTACCTCTACGATTGTCTCTACGATCGTGCCTGTCGTAATCTCTATCATCGTCGTAGTCTCTATCTCTAATCCTCGATCTGAAACAATAACGCCACGAATAAATAACATGTCTATTGTTACGTTAAAACTGAACTAGTATATTTCGCATTCGTTCGATCAAATGGATAACACGATTAGCAAAAACTACCTTATTCGATTCATGCACAATAATAATCCCGTCGATAAAAACTGGTACTATTTACATTTACACACAATTAAAAACGATTCTCCGTTCGTAAGCTACAAATACACATCATGCAAAACTAACCTTGGAGGCGATCTCAGAGGTGACCTATACCTGGAGCCCCTTCGGGGCGCGCCAGGCGGAGGGGAACGCCTGGCAGGTGATAATTGCCTGTGGGGCGAACCTCTTAGACTGCCTGAGAATGACCTCGATCGAGACCTACAATCGCAACAAAGAATACGATTTCAATAAAGAGCTTGCGCCAAAAAAACCCGAACGTTCATTTATCCATTACTCTTCGATCGGAACTGTTACGAGAACCGCGAATAATTCGAGGACTAGAAACTTTGAATCCACCCCCCCCCCCCGTTGTATTGGAGACTAACGTAGTAAAAGGCCGTTCGCCGAGTGCAAGTTCGGAACAATTCGGATCCGCGCGATAGAACGAAAAATGACAAAACAATACGTCAAATTGAATCGTTTCCAAAATGGCGGACGATTAGCATTTTTAAATCGCCATTGCGAGCCGAAACGAATTTAGCCGGGGAAAATGATGGTCATATTCGTAATCAGCGGACCCTTTTTCATCTCCCAATACACCTCTCCGGTCCCAAATAAGTCAAAAAGAAAAAAAAAAACTCTCCAATCAACAGGATATCGCTTCGGGCTTTGGTATCATATGAATCAATAAACACAGCAAATGTAATTCGTTTATCACACACATCTTTCCACAACGATATATCTCTTATATCTCTTCGATTCAATCGCGATCGAATCATTCGACGTACTCACCGGCTCAACGAAAACGATCTCGATCGACTCCTCGACCGTCTGCTCGGCCGCGGAGATCGACTCCTGCGCCGTATCGGCGATCTGCTGTAACTCCTGCTGCGACTGCGGCTCCTGCTGTAACTCCTCCGGAAACCCCTCTGCTTGGCCCTGCGTTTCTGTTCGTCCTTTTCTCTCAACAGCCTATTGAACGCCGCCAACGGATCGTCGATTACTCTACAAATGAATTATAGCGATTAGTGGAAATAATAAATAGGTTTTCCGAGTATATTTACCCGGGCGGCGCCCTGTCCAACATTCTCCTGTTGTAATCCCGATGGTTCCTCGGCGGAAAGCCCTGGAAATTGGGCGGAGGTCCGCCGATGGGGGGCCTGGTAACGTCGAACATGCCTCTAGGTGGAATACTATAAGGCCTGTTAAAATAAAGAATGTAATTGTGTATTATCGTAAATATATGTAACGTACCCGGGAGGCATGTAAGGAGCGCCGCCCGCGGGCGGGGGATATCTGTAACTGGGCGGCGGTCCTTGAGCTGGAAACGTTCCGATGGGGGCCGGAAAATTGCCTGGAATCGGAGGCGGATGACCCTACGAAACAATAGTTAAATCCAATTCCAATCTACATAATATACTAAAATAATACCTGTATAGGACCCACAGTTCCGATGGTAGATGTTGCATAATTCGAAGGGAAGTTATTCGATGCGAGGGGTTCGTCCACGGTGGGCGTTCCGGACCTTCTGTCTCGAGATCTGAAATTATCCAAATGATTCAGTAAGCAGAATCGATGCGATAGAATTCGATTTACCTCGACTTGCTCCTGGATCTGGTCCTCCGTCGACGGGGGCTCCTGCGCGGCGAGATGCTCCTGCTTAAGCTCCGACTTTTACGCCTAATTCGTCCTTTGAAATAAATTTGTAATGTTGAAGACGATCGGTAGTTAGTATAGTAATTGTACTTACGTTCCCTGGGACTTCTGGGAGAAAGTTCGCGATACTTTCGATGATCACGAGGGGAACTTTTAGGCGACACGCCAGGGGGACCTTCTACGGAATCATTTTCGTTTTTCTATAAAAAAAAATACGGCGTTTTATATCGAAGATTCGATTGGGTTATTGAACTTACTTTTATGTTATCGGTATTTTGAGATTTAATGAGTTCTGTGGAATCCGCTTCGGATATGACCGTGTGCTTTTCTTGGTCTATTTCTGGTTTTAAGGCGGACTCCTATAAACATATGCAAACATTAATCAGTCACATATTTTTCGTGTAATACACACTCACTTCTTTTAAAATAGCTGCGACTTCGGCCTTAGGCGGTCGTTGCGAAGGAACCTTAACGTAGCCCGTTGTATTCTTGAAATTCGAAACTGACGTTCTTAAAAACCTAAAAAAAAACCACACACAACAATAAGCCTATTTCATTTAACTTAATCCAACAAACTAAGCACCTATTCGGTATCAAAGTATCCGGCGAAATGTCCTTTTCGTGACAATCGGGACACTCGTGGTCTTCGCTCTCCAACAGCACGCCTCTGATGCATTCGTCGCAGAAGGAATTGCCGCAACAGGGGATCATCACGGCGTCGGTCAGCAGATCCGAGCAAATGTTGCAGAGCAGGTCTTCGGGTATGTCGGTTTTGGGCGTCTGGGCGATCGCCGGCGCCGGTTTCTGATTGTAAGCCTGATGGTCGACGAGGGGCACGGCGAACTGCCCGTTGGGGGTCATCATGGCGCCGGGCACTTGCGGACCTTCCACGGCTATCATAAAACTACGGGGGATGCCGGTGCTCTTCTTGATCTCCACTGGCTCCTGTTTTCGGGCAAAAAATTTGATTTAAATCGAGAGGAATTGAACGTTTAGATTAAGTGTTTGTCTGTTCGTTACCGTCACTAAGTCGAGAGTGAAGTAATTTACTTCCACTAGAAGGGATGAAGGGTAACGATCGAGCGAGAGATGAATTCGTTAAAAGGTTATGGGCTCGAGGAACAAGTAAAACGAAAACAAATATCAAACTAACATCAATAGATTTATTAAAGAATGATGGTTTAACACAACAATGTATTATTAAAGTTGTATCGTGTATAAATCGTACATAATGTAAATAAATGCGTGAAATACTTACAGCTCCTAGTGCAAATGTACAATCTTTTATCCAATGTCCGCCTTGATGACACTTATAGCATCTGTAATTCGGCGGAACCGCTCCCACTTGATTAGCTCCTCGAAGTTTTATATAACTGAAGAAAAAATCAATAAATTCAATGAGGAATTGACTAGAGAACGATGAACTTACTTGCTAGGATCATAATCCTGCGTGGATTGAGACATCATAGCTCTAATTTTATCATCTTCGGGAGCATCGAGGCTCGACAGATCGACTTCTTTGGCTACGGGTCCACCTTCATCTAGTTTCGTTTGAGGCGGTGTGTTATCACCGCCGTAACCTTCCCATGATTTATTTTTCTGCGGTATCACAGGTATTCTCGCTATGAGTAGCGATGCGTTCTTTTGTATCAAAGCGTTTTCATCCTCGTAAACTGAATACAACAAAAAGTTAACGAAAATATAAAGGAAAAAAATGATTGTAATTTGTCATACCTTCTTTGGTCTGTGCATTTGTTACTTGCAAATCAAAATCCGTACTTTTTCCTATTCGTTTTTGTTGTAAGATAGCATTCTTTAGGTCTTTCACTGAAATATGTAGGCCATCGAAGGTAACTGTATCATACTCTAGTGCCGATTTGAATTTGTAGTGTACAGACATGCTGTTAAATAAAAAACAAAACAGTTCTACTAGAAATGAAACTGAACGGGCAAAGGATCGAGAAAATCAATCCGATGTCTAGGAAGGTAAGAGGTTCGATTAGGTGTAATCGGCGAAGCGACCGAACTATGTATTTACCTCTAATTAAACGTTATCCTACGCTTAGGCTTTCGCATTTGCGAAACAATTAGTCTTTCACTGATTTTACACAAATATTAACTGTACTTGAAGCGTTATTTTCAAAAGTCGATGAAAAAAACCGCACGTTCCATAAATATCGAAAATGGCGTCACTGTCATTTTTTAGTCAACCCAGTTCTGCCAACTGAAACTTTTGGAAAAAATATTTCAATCTTACAAAAGTACGTTCGTTTGTATTGTAATTTTTATCGGTGATTTACTTTTTTATTTATGTATTAATAAATTAAATAGCGAAATAAAAGGTATTTTGAAGAATTTGTAAATAATAATTTTGTTTACACACGCTCAGATATAAAAACTAGATTATGAGATGACAGTTGACAGCGGGAGGATATGCTGTGGCTCTAGAACCGCTCCCGTACTCACAACAAAATCGTAAAAGGAAAAATTAGTGAACTTTTATTTATTCATTTCAGTTATTTAGAAAAGTTATAATGATATCATAATACAAAAAAACTTATGTCATATAAGCAATGTTCCAATTTTCCTCGACTGAAATTGGTCCCTCGATCTTAACACCTTCATCCACATCTATCATTCCCAACTGATATTTCGGGTAACTTCTAGCGTCTCTGTAGAACAAAACTTCCATGCACTTTTTAATGAGTTGCTTAGCTTCATTTAGATTCAAGTTCGGTTTCTTGTCGAGGGCATCTCTCAAGACGGGAAGGGCAATATGAGCACCATACCCAGTACAGATCACTTTATCTGTGTAAGCAGTGCCGAGTTTATCGACTGTTCCCAGGAAAGGTACACCATCCTAAAAACCAATTTTATTAAATACAATATGCTAAATATTCCGGGCAAATAAACTACCTGTATCCCTCCTACTACTAGGTTGTTCCAGAAGGGGTCGAGTTTACTCCTTCGTTGGTACATAATTCTAGTCAGCCAGCAATAAAGAGATTTTGGTTTCATTTTCAAACCATCATCTAAGCAGTCCTCATCGATTCTGGAATAAGAATATTAAGTGAGTAAAGCATAATTGTTGGTCGTGATTATTAGTACATTTTCTGCTCAATGAAGCTTTTTACGTATTGAAAATCAGCGTAATCTCCTCCAGCACCCATGATGATGTTCGGGTTAATTTCGATCACCCTGGGGCAATTTTTATATCTGGCTAATGACCCGTAGGAGGCCAGCAAGTCTCCGGCAATTAGTACCCCCTTATCGTAGGTTATAGACACAATTGAAGTTGAAGTCGTTACTGGAGACCTGAAAAATGGATTTTTTTAGTATAAAAATAATAATTAAATATAATTCGGCTTACTGAGTATGAGTTATTGGATTAGTTACAGGTGCTACTGTTCCTGGGAAGTTATAGAAAGCCCCGGGGGCCGGACCGTTACTCCAAAACGGTGGAGGCGCCGAATGGGTAGAATTAAACATATTCTTGAAATATTTTAAATGCAATAATACAAACTTTTCTACAACAAATACTTTTACTACCGATTAAATTATTGAAATGTCGAATGACTTTTAGAAATACAACACAATTGACAGATTGACATTGACAGGTGACATTTACATCCTACTTCTTCTAATTTATTTTAGGCCTATGCTGCTGTGGCTATTCGACTCCTTAACGTAACGAGGGTGACCAACTGTTGGAAAATAGAAGGCGCTAACAGGAACTGTTTCATTGTTTATTTTGGTGTTACTGAAAAATAGTAAGTTATTGTGCGACAGGAGCGTATTTGAAATTTTGTTAATTGCCTTTTAATTACAGTTTGTTGTCAATAATATCTAATTGCTTACATTAAAAAAAGGTAACGTTAGTGCATTAATAATATAAAAGTATATTCTGAAGTTTAAGGATAAAATTTTTAAATTCTTTTAAATCGTACAGTTGATTACTTTTTAAATACAACCCTGTTGTGTTCCTTATAAGTTATTATTATTTGTTATTTGTTTTCTTTCAGCCGGTTACATTATTTGATTTAGATAGCGAATTTTCGTTGATTTTCTTATCTTTCAGGAAATGTATTTGTTGTGTGCATAAATGATACATCCTAGTTGAGTTGAAAGAACCGAAGAGTTCCGAATTAATTTCTAATTACAATTAAGTTTCAAGGAAAATACCTAAGAAATGGGTGTTTTACGGATTTTATTCTCCTCTGTATCTTGTGTGTTGGGTTGGTCCTCGCTCGTGGCCTTCCTGATTTTGAATAACTATCCTGCGGCTGTTTTGGGATTTACGTCGGGTGAGTATATTTTTTACTTTCAATATAAATGTTTTGAAAATTTTCTATATAAATAGAGACTTAGATTAATAAGTAAGTTTAAGATGGTTTTGTGTATAAGCCCGGCTAGCTCAGTCGGTAGAGCATGAGACTCTTAATCTCAGGGTCGTGGGTTCGAGCCCCACGTTGGGCGACCTTTTTTTTCATTTTTTTTTTAATATTTTCAGGAACTCTTGATGCTATATTAGTTTTTTTGCATTTTCTCGAATATAAAGGAATTTTATTCCAATGGTACGAAAGGGTCGATTTGAGAAGATTTTGTAGATTAGGCATTTTCGTATCGGGCCTCGGCATTCTCTGCATAGGATATTTCGCAACAATTCAAATCATGCTGAATAAACGTAAGATTTTCTCGATTAATATCAACTATCGAATTAGATTCGTTTATTTTTTATTTTCAGCCATGCTACCAATTCCAGAAAGCGGAGTGATTCCTCTGGTGTGGTCGATTGTGGTTTTAAGAAGCGGAACTTTTCTAATTTATTATTCTCTAAAATACCAATTGGCGTACGACGAATACTCCAACAGAATTTTAAACTCAGATGAACAGGCTTGAAATGTGTAAAAAGATCAGAATATCCCCTCATTGTAATTTTGATTTTTATTCTCATTAACATTAATTACAAGTGTTAGGGTGAAGTTTATAGCTGGTTCCATAAAAGAACATATTACTTATTGAATAGAAAAGTCTTATATTTCTTTGGAATATGCACTGTGAAAGTTTATTATGATACACCCTGTATTATATCCTTTGTACTCGAATCACGTCCAACGAGCAACTTTGACTATTTCATTTACTTGCCTAAATTTTACGTTTGAACTTTGAACAGTCTGTGATATTTTTGTAACGTTAACACGTCGAACGCCATAGCAGAGTAGGGTTTAATATTCATAGGGTTTAATAAATTGTAATAGGTATATAAAAATTTCAATTTTCGATTAAATGGTTTCTCTTTATACCCGTTTTCTTTTTTACTAACATCCTACACTGCCCGAAATAATTAATGTTACCTATCCTATATCCTTATCTACTCTATTTGAACCGTTGAATATTAGAACTGTTCAGGATCAGCTAGAACTGCCTGCAACAATTAAAACGCCTTCAGAATGAATTAAAATCGCCCAATGAAATGTCGAGTCCTTCAGGATGAATTAGAACTGTTTTAGAACTGTAGAAGAGACCGGGAACAGTTCAACAGTTGCCTGATGTAAATGGGAAATTGAATTGTCGAAATGCCAATTGCCAATACATTTTAAACTCTCACTGAAAACACTTAAATCACGTCTCTCGTCTTCTGGGGATTACCTCCTATTACTTATGCTCTTGCTCTGTTCTGTTCTGTCGATGGAAAGTCGGTCAATATGCGTAGAATATCCGGCTGAAGCGCCGATGAGATTCAGTTGATTTTCTACTGGTGCCGGTTCGAGCGGGTTCTCTCTGAAATCTCTTCTTTTCAGTACGATTGTAGTGGATTAAGTGCGAGAAAAATTTTTAATTTTAAATTTTCTGTGGTTTTTTTGAGGAATTTTGGATTATCATTTTTTTTTCTCATCGAATAGGAAGGAATAATTTTGTAAGTATTTTTTTTAATATATTTCCTAATATTTTGTATACGTATTTTATGTTTAAATATCGTAGAAACGGCCAATCGAAGTGGAAATGTAATTAAGCAAAGGATGAAAGTATAATATAAGAAAGTAAATTAAAATAGGCTATAAAAGAAAACCCATTAAGTGAAAATTTTACGTGTTAGAAATTTTTTCTCTACTTCGATTATTTAGCAACTTTTTTTTTTCAGAATCTTCTTGTATATTCGACACAAAAGCTGAAACATTTCAATTACTCATTGCGTAGAATATAATGCAATTAATCCATCAAAAATCGATTTAAAAATGTCGAAAAATGTCGCTGTAATTTCATCGATTTTAATTGAGGAAATGTCGCAAGATAATTCGCTTTAATTTAAATTAAAATGAATCATTATTAACTGATATCTCTTCGATAATTAATCGATATTTAATGGACATTCTGATGCAGTTAAATAGTTAGATAATTATCGAAAAATATGCCTCCATTTAATTCGAAAGAATTTTTTTTATCTAATTTTATCAATCATATAAACATATTCTAATTTAATTTTTTATTTCAGATGAATTTACGATGATTATCCGTTGGCAGCTAATTTTCGGTTTACTATTAACATTCACGTGGAAAACAATCGCTAAAAAAGGTAAAAATTTACCATTTTCTATAATTAAAGTAATTAAAGTAATTTTTCTCCATATTAAACATTTATCATTTAATATAATGATTTGTCCCGCATAAATTGCCGTTTAAAGGAATTTCCAATCGGTTTTTTGCCGTGCCATTGCATAAGTAACATATTTAACTGGTACTTATGCGAAGGTTAGAAAGCGTAACAACAGCTAAGGAAACAAGTTCATCTATTTCTCGAAAAGCTGTATATTATATTTTATTTATACGTTTATTTTTACTAATTTTCAACTCCTTGCTCTCGATCTCGATTCATTCGCTAATCATGCTTTAATGATTTTGCCAATTTAATAGTTTCATGTTTATAGTTCTTTTTTTTAATAACTTGTATTTAGTACAGTTGAATTACAAAAAAAAATCGTCATCAGTATTTCTATATAAAAATGAAAAATTAAACTCTACAAAAATCTTTTTTAAAAATTGCTAAAAAAAACGCTAATTAGCAGCTAAATGGAGAACAGTGTGTCAGCCGTGGTAAGATAGGATGTAGAATGGGAAATGAATAGAAAATAACCGGTAAGATACCGGTAGAATACCGGGTGCTCAGTAGGTCAGTGAGTCATTCGATAAATCGTTGTATAAGAAACCGATTCCGTGGGATTCCCGTAAGAAACTCGGAATAACTCGAAAATTAAGCAATTTTCGACAATTTTGCAATCTTTAAGAAATCTGGAGAAATGTTTTTTCTACCAAATAAAACAAACGGGGTATCTCGATCTCGATTATTATTCGAGATAATTACGTTTTTTCATCGACATGCGCTAAAAGTAGCAATTTCGACACACTCTAGAAAAACTCGACATATCTCAAAAAATAGGCAATTTTCGAAAATTTTTGATTCCCAAAACCGTAGAAAAACATTTTTCTTACAATCTAACACAAACACCAGCCTTCTACCTCTCTTATTTTCCGAGAAAATCTCGATTTTTAAACGATAAAAATTCTACAAATTCAGACCGATTTGTGTCAGTTAGATTATGTTCTCGTTTGTTAATTACAGAATCCAAAACAGAAGAAACTTCGAAATGCCCCATGTTGACAGAATGTCCTTACCCTCAGGAATCCTGCACAGAGGACGAAGATTGCAGGGCAGACGCCCTTTGTTGCAGCAGTCCCTGCGGAAAAGTTTGCACTAAACAGTTATTTACAGGTGAATTTTTGATAGCGATTATCTCGGAAATTAACGAGTTTTCCAGGATTTTTCATTTTTCAAAAATTGTAGAGGAAGGTTTTTCCAAAGGAATGGAGCCAACGTTGTTTTGATATCCCTATTAGTTTTCGAGATAATTGTGTTTTTATCTATCGAGATAACACAAAATATCTCGAAAACTACTCGATTTTCGAAAATTTTCCGTTCTCCCAAAATCCTAGAGAAACTTTTTGTCTACAATCCGGCACAAATTGCACCGTTATATCTCGACAAGTTTCCGAGATAATCCCGATATTAATTCGCAGGATGCCAAACGCTGCGAATGGCGGCGTCGCGACGCGCCAAAGCGCTCAGCGTCGGGACGCCCGGCGTCCGAACGCCCAGGTGCAGCAAATCGGGTGGTTTCGAGCCCATTCAATGCGACAACGAAATCGTCAGCTCCTGCTGGTGCGTCGACGAAGCCGGATTCGAATTAGCAGGAACTCGGGCTCCTGCAGAGGCCCTCGTTAATTGCACTGGTAAGATCTAATCCACTCTAATTTTGCTCTTGGTTCTTCTACTCTAAATTAATGGTGTTTTAAATTTGTAAATTTCACTCTCGCGAACCGACAGCCGGTAGGAAAACGAATTATAATAGTATTATGTGACCTCAATGCATGTGAAATTTTTAGGAACAGGGTCACGCTGTCTCGTATAGAATCCGTCTCATTCAACAAAATATTTACCCTCTCTTTTACATTATTATTTTTCAAAAAACGTTACAAAAATATCAAAATGTGAAAAATAACGGTTATTTTTTAACAGTCGTTACTGCACCTCTATACCAAAAAATTGATTCCACCTCTATTAATCCCCTGTCACGGATACGTCATTTTCAGTCATTTTTGACGTTTGTTTGTTTACATTATTTGTTGACGTTTTATACCATCGTACGCAACTTAAAGTCCTGCATGAGATTCCAGAAATTATTTTTTTGTTACTTTTCGCATACAAAAATTTACAAACAGTAAATTTGTTATAAAATCTAGTAAATTACGGTAATAAATATTTTTTTATAATTTTTTCGCAGCGCCCAAACCTTGCGCGGATCACACGTGTCGCATGTTCTGTCCTTACGGGTTCTCCCTGGATAAAGCGGGATGTCCGCTTTGCAAGTGCAGGGATCCCTGCGAGGGAGTGAGATGCCCGGGGAGCCTGGAATGCCGTCTGGAAGAGCTGGCTTGCGCCGATCCCCCTTGTCCCCCCGTTCCTACATGTAAGTACATTTAAATTTAGGAATTAAAATGCAAAATTTAAATTCATCGAAATGTGGAATATTTCACCGTTTATGCAGGTACTAAAAACCTGTAGAGAAATGTTTTTTATTAGTTCGCGATTAGTTAGAGATAATTGCGAGTTTCGCTTGGCGAACGAATTCGATATGTTAACATTTCGAAGACATTTTAAAATGAGAATCGTGACAGTTTGAAAAGATGCGCTCCTCTATAAGAAGGAGAGTCCACAAGTACAAAAAGAAACGAGCAAAAGGAGCGCCCGAATCACGACAAAAATACCTTGGGAACTGTTTTGTTTAATACATTTACACACACACACAGTTCTATCTTCCTTTCTTCGAAAGTTCACGGTCTTAATTATACGAAGAAAAGGCTATTCTTTCGCAATTTCGAGCCTTTAAAATACGATGTTTTTTACCGGGAATTATTTTTTTTCGGTCACGATTATTGTTCTTCGAATTCCTTGACATTTTCGGATCGATTTGCGAAGTTTGCAAATTTGAAATTTCCTTATAAAACATTGCTTATTCAGTCGCAATTTACGTTTTAATTAATTAACTTCTTAAAATTAATTTTTTTTAACTATTAAATTCAAAAATGGAGACATTTCGTAAGTTAAATTTTATGAAACCTTGGGGCTTGTTCGGTATTTCTACGAGTAGGTAGAGAGAAAGTGAAGACTCACCTGCTTTGTATTCTAATCGCATTCGATTAGAAAAAGACGCATCAGTACGCGCATTATACAGGGCGTTTCAAAAACAATTTAAATTCCTATCAACGAATGAAACAAAAAAAATATTACACCCCGTAAAATAACCCTAGAATTTCTATCAAAATCGAACCGTCTCCAAACGTCACAAACTCCACTAAATTCCCCGTTTCATATACCATCCTGCACCAGCAGGAGGTCTCGAATTTACGAATATCCTGCGTAAACAGGACCACGTGAACCCCCCTCACATGCATACTAGATCCCGAAATGCCCGACAAGGGTACCGAAAAATCCTACTCCCACCATTCGGGATCCAACAGGAGCTTCATGCGCAGCTTCCTAGCAGGCGGCATATCCGCAGGAATCGTGAAAACCGTCACGGCGCCCTTAGAACGCGTCAAGATAATCCTGCAATTGCAAGCGGCCCGAAAGGAATATCGCACGAAAGACGCTTACAAGGGCATCTTAGACGCCTTCCTGCGCGTGCCCAAAGATCAGGGATTCCTGAGCCTGTGGCAGGGCAATTTGGCCAACATAATCCGGTACGTCCCCACCCAATCGCTCAATTTCGCCTTCAAAAGCGCTTACAGGAAGTACTTTTTAGGAGACGGTTCGCACTCGTTTAAGCACTTTCTGTTCGTGAACGTCCTCGCAGGAGGCGCCGCAGGATCGTCGGCCATGTTGTTCGTTTATCCGTTAGATTACGCCCGAACTGCCCTCACTCTAGACATGGCGAAAAAGGGCGCTAAAAAGGAATACAGCGGTATCGCCGATTGTATCGTGAAAACTTACAAATCCGACGGCTTAGCAGGATTGTACAGGGGATTTGTCGTATCGGTGCAGGGAATATTCATCTACAGAGGAGCTTATTTCGGATTGTACGATACGGCTAAAGGTCTCCTGCCGGATCCGAAAAATTCGCCGTTTTTGGTTTTATTCGCCATTGCTCAAAGTGTTACGACTGTAGCAGGATTGGCTTCGTATCCTTTCGATACGGTGAGGAGGAGGATAATGCTGCAATCGAACAGGAAGGAAGAGGATAGAGTGTATAAAAGTATAGGCGATTGTTGGGTGAAGATTTACAGGGAGGAAGGGGCTCGGGGGTACTTTAAGGGGGCCCTTTCGAATATACTGAGAGGAGTGGCTGCTTCTCTGGTGCTGGTTTTTTACGATAAAATCAAGAATGTGGTTTAGCAGGATCTCGCCTCTATTAGGATGTTTATATAACTTTAAGCTGTCAAGTTTTGTTTTACACTAAAACCAAGTATGACGTGCTTGTAGTAAATGGTATTATTTTGTAAATATAACTTTAATCTATGAAATTCTTGTTTTTTTATTTAATTAATTTTATCTACATTATGTGTAGTAGCTACAAAATAGTGCAGAAAGTTCGTTTTCCTCGTAATTAAAGATGATTTTTCTCAGGTAAACGTGGAAGGTCCTTGGAAAATATTTGTCCTGTCGGTGATCCTTTACGAATCAGCGATACAGCCAGGCCTTTTCTATGCGGAAATGATCCGGGAAAACCTCAATGTCCGCCGCTCTATCAGTGTTTTGTACAGACAGGTAAATAATTATTAATTATATTTTTTAAATATTTTTTTGCTAAAAGTGTATATGTTGCTAAAATGTGCGATTATCTCGGAAAGTTGGAGAGATAGAAGGTTTTTCTTAAAGACAGGTTGTGGGAAAAAGGTTTTTTTATTATTTTTGTAGAATGGAAAATTTTCGAAAATCCCCCAATTTTCGAGATAATCGTAAAATTCTAGAAAAACCGCAAGTTAAAAATAACTCCACAAATTACCTTTTAATAACCAAAAATTAATGCGAAATGACCTCTTTTTGTTCTACAATCAGGAAACGACTACGGCGTTTGTTGCCCAGCATCCTTAAAAATCCAAAAAACCGGCACATGTCCTGCTAATAAGGACTCAACAACGCCCCAAAATTGCGACAGATCCTCCTGCACGCACGATCTGGAATGTCCTTCCGTACAGAAATGCTGCGACATCGCAGAATGTGGACGGTCCTGCATCCATCCCACCAACGTCACAGGTAACAAACTCGTTTATCAATTGCAGGAATTCGCTAAAATGTCACGGAGATCGCGCAGGAATTGCGTAAAACCGACGATTCTTAGGTGTGTTTCTGCGACTTTAATCCTCTCCGGTTTCGCAAGATTTAATTTCACGCCGAACGTTATTTCATGAACACGTAGCAGGATCGTCTGCTGACCTTTCGAATGAAATTCCTGCTATTAAAAAATACTTCCATTTTTGCGATTTATATCTTCGCGAACAAGAAGTGAAAGTAATAGTTTTTAATAGCTGTTTATTAGCAAATTAAAGCGATTAGCAGGAATAATCTACACTATTTCCTACCTCTCAATTACATCGCTATTCCTGCTAACCAATAAACCATCATAAACTTTCGCAGAATGTCTACACCAGCGCTCCCTATCGGAGATTCTGGCCGTCAGCGAAAGATCCGGCAGGGGCTACGTGCCCCAATGCACTGAGGACGGTCGATTCGAGACGAAACAGTGCAGCAGGAACGGCTTGGTTTGCTGGTGCGTCGACGAAGGCGGCAGGAAGGTGAAAGGTTCGATGGGCGCCGCCGATGGAGTGGATTGTTCCATGATGGAAGAGGGTAAGTGCCCTCGGAAAATCGGGGTTATCTCAGAAACGGAGCGAGATAGCAGGACGCGGTTTGCGGTGGGGTATACATGAAGGTTTTTACTACGATTTTTGAAGAGTGCATAATTCTCGAATAACCCACCGTTTTCGAGATACACCCGTTTTAAAGTCTGCTACCTTTTAGAACGCGTTAGAACGATGGCGAGAAGCCTCAGGAAAACCCCCGAATCCTGCGAGGTGTTAGAATGCGCCCAAGTCTGCGAGTACGGCTTCAAATCGGACGAAAGCGGCTGCGATTCCTGCAAGTGCGACGATCCCTGCGATGGATTCACCTGTCCCGAAGACGAGGAATGCATCAACGTCAAGGAAAACTCCTGCTCGGATTTCCTCTGTCCCACCGTTCCCGTTTGTAAGCATACCGAAGGATCGAGCGATATGTTCTTTAAGGTAAATGTCCTTTTTCCAGGTCGTCCTAAGGCCGTTTACGCGAATCCTTGCGACCAAGGGGCCCCGTTAACCGACGATTCGAGCGGGGCTCCGGTGGCGTGCGCGCTTCGCTCCGAGACGGGCGTCGTGTGCCCGACAACTCACGAATGCACGGCCGTCGCAGGATCCACGCAAGCCGTGTGTTGTCCCGTTCTCAAGGACCAATTACTCGAAGAGTCCCAGACCGAGTTGTCCGAGGATTACGTGCAGGATATGAGGCCTCAGACGAGTACGTATTTCGCGAGGTTCTCGCACGGTAATTTGCCGTGCGATTAGCTTTTATTGTGATCTAATCCCTAGAACAAAGCTATAGATGGTTTTCTTGAATTTGTGGTTCTGGGAAGTTGTTTTTAGTTTCTTCGAATAAACAGATGGCGCTGCAGCTGTTTTATTCAGTTAAGAAATGAGATATGGCAACTAAGCGTCGTTGAAAAACGTGTCTGATTTACCAATTTAACATTTTATAATCTAAATTTATAATCTAATCACGGCCCTATATGTCTAAGGTCTGGAAACATGGGTCGAAAATAACGAATAAAACGAATAAAAGGGTTCCTAAAACGGCCGATAGGAGGCGATGTTGTAAAGGACCACGGTTTTTTGCGTACGAATTATGTAGAATTAGCATTAAAAAAGGTTTTATTCAAACTAAAAATAGATAGAAAATATAAAAATATACTTAAATCAGCGATGATTTTGTTGTTAGCATCACGCCTCACGTATCTTTCACGGTTTCTCCATTTTCTCCTCGAATTGTCAAAAAATAATTTTTGAAGTTTTGACAGCTCGAACTGTCATCTGACAACCGCGATTTATATGCAGCGCAAAAGTGAAGTTCAAAAAGTTTTCAAATAACGGGACACATTCTCTCTAATGAATAAGCATAGATTAGGTAGTTTCCAGACATTAGAAATATAGTGCCTTGGATCTAATCCAGTTGACTTATTCGATCCTTAATCCTCATCTAGTGTGCGAATATCTCCACGAATTCTCCTCGAGCATGGAGGGAACGAGAGAGGGAATGTCGCTGGCGTTGCCTACGCCCGATTGCGACGCGCACGGTAACTATTTACCGTTACAATGCCAGGAAAACTCCTGCTGGTGTGTCGACAACTTCGGCACGGAAATCCCGAATACGAGAGACAAGGACGCGACTATGGAGAATTGCACGGCGCTGAGAGAGAAATCCGATTGCGTTGATTTGACCTGCAGGATGGGCTGCGAATACGGATTCGTCCTCGACGAACATACAGGGTGTCCGAAATGCACTTGCAGAGATCCTTGTACGGACGTCACCTGCAAGGATAATGAACAGTGCCAATTGGTCGAAGTGAGCTGTAAGGATCACTATTGTCCTCCTGTACCGGCATGTAAGTTTCATCTTTATTTATCCTGCTGGAATTTTAATTATTTATCTCTCAAATCCCCCAACCAGTCATTTGTAAATTCAAAAATTTTTGACGCCAACATTGAAAATTATCTGTCAATTGGTTACAGAAATCCAATCAAAATGGCGACAATTTTGAACAGGGATGTATTAACTAACTTTTTAATAATTAAAAATTAAAAAAAAAACGTAGCTCTCTTATTTTTCACAATATTAAAAAAATTTCCTTGAAAAAGTTGCTTAGAATTAAAAGATCTACACGCAGCTAATAAAAAAGTATCAATTTACGAGACACCCTCTATATCTACCGTCCCATCCTTTATCCTGCCGCAATCTCAATTAATCAACTCACTTACAGGTCTACCAAAAAAAATCGGCCAATGCCCTTACCTCATACCGGCGTCCACGACCTCCTGCGACTTCGAATGCAACTCGGACCTCTCCTGCAACGGCACCAGCCGGTGCTGCTCGAACGGCTGCGGCACCCAATGCCTCGAACCGCTCCTGCTCACCGCCTGCCAGCACCAGAAGCTCCTGCTCGAACACCAATCCCGCGAATCCGGCATCCCCGCCGGAAAGACCTACATCCCCTCCTGCGAACGGGACGGTTCGTACAGCCGCCGCCAGTGCGATCCAGGCGCGCAGGAATGCTGGTGCGCCGACTCCAGGGGCTTCGAGATGGCCAAAACTCGCGCCCGAAACGTCTCCTGCGACGCTCCCGGTGTCCTAGACGAGTGTACTTCCCCGGATTGTCCGTACGACTGCGAGCACGGCTACGAGTTGGACGGCAGGAGCGGCTGCAGGACGTGCCGGTGCGTCGATCCCTGCGCCAGCGTCTCCTGCCGAGGCGAAGGCGAGACCTGCAGGTTGGTGCAGGTGGAGTGCTTGGATTGGCCTTGTCCCGCGGTGCCGATGTGCCTGCCCAAAAAGGAGAATCCCTGCCAGAACGGCGGGGAGCCTTTGAAGCTGGGTAGTACCGAGGAATTGGTCACCTGCGGGCCCGATTACGAGAATTGTCCTTCGTCGCACAAGTGCCAGTTGAGTCCTGTCGGAGAGTATGCCGTTTGTTGTCCCAAACCCAGTGAGTTTCTGCTGCTGAAAACACCTCAAAATGCACTTCTACTGCATGGTTCTTATATTTTTTTGTTTCCAGGGGACGTTTGCTTCGAACCAGTCGATCCAGGACAATGCTCGGAACCCTACGAAAGCAGGAATCTAACCAGGTTTTTCTTCAACTCGAAGACCAACAAATGCGAACGGTTCGTTTTCACCGGATGCCAGGGGAACCACAATAACTTCCACACCGAGAACATGTGCAACATCGTTTGTCCAGGTAAGGAAACCAGTACATTTCTTCTTTGTACCGGAAGCCTCGAGCACCTGGAGCAGTTTCTAAGCGCTCTTCAAGGACCTTCCTATAAGCTCTACACAATGATTTGAATGCTTTCTGAAGCCTACTAAAGCTTTTTACATCCCTTCCACATCCACTTTTCCTTCAACTTCTTCTTTAAGTACCAAACAACCCCTTTACACACCACCTGGAGCACCTGGATCAGTTTCTAATCCCTCTTCAAAGACCTCCCTACAAGCTCCTTTAAATGATTCGAATGCTTCTTAAAGCCTTCTCAAAGTTCCTTCCTCTCCCTTCCAGAGCCTTTCAAGACACCTTTCCACATCCCTTCAAACATCTAACGTTTCCGTAAATTTCCAGTGCTAAGCCAGTGCGAGCGACTGAGAGAGAAGAACCAAAGAGCCTCGGAAATGTACAAGAAACCGACATTCGCGCCGAGATGCGATCCAGCGACGGGAGCCTGGCAGGCGGTGCAATGTCTGGAACACGTCGGAGTGTGCTGGTGCGTCTCGCCCGCGGGCGAGCCTTTGAAAGGCACCCTGATCAGGGGCGAGGAGCCCGAATGTAACTTCAGGCAGGCCAGGCGTCAGGCTTCGAATAGGTCGGGTTTCGACGAGGATTCCGATATAGGTAACGTGGTAGTTTCGCCTAATATATCGTTGCGTTTCAAAGCGATCGATTGTTGCAGTTTTGGAGGAGCTGCTGATGCAACTGGGGACCTTCGAAAGCGCCCACGTGGAGCAGGAGAGCAGCAGGTGCAGGTCCTTGGGCGGGCAGTGCGACGAAGATGGTAAATTCCTGGCTATGCAATGCGAAGAGGAGACCTGTTGGTGTGTGGATGAAGCTGGAAATCAGTTGGTTAACACCAATACTTTCCAGAAAGGGGAGAAAATTTGCTGTAAGTTTTGCCAGTTTACTAACTAGATTCTCTGTTATATTGAACTATATTTTAGTGACTACTCCCGTAGAAAAGGTTGAGGTAACGTTAGGCTTTAGAGGAGAATTCGACGAGGTTTCCGCGATACCAGTAATCAATGAAATCGCTAGAATCATCAACAATTTAAAAGGAAACATCAACGATGATGGCATAAAAACCTCCATTGAACCCGATATGCTTCAAGTGAATTTTTCGCTAATTGGAAGTAACAAAGTGGACGTTGCTTATAAATTGGAACAAATGGTAAAATTAATTTTCATCCACAAATTTAGGTTGAAATATTAAAATAAACTTGTGGAAAGGGCCCTTAATTGTACTTCTCTCTTCTTCTCTAATCGGTGTACAGATGATTGGCCTTTTACTAAAGTAGCTAACGGTTCAGCTAACTGCTTGTCCATTTTCCTCCATACTGTAAACAATTAATTCACAAAAACTTGAGGGATGAACCTTCCCTCTTCTTCTCTACTCCTCCTACAGAAGATTGGCATTTTACTAATAGAATTAACAGTTCTATCTGTTCCTTATTCATTTTCCTCCATACTTTGAACAATTAATACACAGAAACTTGTGGGAAAACCTTTACAACATTTCCTCATTCTTCTCTACTCCTCCTATTCAAGTTTGGCCCTTTACTAATACAACTGACAGTTCTCATTGCTCCTTATCCACTATCCTGCATATTTTAGAGAATTAATTCTCATTTTTCCGCAGGTTATACAACAAGGTTTGCCCGGCCTGACGGCCGACATAACCCAATCGAGGGTTATACACAAATTGCTGAGCCAAATGGACGAGACTTCCGAGAAATTGTTGAGCTCTGAACAGCGAGAAATCGTCTCGCAATCGCCCGTTTCCGTTATCGTTCCTTATCACACGGCCCTAATCGTGATCGCAGCCGCTTCGACGTTCATTATATGCGTTTTGACGCTGCTGGTGTTGCTCTATAGAAGAAAGGTGAGCGAATAGAGGCAGTGGAGAAATGGAAAAATATTTAAAAAAATGTTTTTCAGATGCACAACAGTTTGAACACGCAGAAAATTTCGATCGATTCGAACAGATTCATTTCGACGTCGTCGAATCATCCGATTTACATCGAATTGCCCAACGAGAAAGGCTCCCTGGCGATTTGAAATTTACAATCTAATTTATTAATTTAAATTATTATTTTTACGTTTAAATTGATACTGAATAAGCCATTCCGATGAAGGTGGATGAAAAGCGTCTATTGTGATTTTATTGAACGTATATCATAAGTAAGACTATGTAGTTTTTAATTTAATTTGTACAGTTAATAACATAATATAATTATTTTCGTAATATGTAAAATATGATTACAATATATGTAAGAATAAAAAATTGCCTCTCTTAGCATTAAATATTGCCATTAAATCATCAATAAAGTATGAGAAACGATAAAATTCTCTTAGAAATAATAAAATTACGCATTTAGAATACAGAGTGTTTTGGGATTTTGATAGCTATCTTTTTCTATCTTATAGGCCTAATTGATTGCTCTACTTATAAGGTAGACTGGGGCAAATCGGTTGTAAAATTTGAATAGTTCAAATTAAATCCTAAAATGTGGCTTTATTTTTTCTCTTATTAGAAATGCTGATACCACATTAAATTCCGAAACTAAAGAATCGAGGTATTAAAAGTTTTTTTTGAAAAAGGAAGAAAACGATTTTACATATTTTTTAAAATGTTGACAATATGTTACATTTACCCCATTACATTTACCCCCGTTCTAAAGTGCAATACAATTATATAGAAAAACATATGGGGCAATTGTAAATACATATTTGGTTCCTCTAAAATTTGATATGCTGTTTATTTATTTCAAAAAATAACAGAGCTACAAAATAATAAAGCAAAAATAAGAAACAAACCCTGTCTAATGCACAAAAGTGCATTATAAAAATAACAAAAACATTAACATAATAGGTAAAAATATTACATTTACCCCATTTTTACATTTGCCCCAGTCTGCCTTAGTATCTAGGGACTTTAATCATTCGACTCTGAGATGGAACACCCTGTATATCAGAATTCCCGGCGTTATCTCTCGTACGAATCGCATCGCCCCGTACAATTCGAATTGTTATCTAACGTTTCAATTAAAATTAAAAAATTTCAGTGAATAGTAGGAGTCCCGAGTGTAGTTTACCATAAATCGTAAACTAGAGTGAAATTTGGAATTCAGCGGCAGCGAGAGAGTGATCAAGCACGTCACTACAATGAGCGATTCGAAAAATCTATAAAGCCAAGAAAACCATTCAATTAAATCGAATTATTTACACGAGCCGGACTCTTGTTAATAAATAATTTATAGCCAATCGACCCGTAAAAATGCGGTTATATAATTGAGAGATGTCCGACGAGTGACGGGCCATTGGAAGATCTCCAAAGGTAAGATGAAGATGGAGATGATGATGATTTGGATGGCTGCCTTAATGGCGTTCGCGGCCGGTGTGGATTTAAATAATTTCACCAACGAGGATTACAAGATCGTGTTTCCTAACAGAGAAGACGAGGGAACTTTGAAGCTTTCCATTGTGGTGAGTATCGCTATTTATATCAAACCAATCGATCGAGAATCCATCAGATGAGAAGGATATTGTTCAACCACAGCAAGATTCTTCTTGGTGTAGTAGATAAAGTCTGTTTGGGTTGCTTAATTTTATTTCCTGATGGTTCGTTTAAAGTGCTTTGTACTCTTATCATCATTCATTCTAATTGATTCTCTCTTCTACATATTCAATTCTGGATGCGCTTATTTCTTATCCTCTTTATTAACCATCCCCTCGAGTTACCCTAATATGTTTTTCAGTAGTACAATTTTTTTTACAACAGTTCATCACCTCTACTTATTTTTATAAGCAATTTTGAATAGGGCTTCTATCAAATTGTGTCGCTAAATAAAACCCCATTGACCTGATATTAACCACAACTTCCTGTTTGTTTTTTTTATTTCAAAAATAACGTTAAAAACATCGTGCTTTGTCGATGGAAACATTACACCGAATTTCACAACGAAAAATCACCAAATTCGTGCGATATTAATCGATATTTAGTGACCATCGACCTCTAATAAAAAACCACTCATGACCCAAAAATAAACGATTAAATTTCCTACAAATCGCCTGTTTGTTAGAGAGAAAAGCATTCACATTAGACGGGAGCTTTATCGGTGGCGTTCGCAAATCGAAATAAGACAAGACCAACGGTCACGTTCGATAACATTTGCGATAAGAGAGTGTCAAGGAGACTTCGTACGAGACCGGTCACGGTCATTTCGAATTGCACCGAGCTCTAGCCAGGAAATGGAAATACTACGATGCATCGTGGATGGTTTTAACGGGAGAAACGAATAAATTGTGAAGCGTAAACCCGGCGAGAGGTCGCAAAAAATACCGAACAATGATATTATAAATGATATGAATGTGTTACAATGGCCCTGTTGGTTTATCTGGGTGTCGTAGTCCAAGATACTCTCGTCGACACAATGTGTTTAAAGTTAAAGTTTATTCACATTGACATAGTGATTAAGCTGTGGGGGTCGATGGGGAATCAGATTTTTTATTATTCCGGCTAGATTATAGTTTTGAACAGATAATTATAGTATTCTCTTCCTTATGTCTATTGTGCAATAGTTAAGATGCCTTAGAGATATTGATATTGTTGAAAAATTCTAGCGAAATCTATAGAAAATATTATTTTTTTCTTTCAGTTATTTCGACATGGAAATAGGACACCGAATGGAGTAGAAGAACTGTATCCAAATGATCCCCATTTAAATTTCACCTATTTTCCATATGGTCTGGGACAACTAACAAACGTAAGAAAATAATGGACAAAATGAATCCCAAATTTTCCCCATAAATTCGAAATATTCTACAAATTTAATATCACTTCGTTCATTATATTTTTATCACGATTAACAATCGTTTATTTCAAATCTATTAATTAATTACAACTTATAAAATATGCGCAAATTTGAAATATTCCACGTTCTGCGATTATTTACATTAAATTAGATGGAAATTTTAGATATTTTTTATCCATATCACATAACATTTATGTAATTTCTTAATTGCAAAGGAAAAGCTTCGCAAATAAATCTCGCCACACGAATATCAATCGAAAAAAAAATTCATATTACGACCTTGTATAAGTTACATGTATAAAAAATTTGTTGCCGAGTATTAATTACAGTATTGTTAGATATTTCATAGAAACATATGATTAGAGGACAATTGTTCAATAGTGCTAATTTTATTTAGCTCTTATTATGGTTAATTTTTACTTATTACTTTTCCTGTGGAATTAGCGATATCCCGGCAATTTTATTCGCGTTTTATACGCAATATTAATTTTTTTAGAAAAGATTAGAGTTAACAAACAACAATTTTCGAATTGTTTACTTCTTCAAAAGAAGATAAATGCATTATCTTATATTATTTTTATAGGCAGGAAAGGTAAAATTGTACTCGATAGGGGTATCGCTCCGCAAAAGATACAACAACTTCCTGGGCAAATATTACTATCCCGACATCGTTGAGGCAGTCAGCACAGACTACAACAGAACCAAAATGTCGCTCGAATTAGTTCTAGCAGGGCTGTTTCCTCCACGCCAGGAGGAATTGATGGCAGCAGCATTAAATTGGCAACCCATACCTTACAATTATCTACCGCTAAACGAAGATAAAGTAAGCATTTCAACTACTCAAAGCCTCTTAAAAGAGGCCCTAAAAGTTTCTTCACATTCTTCGTTTCTACTTCTAAGCATTTCAACTACTTAAAGGCTCTTAAAAGAGGCCCTAAAAGTTTAATACAGACTAAGTTAATACAAACCTGTTAATTTTGAAGGTTCTCGTGAGCCACCTGTGCCCGAGGTACAAGCTGCTCTACAAGCAACACGCCCAGCGTCCCGAGGTCCTGCAAAGGTACCAGCCCTACCGCAACCTCTTCGATTTCCTCTCGGAGCGCACCGGCAAAGAAATCCGCTCCTTCCGCGACGTCTACCACCTCTACTTCGGCCTCTCCACCGAGGAGGAGTTCGGCCTGCAGCTGCCCGATTGGACGAAAACCGTCTGGCCGGAGCCCATCTCCTCGCTCGCCGCCGAAGAGTACTTCGTGGAGCTGGGCACGCCCGACATGCAGAAGCTCCTGGTGGGCTACCTCTTGGACGAGGTGCTGCGCAACCTCAAGCGGAAGATGTTCGATCGCAGGAAGCTGTCGAAGAAGCTGTATTTGTATTCGGCGCACGAGAGCAACTTGGCCTACCTGCTGATCGCTTTGGGGGTGTTCGAGAAGCACCGGGTGCCTCCCTACGGGGCGCATGTTGTTCTAGAGCTGCATCTGGTTGATGGGGTGTATGGGGTGAAGGTTTTCTACGAGGCTTGGGACGGGAGCGGGTTGAGGTTGATGAAAATGGTCCATTGCAAGGAGTTTTGTCCGTTCGATGTGTTCGAGAGTTTGATGAGGAAGTTTGTACCCAGCGAAGATGTGTGCGGGTATTTGTGATGGTTTTTTTTTGTGTGTAGTATCGACGAGGATTCGGCGAAATGTAGTTAAGGAAATTGTAATTTATAGAGATTATTGTTTTATTATTGAGCACCTAGTTATAGTACGTATTTATCGATTATTTACAACGAAATGAGATTAATAATGATACAGAGTCTTTATAAATGATTGATTTCCACGTGACCTAAAAATTATGCAACCCAAATTGCACAGTTGTTATTATTTTCAAGAAATGTCCCTATTTTGAATACAAAATCAACACAGTGGCGTAAGAACATTAATCCACTAGGTTCTTTATTATTTTTGCCTATCATTAATTAATGGTTATATTGATACACAGTTTTCTTCGGGAGAAAGCACAGGAAAAACTAGGAAATATGAACAAAACGCGTTATTTCTACCGAGATTTCATCGAGTTGACGTTGCCTTGACATTAATGACAGATGACAGTAGTCTAGTATTTTTTGTGTACCAACATAAACATAACAAATTTACTACGTTCATTTCGAATTCAGTCACGTGGGAATCAATCATTTATGAAGATTCTGTAGAAGTGATGTAAATCTTAGAAAATTTATACGGGTAAGTGCAAATTTTTTTATAGTATGGTCTATTCTATAAGTTGGAAGAAATGTTATTCAAATAACAATGTATTAGAAGTTGTACTTGTTGCATCCATATTTCGTACAAATTTGCAGTTAACTCCCAACATTTTTTTAGCTATTTTATTAAACTAGCCGGGACATTTTCACGAATCAACCACCAAATGATTTTGAACAATTTTATTTAACTACACAAACAACATATACCATATATGATATACACGTACGTATGCTATATTAACTACATTTAACAAATACACTATTCCAAGATTTCGATAGACTTTGAGGTTGTTTAAACTATCCACGCTACTACTATGAAAATTTCCTAACAAGCTAAGAGTAAGTAGGTACCTTTTAGTGCATAGCGGTTGTCGTCAAAGTTAGAGCAATCATCGCGAAATGGCAAATTTACTCCACCTTCTGTTTCATAGAGGCGAATGGTAGAAGATTTTGGAACCTTAAACGAAAAGTTATTAAATAAATTAAAGGAAAATACCGGAGGAAACCTACTCGAATCCGCGCTTCTTCGACGAACGGGCGACCAGTTGCCCGACGAGATACGCCCCGAGGAGCACCTGAATCACGTTGATGCAAGCGTTGAAGTTGCTGCTACCATCGACTTCTTTTTCCATGTAATTAGAAGCATCAGAAATCGATCGAGAGCGCACCAAATCCCCGCTGAGAGTTTCCCTTTCCAACGATCGTCTGCTTAGAGCTCCACCTTCACCGGAGAGTCCGCCGTTCCTCGATAGAAACCGAGGAGTTCGGCTGTTAGAGCTCGCTTGTACTCTGCTAGGAGACTCCCTAAATCGCCTGCTGTCGACGGTTCTATCGCGATTTTCAACGTTGCTTCTGGAAATGGACCTTTCCCTTTCGGAATTATCCGCGAACCTCATTCGACGTTCGGCGAATCTGATCGGAGCCTCGATTCTGGTAGACCTCTGTCTTCGGTCTTCTCGAACGAGTCTGTCGCTGTCGATGGTCCTGGTAGATCGAGCTCGATATGCTGGGGGTTCTACATTTCTTCGGATTTCCACAATCCTTCTAGTTTCCATATTCCTCCTGTTTTCCACATTCCTCATGCTTTCCCTAGACCTCATACTTTCCACATTCCTCCTACTTTCCATATTCCTCATGATTTCCACATTCCTCCTACTTTCCATGTTCCTCCTGCTTTCCCTATTCTCTCTGCTCTCCCCGGTCCTCCTGCTCCTCTCGTCGAGCGAGCTTCGATCGTTCGAAACGGAAATTAACCTGGTCCTGTGCGCTTCGCGAGCTTGTCTCGCCCTGTTGAGGCTCTGCAGTCTGAACTGAAGGTCGCGGATCATCTCGGAGGATCGAACTCGCGTTCGATCGTCCTGCAACGATCTGGACCGTTCTTGGAAGAACCGCTCGCGGTTGTCGTTGAAGCGGACATTTTCCCGGATCGATCCCGACCTGGAGTCCCGTTCTAATGCGTTCGTGGAGCGCTCCGATGGTTGCCTAGAACACGAATTTATCAATCTAACTAAACTGTGATTACTGTAAACGGAGTAAGGTACCTGTAAGTTCCGGTTCTGAAGCTGCGCCTGTCGTACAAGTTTTCGTAAATGCGGTCTTTCTGCCGGATGGTTTCCCTGCGAAACGGCGGGTTGTCGATGGAGTATCGGTTGGGGAAGTCCCGGGAATCCCGGACCCTTCGGGAGGCGTCTCGGAAATCGGTTTCGAGGAAACCGAAGCCCGTGGTGGTTAGGAATATGAAAATAAGACAAACCGGGGTACTGGCAAAGAAACGTTGGATCGGCTGCATTTTTTTTTTTTTTGGCTGGAGTCGAACGGAAAACTATATTTTACGTTACGATAAGTGTGGCTTGTGTGGTTGAATCAGTTGAAGGAATATCGCTGGGGGAATTTTAGTTGTGGATGCTTCGAGACGGAGACGTTGAATGAGATGGGGTTTCGAGGGAAGGCCTATTTATACGGGTGTAGAGTTCAATTTCGCGGTAGATTGGGTTAGGGCTTGTTAAAAAGCCATTTGCACCAAACCGTGTGCGTGCGGTCGAAATCAATTCGGTGAAAGGCGATGAAAATTTACTGCGAATTGTTATAAATTAGTGGGTACACTGTGAATTTTTTGCGCAGATATTTTTATTGGTATATTGCTCCTGCGCGAATTAAAAGAAATGAATCCGGGAAATGGAAATAGAAAAAAAATTGGGGTGTTGAAGGAAATAATCTTACTATACGAGGGTTGAATTTAATGTACTTAACATGATTCTTAATTTTTCTGGAATTTTCTTAATTTTTTAATAGTTGAACATCTCTTTACATTCTAACAACATCGCTTTGTAAAACATGGGAAAAAATATAATAATTTCGTGTCCTTTTTAACATTGATTAGTAATTTTATTTAAATTGTAGTTTTTTATCGAAGCTATAGCTGGATACAATGTGGTACAAGTTGTCGCTTGGATTTGAAGCAATTTATAAAGTCAAATTGGCAATTTGTCGCAACACATGCGGATCGAATTTATCGGGCTATTGGTCCAGAATTTAATAATGAATTATCCTTATCTGCTTACCGCACACCTCCTCTATTTCGCAAAAGCAACTGCGTCACTACAGTACACTGTAAAAATTTCGAAACCGGAGTTTCAAAAAACGGAATTCTTCATAAATGAGTATATACTTGAAAATATGTTTTATTAATAGTCTAATCGGGAGAACAATATATGAAAAAATAACGGTTATTTTGTAACAGTCGTGATTGCTCCTCTATATCGAAAAATCGATTCCCACCTCTATTAAACTTCTGTCAACGAAATGTCATAAACGTCAATTTTGAGATAAATCCATAATTTAATTGTTTAAAAAGGTGTAGGTAATTAAAATGAGGCTACTAAATGGTTGAAATCGTTTTATTCTAACAAAGAACATCAACCGAACAATTTCAACTCGGGTATAAAAAAAAGGAGTACAACTCGAGATTTTTTATCGACAAATTCACCCGTGATATAACAGAAAAAATCAACCATATACGTCCGTATATATTTTTATTCTATGTACAAATACAATTGCAAAAATATAATTCTCTGTATATTTTTTGTGGCACTATTAATATTGTAAATCTACAGTCTACATTGAATCAGTGATACATAAATATTAACATAACGGGATAATTAAAAATGTCATAATTAATAGGATTTTTATTTTTAGCAATTGAAACGATAATAATTGATCAAATTACCACACTTTTCGTATATCCTTTATACAAATTAAGTTCATCATAGACATTTTTAATTAAACGTTTTACAACAAACTGAACCAATAGAAAACCATCATATTTGCTGAATTTCAAAATTGTTGTTTTTTAAATCAATAATACGTCTAGTAATAAAACTGACTAGAATTTAAGCGCCCAAAAATAAAACAAATGGCCACAAACTCATTTCTTTAAAATAGGAATTGCATATCACTAAAAAAACATAATTTACGAATTTCTGCGATATTAGAAATTGAAATAAAATCCAATATCACTACTATTGTACAGTCTGTAAATTCATAAACTATTGTTTTACTAAGTTCAATAATCTTAGACACCTACTTGTATATATTTGGTAAAGAGCAATAAAATATTCAAAAAATGATATGGTCCGTATAATTGCCTTGTAAATAGATGTAAAGAATAATATCAATATATTTAGTATAGCAGCAACTTCAACAAAATAATAATAATATTTAAAAAAAAGTAAAATATTCTTCTGTCAAATAAATAATTATCAAATAAAATCGAAAATCGTTGTTCATTGCTATTATAAATTATTCGTTCATTTGAGTCTTTTAAACCATACCATACATAATTTGATTACAATATTTTAAATTTTGCCAAGTCGGAAGCCAGACAATCTTGTTAGTTTAAATTCACTACATACAACGAATAACGTAACAATGAGATCCGATTTAATACGAGATTAACTGGCCTCTAAAAATCCCAATTTTCCCCCAATTATCCAACGAACAATGCCAAAATAACATTACAAAATCGCTACAAAACGGTTCGATTAAACTCCAAACCGTCCGAAATATTACACTAATATCATTTACACGTTTTTACCAACTTTTAGCCCCCATTAACTTAACGGCTTCTTCGTAAGTCAACCAGAAAGTTAACGACCACGGCGCCATTCGCATCCAAATCGGCAAGAAACCTTTGTACAGGGCCCCCATACCTTCTTTTTTAACGGTTTTAGTCAGGCAGTCTATCGATGAAGAATACAAAGTTCCTCTAAAACAAATTCAAATATTGTAATGGCTAGGCTAGACAGTAAAAGGCCATTCATTGTCATCAATGTCTATGCCACTGAGGGAATAAGTTCTTCTTAAAAAACCATTAGTTTTCTTCAATATATGTATACATAATGAGTGTCTTACCGCCCTTTATCGTCCATAGGTTGATTCATTACTCTAGTTTTGATAACATCAGCCGGGGTTCCCATCGAAGCCGCTACGAAACCAGCGCAACAACTGGATAACATGTGGAGTATGTAGTTATCAGGTAGATTGGTGTGCTTCATTATTGTCCTCTTTGCCATATCGTACGTCGTCAAATCTCCCAAATTCACCAAAGCTGCCCTTTGTACGTTCGGAACCGATCCTAAAAAAAGAAATAATCGAATCGAAGCGTTCGTTTTAAGTAACGGTTATTTTGTAACAGTCGTTAACACAGTCGTAATGCATCTCTATACCGAAGAAATCGTGTCCCACCTCTATTAAACTTCTGTCATAAAATGTCATTAATGTCAAATTGTGATAAATGTATCATCCACGGCCGTATATTTCTAAGGTCTGGAAACAGGCTATGCTTATGCATTAGAGATGTGTCCCGTTATTTGAAGACTTTTTGAGCTTCATTTTTGTGCCCCACAGTGGCGAACGATCGGAGGACCAACTTATCTCAGCCAATCAGGGAATAATCGCGGTTGTGTGAAATGACAGTTCGAGCTGTCAAAACTTCAAAAATTATTTTTTGACATTTCGAGGAGAAAATGGAGAACTACTATAACAGAAGATACTGATTTAAGTATATTTTTGTTTTTTCTATCTATTTTTAATTCGAATATAACCTTTCTAAACGCTAATTCTTTATAATTCGTACGCAAAAACCGTGGTCCTTTACAACATGGCCTCCTAGCGACCATTTTAGGAACCCCGTTTCATCTTCAAATAACGGGGCACTTTTTGACCTACGTTTCCAGATCATAGAAATATCCGTGAACGCATCTTAAAGCCCTACATACGGCCCATTCGTTGAAATTTATGGGTATAACGGAACAAATACTGTAATATTTCGTAGACGAACTCACCTTTCCACAATCCCTTGACGCCCCCTTTGGCCCAGACCTTGCGAAAGGCGTCGGCCAGGCCGTCGACGCGCGGCGGCAGGCCCAACAGCTTGCGCTTCCCTTCCATTTGTATCTGGACTTTGAGAAGGTCCGTGGGACTGGCCAAGTATTGGGCGATGGCGCCCGCCGTCACGCCACCTTCAAACACACATCGTCAGTTTGGTGCAGATCTTTCGTCGATTTTACTCGATCGATAAATTTGCAGGTTAGAAAGCGGGTCTGCACCAAACGCGATTTAAATTTGCACGGCTGCAAGACAATTCCCACTAATTAATAATTGTTTGTTTGGTTTTTTTTTGTATTTTTCTTTCAGTTGAGCCATAATGGGAATTGATAATCGACCTCTAAACGTTCGGAATCCAAGTACTTACATATCGCCGATTGCCACAGCGAGAATTGCTTCTGCTCGGGGTGTTTTTTCATGAAATTCTCCTTCAGGGCTTTGTAGGTGATTATTCGGGTGCCGGAGTAGATGAGATGTCTCAGAAAGGCGGCGTGAACGCCTTGCCATAATCTACCCAGTCCTTCTTCTTTGCCTATGCCGATGGCCGTTTTCACCATTCCCCTATATTGTGCCTAAAACAACGTTTATACAGTGCTTAACAGGGGCTTTACAGGGTATACACTTAGGGGTAGTATCGAAGAAGAATTAAAAGTTGCAGCAAACGCCTTTTATTTAAGGAAATACAGGGTGATTTATGAAAAAAATCGAATCTAGGATTGTGTTAAAGTGTGTACAGTTCCTCAGGGAACACCCTGTATATATAGTATAAGATATTTAACGTACACTTTAGATAGCCGCAATCCAAATAGGTACAAATTAATAACTTACTTGTCCAATTTTGCCATTTTTGGATTGTTCTCCTTGAATTTGCAGTCTTGTTTTGATTAAATCTAGCGGATAAGTAACTGAAATGTGCATAGAAAAAGGTTGATATTTAGAATTTCTATTTTTCTATTTCTAATTGAAAATATTTACCGAATTCTGCGTTGAAAGCCGCAAGAACCGAAACGATGTAAACGCACCATAACGAATCGACAAATTTCGGAAATTCTACCTTTTGGGGCGGCACGGGCGGCATTTTTACAGTGTCTCCTGGAACAGAATGTCGAATATCGGAAACGTTTCGAATCGATAATAGTGAATTATTCAAAAATACAACGGGGAATGAAAAACTCCATCGGATTGTTTTTATAATCCGAATTAAATTTGATACCCAGACATAATAAATTCTTCGACAAGCGTAGCCAACATTCAACTACATATTATTACCAACTACAAGCAAAAACAGAAACGAATTGTTCGACAAATACAATTTTTTACAAGTTATTGAATGATTGTTTTTTGGCACCAAATCACTTTCTCTGTATACTGTCTTACGTTTATTTATTGCAATAATGCGGTTATCACTGCCAGAAATTTCTTTAACGAAAAACGAAGGCCAAATACATATACAGTCTATCGATTTAGTTCATTTCTTTGAAGGCATCATAGGGATCTAAAATTAAACTTGTCCATCGCAACAATACAGGAAAATTACTCTAATATACTGGTGTAGTCGGAAAAATAAAAATAAACGTGTGTATTGTAGGAGCGTATCTAATTGCATTGTTTCCAACATGATTGTTTTACATGCAGGTACTCTTCATTAATGAATACAACCAGTTTACGAGCATTTTATTAGCCAACTAAATATGTTTTTTTAGTGTAATTGCCGCAAATATATTTTATTGTTATTACACAATTTTTATGCATAAAAAATTGTGGTTGTGTAGATAATAAAATTGAAAAAAATATAAACCAAATATTGGAGTAATAATATAGTAGATTGAATGTATTCTACATGCAATGTCAATATGTACCTACTTCAATTAGCAATTCAAAGCTAACCTTCACCTACTATTTTTTTTTCTGTTACATTTACAATAGATTTCTTAGACTCACTTTCCATGTCCTACTTGAATTCTACAAAAGAACAACAACCACTCGGTAGATCTTATTTGAAATTAGAAACAAATATTCGAAAATCAAGGTAAATTATGGAGCGTTTTATTGCGCTCTTTTCCTATAAATTAAAGTTAAAAAAATTGATCTCTGTAAGAATGTTATCGCGAGTTTCTCGAGTCATTCTTTATCTGCGATATGAACAGTTACGTTCAACAATTCGATAAGAAATACACAAATAATTACTTACTGTTAACATCCTCACATTGGGTTTTTGTACCCACGTATTTGCATACTAAAAAAAGATTATTTGCGGTTAGATATACGCGAAGTTACGAATTAACCGCGACTAATTCATAAATATCGTTTCTCTCTAAATATAACGATCGTTGGATTTATGCTAATATTTAATTATAGTCATTTTATTTAACCCTAATACATACAATTTATTATCAACTGAATAATGAGATAAGATGTTATTTAATGTATCAAAGTCTAAAAATCGTTGGTACATGTAGCATAGATTATTGCTTTATCCAAATTTATAAAAAAAAATGTATGATTTGAATATTCTTGTACAAACAGAAAAAAAATAGTAGTTCAAATGAACATTATTTAGACTTACCCAAAGAACTAGTACAGAAACTAGCAGCATTTGCAACATCAAGGCAAAAAATAATATGAGCTTTCTACATGGGCATTTCCCTTTACAAACTTAAACTCCAATAACAATTATTATAATTACCGGTAATTAAAAGTGTGAGTTTTAATTACCACGAAAAAATTAGGAGGCCTTGGTTTCAATTTTTTTTATATTTTTGTAACGCAAAAATTAGTTAAAATAAGTTTCAATGCCAATTTGACTGAGTCAAATTTAATTTGTCAGTTAATTACCTGCTTACTTAGCTGTATAAATAGTCTCCGGCACTTTCATGAATTACGTAAATTGAATTCCAAAACAAAATTAACCTTTTTTTTGGGTTCACGTATTTTGATTTAACAATTCAAATTCAAATTTTGTAGCTGCATCGATTTTATTAAAGAAAGTAAATGATAAGAGAAATTATCAATAATTCTATTAACAAATTTAAACGATAGTATAAGTAAATATTCAGAAAAAAGAAAACGCATGAAAGTAGTAGCATTTACATAATAAACTTAACCTTAAATATCCTTGTTGTAATAAACAATGAAAACAAAACCAATAGGGAAGAAATTACGAACGTAAAAACTAATTTTAACTTACCATTTACTGCACAGACATGGAAAAAGTTGTAATAAATTATTTCAGACCAAATTCTCTTTGCGAGATAAACATGTCACTTTAACTACTTTTACTTTTAGCCTATTTTAGGTCATTCGACCGATTACATTATTGACATTTCTGTCAGGTGACAATGACAGTATTGACAATTGGCAGCGATATTATCAAAATTCAACAAATTTTTAATTATTAAACTCTATTACTTATGAATTATTGTTATCCCATTAAAATTGTTACAAAATAAATAAATCGATTTGTGGCTTATAAATTACGTCAGCAATAGATACAAACGAACAAACATGTTTATTTCTCTCTTTTACAGCCACGTTCTAACTTATGATAGTAAAGGACACGTATATTTTTCGTATTTGCGTGTTTTATGTTTCACGAACTAATTATTAATAATTTTAATTTTACAAATAATTACAAAAGCAAATAAGTAAAATAAATATTCGTAGTTGGCTGCGTAATCGATATAAGAATTTCGAATAATTTAGAAACTCGAGCGCAAACTCTCGAATAAATCAGAAAAACCACTTTCGGTCGGATATTACTGAGTGATAAGGAATTCCCATTCCGGACATCCCTGGTCCGCCATTGCTACTTTTTCAATCGTCAAGTATAGTATTTCACAAGGGGAGCGATTATAATAATCAAATATTTACAAAAAAAATTCGCGATCGATTCTCCTCTATTCCACCAGAATCGTCATGATAATATGAAGATCGCTTATTTTCTAAATTCGAGTGCTAAAACGAGTGAAGTGAATCGTTTCTTATTTTGACTTTTTTTGTAACTGTTGTGCAGTGTCTCCTTTGTTTTGTTAATTTTTGTGATAAAACTAATTGAAATATTACCATTATGGAAGCAATAGCGAAACACGAATTCAACGCCACCGCCGATGATGAGCTTAGTTTTAGAAAAGGTCAAGTTTTAAAAGTAAGCGAGATATAAATTTTAGCGAGGGAATTGTTAAATTAATTGTATTTTTTTGTAGATTTTAAATATGGAAGATGATATGAATTGGTATAGGGCCGAACTGGACGGCAGAGAAGGCCTCATTCCTAGTAACTATATCGAAATGAAGCCCCACGAGTAAGTAAAATTGGTCAAAATTTCTCGCCTAAATATAAAACTAAGCTACAAAAACCATTGTAAATTAAGTATGAGTAATAAGTGTTAGTAAATTTAAAGAAGTGCTGAATGAAACTGGGGGATTTTTTGGTAAGGGTTTTCCCAGAATATACTCTCTTACATAGACAAATTTATTACTCGTATAGATATTTTATAAAAATTATAAAAATAAATCCTTTGCAGGTGGTACTACGGAAGAATAACTAGAGCAGACGCTGAAAAGTTGCTGTTAAACAAGCATGAAGGGGCCTTTTTAATTCGAATAAGCGAATCGAGTCCGGGGGATTTTTCATTATCCGTAAAGTGAGTAACTGTCACCTGTCACATACAGGTAGATGCAAAGTTGGTATACGAGAGCAACAAAGACCACATCAGTTGGTCTCATGTAAAGGACAAAGAAAGAGCGATTGCGACTTTCTCACTCTAACCACTGTTAGTTATCAATCTTTCTTTGTTCAACTCGTAGTTTTGGGAATATAGGTGCAACGAAGACAATTTATAAGTTTTGCAACAAACGATTGTTATTTTCCTAGGTGTTCCGACGGCGTCCAACATTTCAAAGTCCTCCGCGATGCGACCGGCAAATTCTTCCTTTGGGTAGTAAAATTCAATTCTCTAAACGAATTAGTCGAGTACCACAGAACGTCCTCGGTGTCGCGTTCGCAAGACGTCAAATTGAGGGATATGGTGGCAGAAGAGGTGCGTTGATCGCGGTCTAATCGTAGAGTACTAACGGCCTTTTACCTTGCAGTATTTGGTGCAAGCCCTGTACGATTTCACTCCGCAAGAGGTGGGCGAGCTCGAATTCAAAAGGGGCGATGTGATCACGGTGACGGATCGCACGGACCAGCATTGGTGGCACGGGGAAATCGGCCATCGCAAAGGACTCTTCCCCGCTACATATGTGACGCCTTATCATTCGTAAATTCGTTTTTAATCGAGAGATTGTCCGAGGATGGGAACGTGCACACGAAGGTTTTATTTTCCAACAAATTTAAAGGCATTATTTTTTTAATCGAGAGTTACCTAAATTGAATACTATGAAAATTTATTTTATCGGTTTGTTGTCAAGGAATCCGCGTTTAATAGTGGATAAATAGCTCAAATTCGCATTTATATCGATTTTATTTGGCTCAAATCTTCTGCGTATAAAAATAGTCGTTTCAAAAAAAATCTATAGTATTAAAAGGAGTCTTTTTAATTTCGTATTAGTGAAATTACTGGAATACCCTCTCATAATTAAGTAAATCTGTTTAGGCTATCTACTTCTAATCGTCTGATATTGTGTAAAATATATTAAAAGAAAAAAAAATGTTAGATTCTATCCTCCTGTCGCTAACTGATATCTCTGGTGGTTAGGGAGACGTTTACCAATTTTTGAGGCACACTGTAGTTAAAAAAACAAATCGAGATTCAAATATTTGCTGAAGGGTGAATGTATCAAAGAGCTTATTTTTTTAGATTACATTAATTATACAATTTGATATGACGTTTATATCCTAAAAGAAGAAAAATTGGCGAAATTCGTTTGTATTTGTTTATTGTGATGCTTAATGTTTAGCGCTACGTGTTTAATTTTTTATTATGAAAGCATTGAAAAGCTGTGAAAATTTTTAAATGGGTTTTAATTAGTACGTGGGAAGTTACTTTGTTTCGCATTATTTTTTTAAATGAATCGTTCATGTAATTCCGATTTAGTTAGTTTTAAAAAATTTATACTTTTATCAAGGTTCTCTTATAATCTATTTTAGATGTTTAAACATCTGTTTCGATCATTACAATGTATTTTTATTAAATTTTCTCAATGGAATTAATCATTACAAAGTAACTATATTATAAAATGTTCGAGTAGAACCCCATACTTTGATAACGATTTCATTTTTTCATAATAATAAGGTCTGTTTGGGGAAAGTTGGTTTGATATTGGAATTCATATTTTATCAAGATTTGTAACAATTAAATGGTGTTAAACAACTTTGATTTACAAACCCTTTATGATTATTTGTAACAGGAGACAATTTTTTACTTACATTATGTCTATTTTTAAATTAACTAGTTTTAGTATTAACTTTTATGTTATATACTTTAATGAAAAATCGTTATTTTCGTTTAATTTTTAGCCAATATAATTAATTCCTACGATTATTAGTTAGTAGGCGAAACCCATATTTTTTTCATACATACCGTTAAGTGTCTACTTTTCTTTTTTAATGAAATCGTTTTTGAAAATCACGGAGACGCACAATGACTGAGAATTAAACGAATTATTAAAGCGTTACAAATAAGTTTTTTGTAAATTGTTTTGCTGTAGTAACAAGAAAAAAATGATCCAACGAAGAAATTTAATGTAGCTTTAAAAGAAGATATACTCTATAAGCAAAACACCAATTTTATTTAGGATGGAATATGGTGAGAAAATGACAGAAGCTGTGTTGTAGTTTTTACTTTATTATCCCATATTTTGATCTGATGATAGCCAAGATGCCATTTATTTATACAATGTTGATCATACAATCATTAGTATGCCTTACATCAATGACATACTTTTTCTAATTACAAAACTATTATATTCTATTCCGGTTTTATGATAAGCATTGTATATTTCTTTATATTGTTTATTGTAGTTTATATATTGATATTTTATTCTAATTCCGCATTTTTGTGTAAATATGAACCAATAGTTTTTGCCAATTTTTAAATTCGCATTTTATTAGATAATTCACTTATAATTTGGCATTAACTAATTTTTTTGTCGGTTTTTATGTAAATACTAACTTTAGGTTATCAATATAAGTGCAACAACATATTTAGTAAATATATGTTATATACATAATTTTCTCATGTTTCTTTTACTGTTAAACCAAATGCAATTATCGATACGAAAAAAAAAAGTAAAATTAGCATAAATAAAAAATATTTTATTAAAAAAATCATCGAAACTTAATAACAAATCAATCGATTAGAATTCTATTAACGGTAATATCAGCCCGCTGGTTTAAAATTCTAACAGCCATTTTCGGTGTAAAATAAGTCACTCCGATTTCCTGCAACACTTTCCCCCTCGTATCCTCCACTCCTGTAGCTCCTTCCAGAGCCAACAGAGTCTCGCGCAACAACAAAGCACTGCCTTTGCTCAAATTCAGCAGGTTGCAGGACTCGATTACTCTAAAACACATCAAAAATTCAATCGAAACACCACCCACTACCGCCTACTACTCACTGAGTAAAATAATTCTGCGGTTTTTGACTAAACTGCAAGAACAAGGGAATCAGATTTCTAACGATATCGAATTTGAATTGCAGCGCCCCTCCTTCGCTGAAGCGATTATCGAGCACCAGGTCCTCGAACAAATAAGAATCCAATTGCTGGGCGATCGAACGCCACACGAACGTGAACAATTTACCCTGCAGGCTCTTCTGCAATTGATGCAAACGCTTCGATAGCACCTCGAACATCGAGCAAGCCGTAGGCGTTAGGGAAAGACTTCGAAATTCTTTATTCACTTTCATCGTCAGCCAACTAGAAATAACCACTAGTAAATTCGTTTGATATTATTAGAAAAAGTAGTAAGTTACTTATCACATCGGTACGCTTTACTTCTACTCCTAACTTCAACGATCACAGTTTCTGCTAGAGTGTGCAGAAGGTCTTTTCTCATGTGCATATACAGCGACATGGTTTCTGCGAATACAGTATCAGTTTCGATGTCGTAATCCGGATTGTTGTCATCGAAATCTGCTAGAGCAGGTGTAGACAATTGCTTGTCGCTGGCTTGATTTTTGTAGTAATACAAACTCAAATAATGCTAAAAACAATTCGATATAAATACAATTCAAATCAGACATCGTAGCACTAACCAACGTCGCTCCCCAATCGATCAGAACGTTTTCCACGTAATAAATACTGTTTGCTATAGACGGAATGATGGATTCGATGATGTCGCTGCCTTCTTCAGCGTTGACCAGCTGCAACAATCTTACTCTAAAATCGTCCAGCAATTCCAATTGCAAATCGAGAAATTGCAGTCGATGGCCGGGCTGCGGCAGCGACTCGTACCTCTCGGTGATCGTTTGCAAGAGAGTTATGAAGGCGTCGGCGCAGTTGGTTATTTTCAAATTTTCCACATCGGACGTGAGGGGATCGAAAGCATCGACTGCGTTAGGAGACAGCATGGAGTCCATTTTTTCGGTAGCATCTACGTAAATAACTCGAATTAGTGTTTCGATGGACGAGCAGCTTCGTTTACTCACATTTCTTTTCCATCGATAACCATTTGATGAAAATCTGGGGTTGCGTAAGGACGACTAGAACGCTAGGTTGGTTGGCTGGATACTCGTAGGTTTCTCTTAGTTCTTTGTCGAAACCGAGGGCTTCGTCGATCGAATGGGAAAACGTGAAATCGTCGAATTGCAAATTGGGCAGCTCGGAATGTAATTTCTCGACGGCTATTTGGACGAGTCCCCTTATAAATTCCAACTGCAAATAGATTTTTTGATAGTCGATCGATTACTCGATTATGTATCGTTTGTACCTTGGTTTCGATGTGAAGTAAGCCTAATCTATCGGCTACAGGTTGGATATATTTATCTACAAAGTCTTTGTGGTCCCTAATCCATGTAAGTATCTGCGTGAGATACCTAAAATGTACGAAACATTAGAAAAGTATATCGAAGATAATTGTTATTAACTAACCATTCCGGTTTATCGACTCTATTGGTCTGTCTGGCTCCGTAAAAATGATAGAGGAACCGTTTTTTTAGGGGTTGCAGCAGCAAATGTACTGGTAAACATATCGGGGGGAAGTTGGATAAAAGAGCTGTCGTTACCAGTGGGTGAGCGCATTCCGGGGGAATTTCGATTTGTAATAAATATTCCGATACGATTTGGAGTTTCTGGATTTGATTGGTGAAAGGAAGCACCAAAGTGAAATTTTCGCTGACGAAAGGCCACTTTATCGCTTTGATGATTTCGTTAAAATCTCTAAAATGTGCAAAGATTAAATTAAATTCGTCTTTTAAAAAATAACAGGTGTATATACTTGGAAAGATTTTCCTTTAAAATATTGTGCCAATAGAATATATCGTCTTTTAGATAATTTTTAAGATGTTGTCCGGCAAAATCCGCTAAATTTCTACATATTTCAGTCAAATTAACGAACAAAGTTGCGCATTTTTCGTCGTCTTTTTTACCTACTTCTTTGTAAAGTTCATTGCTAAAAACATCAAAATAATTAATACAATAAAATACTATATACGAAATATACTAACTTCAAGTAATCCACTTGCTGTAAAATTTTCAAATATTGCAAAGTACATTGCAAAGTGTTCAGTTTATCGAAGTAGTTTTTTATATCACTTCTAACTTCTTGAATTTCATCTAAATCGTTTTGAATTGTAGATATTGTCTCATCGGTTCTATTAACAGCATCTCTTCCATTTTCTATTAATAATTCGCCTTCTCTAACCGCTTTCCCGACAATCGATTCCCTTTCGGATATATTTAACTGAAATAAATAAATTATATCAAGATTTAGATAACATATGCTGTTAGTAAAGATCTAAACGAACCTGCTTTTCGATCTCTTCCTTTTTCTGCGACAATTCCTCGTAGAGTTTCGTACATTTTCCTAGATCTAAAAGATCTTTAATGTGCTTTTCGTTTAAATTTTGAATAACCTTCCTTTTAATTTCAACATCCTTTTCAAAGTGCATAATTAATTGTATTCTTATACGGCTACATCAACAAAAAACTAATTTTATTAATCACTCGAATTATTATTAAGTAAATAATTCATATTTTATCGAAACTGATGATATGTAGTAAGCTTGAAAAGTACTATTTAGCTTCCATTCTCAATAACAAATTAATTATTAACGATATTAAATTATAAAATCTAGAAAATTAAATATGTGTACAATTTAAATTGTCAATGTCAGCTGTCATGTACAATTTTCTTCACTTTTTTTTACGTTCAAAGGAACTACCAAGTTGACATACGGTAACTGAATCAAAATACATCAAAGTAATAGACCAATTTGCTCATTATTTAGAAAAGTTGTCAAGGGAAACAAGGGATTCAAAAATACAAACAAACTTTTCGAGTTGTACTCGGAATTTATAAAAATGGCTTTTAATTTTAACAGCGACTTAAATAAGTTAAATTGTGCTCAACAGAGTATAGAAAAAACTATATTCTCGATTATAGAAAATTTAAAAAATTATCCTAATTGTTCAAGAATCCACAGCCTGTCTTCAAGTTTGGAAGAGCTACGACAAAACGAAAGGAAAGAACTAAAAATCCTAATCAACGAAATAAGAGATAATATTAATTCTAAAAAACATTTCTTGAAGCAAAACAACACGCTACTCAACATAGACTTAAGCCAGTTGAAACACGATATGATATCAATTCAAGATTCCATACAGTATTTAATGGACAACACCATTACGAAAATGAAATATTTAAAAAACGATTTTTTCGATATCAACCAAGACGTCGATTATTACATAGAAAAAGTAAACGAATGGTCACAACCTATCGATATAAATAAAATCAACTCCAAAACAAACTACAAAACCCCAGATTCCAAAGTGAGCTGTATAGAAATAAGAGAATTTATAGATTTCCTCCACAGAAGCGGAGGTCATGAAAATGGCTGGGACCCGACCGATCACCAATTATTCATCAAATGTAGAAACAAATTCAAAAACCCAGATACATCAGCTAGGAAACTCAACGAACTTCTACCCGATAAAACTATCGAGGAGATTAAACAACACGAGGAATGGTACAAAGAGTATTTAATCCTAGAAAACAACAAAAAAGAAGCCATTAAAAAGTGGCAAGAATCCAAACATAAAGCAATTTCAATTAGCAAACCTCCCGTGCAATCAAAAATAACAATAACCCACGAAGATTTAAAAGAAAAACTATCGAAATGGAAGCAAAACAAAGATATGATTTTCCAAACACAAATAAGCACCGAACGGGAAAACTACCTCAAAAAGAAAGAACTGGAGAGCAAAAGAAAACAGAAAAACGAAGAAACGAAAAGAATAGTAGAAGAATGGAAAAGAACTAAATTATTTTTGGAAGAACAACAAAAATTACGCGCGGAATTCCAACAAGAAAACGATCGAAAACTCAAAGCGATAACAGCCAACAAACTCATTAAAGAATTCCAAACACGAGACGATTTATATATCCTACAAATGAAGAACAGTAAGAATCAACATCAGGCTCAGAAACCTTCGAGAAGCAAATCCACCCAACTAGTCCCGAGGGATCCGGAAAGATTATTCAAACCCACCAGACAATGGATAAACCGATTACACGATGACAATATTTACCCGGAACAAACTCCGATTCCTATTAAACAATTACCCAAACTCGGCGTTCCGGAATGGAGAAGAAAAATCGATTAGACATAACATATCTCAAATGGTTAGCAACGAAATATAAATATATATTCTTCATTTTACTTTTAGCTTTATAATGAAAATAAATACAACAAATTACGCTTTTGCAGGTTCAACTGGAGCTATATCGACATCATCTAAAACATTTTCAACCGGCAAAACGACCTCTACCTGAGGCATCTCTTTGGATTTGGCCTTTTTCCAGGCAGTGTCAAAATTGTAATTCAATTCAACACCGGGTTTATTAACTAGATGGGGCTTGAGCTTGAACGATTCCCTTATAGTATCCAACGCAACCTTATCTTGGAATTTACATCCCGTTATGGATTCAAACAGTTCTTCAGGCGACATCACCTCCGGTACTCCTTTTTTGGAAAAAAACTGCCAACAAAACATCACATTATCAAGAGTAACTTTACATTAAAGGACTACATACGTTTAGAACATTGTTGCAGTCTCTCAGAAGAAAATGAAAAGCGTTCTCGTGACTCGGCTCCACCGACTGACTAACATCGATAAAGTAACATTTATCCTCGTGCCACAAAATGTTATACTCCGATAAATCGGCGTGAATTAAATTCGCTTTATCGTACAATGCCTTCATGCCTTCTATCACCTACGGAACGCCATAAATCTCAATACAATCGAATAAGACCACAACGACTTACTTCGTCGTAGGCCACCATGTAATCCGCATCGCTCAAAATGGCGTCCTTCAATTTCGGAGCGGGTTTGTGATCGTCTCCGATGAACGACATAACCAACACATGTTTCTTTAAAGTAACCACTTTGGGACAGGGGATGCCCGATTTGGCCAATCGCATGAGGTTAGCCATTTCTTTCTCCGCCCAAATGTGAACGGTTTTACGGGCCGTTTGCTTGCCAATCCTGTCCTTAAACCTGTGGTCGTCTTTGATATATTTATCCCGTTGTTTGAACTCCGCAAGGGTCGTCTTGAATACTTTTAGTACGCATTCCTTAGGCAAATCGGGATCAAAGGGAAAACCGGGATCGGTATCGGCGTGTAATATCACAGCCTCCTTACCTAAAAACAATCATAATCGGAATAGTATATGACAGTATACTTCTATTATTTACCTATACTGATAACTCCATTAACCTTTTCCAATAGTTGATTATTTATCAGTTTGTAGAGAATGAGACGTGTGTATTCGTCGATACCGAATTCAGCGGTGGCTTGATCTTCTTTTTTGTCGTTCAATTTGTGCCTCCTAACTTGCTCTTTATTCGAATGTAACTTCAAACTGAAACACTTGTATTAGTGAACTTTGTAGGTTTGTGGGTACAGTTAAGATACCTGTTGAAAACTTTATTGGATAGCTTCAAATCGAAGGTTTCTCCGTCTCCCGTTTGGAATTCCGGAGGGAAAGAGAGTAACTTGCAAGCGTTGTTTCTTCCGCTCATTACACCGTCGTGTTTTGTAATCATTTTGCCGTCTTTGTTGGTTTTGTAACCGCACTGTGGTATGGAGTTGAATTCCTTTTTTAGACTATCGAACCTGTCCCAGTCCTTTCTGTCTCTTATATCGACTATTTCTTCGTCTTCGGAATCGCTCAGGAAGTCCTGGTTTAGAGGAACCCTTCTGTAGTTATCGAATGATATGGAAACTTTGGAAGTTCCATTGTATTTTCCTTCGACGCGTTTCAATTCTTCATCGTATTCCTTATCGAATTGCATTTGGAGTAGCTTAGCTATGGCTTCGTCGCTTTCGAAGCTGTCATCACTAATAGCTTTTAGTATCTCGTCAGGAATATCGACAGGTTCTTCTGAACACGCCACATTATCATTAGAACCTGGATGGAGGTGCTTCAGTAAATTCTTTTCCTCCTTCGCTTGCAGTTCTCTAGCTACCTCTTCGGACATGATGTCATCCAAATTTATTGGTTCAGGCTTGTCGATTTTGGCCCAAGGAGACGACATGTTGTTACGAGTTGCGGTTTTTGTAAAACTAAATTAAGATGCTTTATGTTTCTTAATAAAAAGGTGAATTTTAGAAGATTAAAAAATATTGTGCAAACTATTGTAATGACAGGTTAACTGTGCGGTGTTGCCAAATTTCGATGCTTCCTTTTATTTGTATGCCTACGACTATTCGTAATTACAGCTACTCGTTGATTTAGAAGTTAGAAGTACAAAAAAATTAGTTGCAGTTGAAATGAACGTCTAATCAAACTCTTAAATGTTATTTATATAATTTACGATAAATTAGTAGCAGTTTTCAATTTTATTTATCATAATATTTTGGCAACGTGGATATCCCCTCTCTTATTATTTATGACATTGACATATTGACAACGACATTTGGTTTTGTTGACAAACGTCAGCCGATAGGTATGTGAGTGTGCGACGTGTAAATTTACGGAAAATACAGTTTTAAAAATGAAAAGTATCGAACGTAATAATTACGATATTCCAACGATAATTTGCCAAACTGATAGTTAGTCAGTGTCAGTACAGTGAATGATTAATTTATTGAAAACGTCGATTTTCAGTGAATGTTTATGTTGACATAAACTTTTTAGTTTTCTACAACGGGCTGTGATAAATTATTTAAATTTCTATATATCTTGTGATGTGCAAAAACTAAACAAATCTAAGAAAATGTTACATGGCAAACTAAGAATTCACACATGCAGAGTTATACTTCTCACATCTTTAGTATGGTTCATAATCGATGTGATTGTATTATCTTTCTATTCCGACTGCATTGGAGGCGCCTGCAAGAAATTCGACGACAATGATAATACTATCGTAGCTGAACCTTTAATTGACGAAAATAGTTTCAATGAAAAGCAAGAGGATTCGATAAACGAACCCCAAAACCGGTATGACACGTTTTATTTTAATATCTACCGTGGAAAATTTCAGTAAATTTTTGTTATGCTATTTATGAATCCCAGACGTTTTGCATTTTAAATTTACCAAATATTTACAATTCTATTTAAATCGTAATATCAATATTTTTTTTATTTAAATATAATATAAACAAATAAACCACCTGTTGAAAACAAAAATAATAATCTGCATACGCTATTTATAAACTCGACTATTTATTTTCGATTTTCTCTGTTTAACAAAAATTCCAGGGGGCCCGGATTGGAGGGCATGTCTCAAACGTACAGGCCGAACACGTTGAAGAGATGGAGACCAGCCCCTGTTGTCCCCCAAATATCGGGAAGGCCTGGAGAAATGGGAAAAGCCGTTCACATTCCACCGGAACAGGAGACTTTGATGAAAGAAAGATTCAAATTGAACCAGTTCAATCTCTTAGCTAGCGATATGATTTCTTTAAATAGGTCGTTGTCCGATGTTCGATTAGGAGGGTGAGTAATTGCAATTACAGTAATTACCTTTTTAATTACTTCTGAAATATGAGAGTTTAATCTAATGTGGCTTTATGTTGTATTATCGTGCCACAATTTGAAAAACCTACCGCAATATCCGTTATTCATTCCTATCTAAAAATTAAAGATTGATAATATAATAGATGTTTTAGGCAGGAAATGCCGTTTACGCAAATACATTCAACCAGCATGAACATTTGAAATAATAACAACCAATTGCGTATATTTTTTTTAATTATAAACCAACAATGGCCGAGTAATTATGAATATATGAATGAGTAACTCCTGCGGAGGTCATTATTGCACAAGTATGCAGGTTGTAATAAAATTGTCCTTTTTTAATAGGCTACCTGTTTACCTGCTTTCACTCCAGTTAAATACGATTTTAATCTAAAGTCTATTTAACAGTAGAAACTTATTATTTATTCGTTTACTCGGCGATTAAAGTGGAATTATGAATAAACTTTTCGTTAGTGTAAATAAAGGGTAAATAAATACTTCACCGGTACGAATTAAATCATGTAATTATATGAAAAAAATGATTAGGATTTTATCTGGATAATTATCCTGGAATATATTCGTTACAGTTGCAAACAAAAGAGGTATCCTGCATTACTTCCAACCACTTCCATTGTCATAGTTTTCCACAATGAAGCCTGGTCGACTTTATTGAGAACCGTATGGAGTGTGATAAATCGATCTCCGAGACCGTTGCTCAAAGAAATCATTCTCGTCGATGATTCTAGCGAAGGAGGTGAGTCGGGAAAAATGATTTCGATGATTAGATTTCATAGAAAATTTGTTTATTTGTAAGTTTTCGAAGGAAAATTCTACTGTTCCATTTAACGGCCTTTAAATATTCTCTAATATTTCGCAAATATCCAAACGATTTGTTATTTTGCATCAGTATCTGCCATTTGCATATATTTAAATGTATTTAGAAATTTGTATGTAAATAATTATGTTTACTTGCAGCACAATTAACAACATTAAATAGCGCTTTGGTAAACTTTCTACTTTTTTTAGGGTGCTCAATAAATTGTAAATATTTTTACTATAATTTGTTACTAACATTTAAACAATTTATTAATCGAGTCAAGCCATTAATCGTTCATTTAATGATAACCTTTTTTTATCCATCGTTGGAATTATAAAGATTATTAGTTAATTCGTGTATTCGATAGGAATATTTTTTACTAAAATATTAGTAAAACTTTCTCGCTCTAACCACTACGTTATTTTAATACTCTCTCTTTGTTCAACCGATACTGCAAACAAATCTACCCCAAACTGACCCTTTAGAACTAATTTAGAATCTTCTCCGATTTAGTTTTCAATACTGCAAACAAATCTACCCCAAACTAACCCTTTAGAACTAATTTAGAATCTTCTCCGATTTAGTTTTCAATACTGCAAACAAATCTACCCCAAACTAACCCTTTAGAACTAATTTAGAATCTTCTCCGATTTAGTTTTCAATACTGCAAACAAATCTACCCCAAACTAACCCTTTAGAACTAATTTAGAATCTTCTCCGATTTAGTTTTCAATACTGCAAACAAATCTACCCCAAACTAACCCTTTAGAACTAATTTAGAATCTTCTCCGATTTAGTTTTCAATACTGCAAACAAATCTACCCCAAACTAACCCTTTAGAACTAATTTAGAATCTTCTCCGATTTAGTTTTCAATACTGCAAACAAATCTACCCCAAACTAACCCTTTAGAACTAATTACCTTCTCCGATTTAGTTTTCGCCGACCATTTGGGAAAAAAACTAGAAGACTACGTGGCCAAATTACCGGTTCCCGTTCATGTTCTGCGAACGGAGAAACGTTCGGGACTGATAAGGGCCCGTCTATTGGGGGCGAAGCACGTCCAAGGGCAGATCATCACGTTCCTGGACGCCCATTGCGAATGCACCGAAGGCTGGCTGGAGCCCCTGCTGTCGAGGATAGTCGAAGACAGGAAGACCGTCGTGTGTCCCATCATAGACGTCATATCGGACGAGACTTTCGAGTACATCACCGCCTCGGATATGACGTGGGGCGGGTTCAATTGGAAGTTGAATTTCCGATGGTGGGTTTTCTATTGATTAATCCCTAAATTATTATTATATGTGTTATTTATATGATGCGATATAGGGATTCCTGTACAAATGTGTCAATAGCAAGGTAATTTTTTTACCAAATAACGTTCGTAAAAAATAATGATAGATTTGAGAAGATCGTCGAAAAATAAGTCGAAATGGACGTTAAATTTTATTAAATTCGTTTTGGTTTAATAAAAAAATGTATAATTAAGTTGAAAAAAGTCAAACGTCATATGTCACTATGTAATAGATGTTAAAAAAGGGGGAGATATCTGGATTGGTTTACGCTCTGAAGTTTGAATAATTTAGCGGTAAGGAATCTGGTTCAATCCCACGCAGTGCTGAAATTTTTTTTCTTTTTTTTTATTTGGCATTTTTTGTTTTTTTAATGTTTTTTTTTGTCAAGAATAAAAATATGGCATCATTTTAAAGGCTCTACCAACTAACGAGATTTTGCGTTATTAAAATTGACACTTAATGGTCGGAGCTTTTGTTTAAATAAAAATAAAATTATATCTCAAATAAGCTCGTCTTATTTTAAATATTTCTATTTAACATTTTTTAGACAAAAATATTAGAAAAAAACCAAAAAAAAAAGAAAAAAATGTCTTTATTGCGCGGGGATTGAACCACATTACTTCCCGCTAAAATTTGTAAATTTCAGAGCGTAAACCATCCCGGCTAACTCGACATAAAAATTGACACATTTATGACGTTTGACTTTTTTCAACTCAATTACACATTTTCTAATTAAACCAGAACGAATTTAAGAAAATTTAATGTCCATTTCGACTTATTTTTCGACGATCTTTTCAAATCTGTCATTATTTTTTACGAACGTTATTCGGTAAAAAAGTATGCTTTTGACGCATTTGTACAGGAATCCCTATGTCGCATCTTATAAATAACACACTGTATATTTGCTATTGAAGGTATCGAGTGCCCCAACGCGAGATGGATAGAAGAAAAGGGGATAGAACGGCCCCGTTGCGAACTCCAACGATGGCCGGTGGGTTGTTTTCGATCGATAAGGAGTACTTTTACGAAATCGGTTCGTACGATGAGGGAATGGACATTTGGGGCGGAGAAAACTTGGAAATGAGTTTCAGGGTAATGTGGAATTTTTTTTTTCGATTGTTTGGATGTTATCGAGTTCGATTTCCTGTCGTTAGATTGTTTCGATTTTATGGAAATTAATTGATATATCGTACCGACGGAAATTGAATTCGATGCTTATTGAAATTGATTTTTTTTATACAAGTTCTAATTAAAGAATTCCCGACGATTACGCGGGTATCTTTGATAGGAGATAAGAGGAAAACATGTTTTTTTTTCGATTGGCGATAACGTACCGTTGAAGAATTTTTATCGATCTATCGATAAAATATAATTAACAATTTTAATTTCCTTTTTTTTTAATTCATTTCTTTAAAACAGTTTATCTGCAGTTGAGTCATTAAATTCCGCTCGGTGTACGAGGCGCAGGAATATATTTATTATCTATGAATTTAAAAATATATTTTGATTATATAGGTAAATTGGGCGCGAGATTATTTCTCGAGAGGATTTGAAATCCTTTGAGAATAGAGTAGAGTTAAGAGTAGAGAGTAGAGAGCTGAGAGTAGGGTAAGGTAGAGTAAAAGTGGAGCAGAATAGGAGTTAAGCAGAGTAGGATTGGAGCAGAGCAGGAGTAGAGTACAGATTCTGATTGGAGTAGAGTGGGAATTCTAATTTTTGTAATTATTACATTGAAAGTGATGTAAATGAAAATACTTGGATATAAATAACAAATCTCAATAAGGTAGACTGGGGCAAATGTAAAAATGGGGTAAATGTAATATTTTTACCTATTATGTTAATGTTTTTATTATTTTTATAGTTCTTTTGTGCATTAGACAGGGTTTGTTTCTTATTTTTTCTTTATTATTTTGTAGCTCTGTTATTTTTTGAAATAAATAAATAAACAGCATATCAAATTTTAGAGGAACCAAATATACTTTATAACCGTTTGTTACGGGGTAAATGTAACATATTGTCAACATTTTAAAAAATATGTAAACTCGTTTTCTTCCTTTTTAAAAAAAAAAACTTTTTAATACCTCGATTCTTTAGTTTAGGAAGTTGTAAATTTAATGTGGTATCAGCATTTCTAATAAGAGAAAAAAATAAAGCCACATTTTAGGATTTAATTTGAACTATTCAAATTTTACAACATATTTGCCCCAGTCTACCTTAATCAAAAGAATTATGTGTGGATACTTTGCGCCCATTTTACCTACAGGATTAAAATCTCTAATCCCTTTTACACCCGTTTTTTTTTTACACCCGTTTTTTGCACTCTTTTTAATTAGATTAAAAATTTTTCAACGGATTCTCACTAAACAAACGCCAACCACCTTGTGTCTAATTGAACAACTCGTACGCATTTCCGTCGATTGAACCTTACAGATTGCCATTGTAGGAATAGAACCGAATCGAATGCGAATCGTTTAGTGTTTATAAAATAATTGTTTAGGTATGGCAATGCGGAGGCACGTTGGAAATAATGCCGTGCTCGCACGTCGGGCACGTGTTTAGAGACAAATCGCCCTACACCTTTCCCGGGGGCGTATCGCAAATCGTTTTGCACAACGCCGCCCGCGTCGCCGAAGTTTGGATGGACGAATGGAGAGATTTTTATTATGCGATGAATCCAGGTTTGAAATAGTTTGATTTTTTTTTGTTCTTTTTTTTCGATTAACGGTACATGCGAGAAATTTACCACTAACACGGTTATTTTATTACCCCGGAGGTTGTATGACTTGTTAACATTTTTTTTTATTGTTGTTGTTTTAATCGTATTTAACAAGTAGAGGCGAGTTAACCGGTTGGGTAAGTTGTGATAATATGAATAATATTTTTTTTTAGGCTTTTTACTGGTTTTATACATATGGAAATGTATGATTTTTTTTGGCTTTTATTATGCAGGGTATTGATTAAGTACTAAACTTTGAAGGGTAAAATTCTTATATACAGGGTGTCGAATTCAAAACAGTTAGGGGAAAAATAAATCTCTAAAACGAAATATTCGCTGGGGCTGTTTTTATGAACTTTTCATCTCAAAATTAGTAAAATTTACCTTTTAATGTTTGTCCAAGTACTTAATAAACACCCTTATTAACCGGAAACAATTATAAGGGTAATTAATAGTTGTTATTAATAATGTACATTTAAAAAGTCTCTTCGTAAGTTAAGCTTTTAACGGCTGTATATTCTGTAATAATTTCAATTTACGTCAAGACGACATTATTAATTTAATTATAACGAAACATACATCAAGTAGACACAGGGTGTTTTAATCTAATTAATACATACATACATACATAAATACATACATACAGTGAGAACCAAAAGTCCGTCGCCCCCCCTTTAACTTTTGAATGGCAAGAGCTTTTGTCGAGAAATTTGGGGTGTTTATATTGGAGTAAAAATACTATTTTTTGACGTAAAAATGACAGTTAAAACTTTCAAAATGACAGTTAGGCGCCATTACTCCAATATAAACACCCCAAATTTCGCAACAAAAGCTCTTACTATTCAAAAATTATCGGGGGGGGGGGCTACGGATTTTTGGTCCTCACTGTACACCAAAATCGTGTATTATACCATTTATTTAATGACTGGTTTTTTAGTTTAATCAAACATTAAACATTCATAATATATCGAATCGTAAAAAGGTATTAACTAACAATATGCATGTCGTATTTTTTTTTCTATTTAACATGGCCTCGGGCTCGGTTCAGGTGTGGATGTGCGGGGGCCAGCTCGAAATTGCCACGTGCTCGCACGTGGGTCACGTCTTCAGGAAATCGACGCCATATTCGTTCCCCGGAGGTACCAATCGAATCGTGAACCACAACAACGCCCGTTTGGCCGAGGTGTGGCTCGACCAGTGGAAAGAGTTCTACTATAACATTAACCCAGGTCTCGATTGAATTGATATTTAACAGCATGCGTCTCGTTTGGGGTGGTTTTTTTCGTTGAAAAATGGAGCTTTTTTGCGCTTTTTTTTGCATTGTGGCATGACGTTTTTAATTAACTAATTTATCGTTTAGGTACTTGTTAGAGTTTTGCGTTATTGTCCTATTTATATCCTGTGTTGAGTTATTTTTTTGCATTGTACGCGAGTAAGCAGGACTTTAAGATGCGTTCGATGATACATAAACCTGGACAAGTTCCGTTATTTGGGGATAAAACAGGGTTCCTAAAACGGCCGATAGGAGGCGATGTTGTAAAGGACTACGGTTTTTTTCGTACGAATTATATAGAATTAGCATTAAAAAAGGTTTTATTCAAACTAAAAATAGATAGAAAATATAAAAATATACTTAAATCAGCGATGATTTTGTTGTAAACATCATGCCTCACGTACCTTCGGTTAATGTATTTCTCCATTTTCTCATCGAAATGTCAAAAAATAATTTTTGAACTTTTGACAGCTCGAACTGTCATTTCACACAACGGCGATTTATATGTAGCGCGACGCTGATTGGCTGAGATAAGTTGGTCCTCCGATCGTTCGCTACAAAAGTGAAGCTCAAAAAGTCCTCAAATAACGGGACACATTCTCTAATGCATCAGCATAGGGAGATGCCAGACCTTAGAAATACAGGACCGTGATCAAAATTGAAAATAATGACAATTATGACAGAAGTTTAATAGAGGTGGAAATCGATGTTTTGGTATAGAGGTGCAGTAACTTGTGTTGCAAAATAACCGTTATTTTTTCACATATCGTTTTCTTGGTTGCTCTAACGAATTCTATCTACAAATATATACTGTACTACTTGTTCGTTTCCGCATTCTTCCTACAAACTTTTGCATATTTTCCAATTTAATTTCTGAAACGACCAAAATATCAAATTTTCTAACCAAATTCGTGTTACATAATTGTTTCAATGTAATGTACATCGTACGCAAGTGTAATTTTAGCTTATTCGCTAGATAATTTTAAAGAAATTGTTCCCTACTTCACAAATCAAACGATGTTTGACAGTAAATTCGCACACACAAATTCGAAACATCTCGCTTTATAGCACTTGTACTTCCACAAATACACACAAAAACACGCCTAATAAACCAGTAACAACTTCAACAGGCGCAAGAAGCGTGCCGGTAGGCGACATATCAGCCAGGACGGACCTGCGCGAGAAGCTCCAATGCAAAAGCTTCCGCTGGTATTTGGAGAACATCTACCCGGAATCCCAGATGCCCTTGGACTACTACTACCTAGGAGACGTTAGTAACCGAATCCATCCTATAAATTTAGCGTTAATTAATCGATTCATTCAGATTCGCAACGTCGAGAGCAAGAATTGCTTGGACACGATGGGACGGAAGTCGGGCGACAACGTCGGCATGACCTACTGCCACAATTTGGGCGGCAATCAGGTCTTCGCCTATACCAAACGACAGCAAATCATGTCCGATGACAATTGCCTGGATGCCAGCTCGAGAACGGGCCCCGTGAAATTGGTCAGGTGTCACGGAATGGGCGGCAATCAGGCTTGGATGTACGACGAACACGTGAGTTTTTTTCCAGGGAATTTCTCCTATAAAAGCTCTCTCGGCTTTAAGGAGGTTGGGGCGTTACATACATAATAATCGATATTAAATTTTGTACTATTATTTAGCAAAAAAAGTTCGACGACGTCATTGGTAATTAGATTAAAATGAAATTGTAATACCGAAAACTGGACATTTTTTAATAAAACTGAAAATATCTCGGAAACGGTGACAGTTAGGCATAGGGAAGTGTTATGGTGTTTAAGTTTGGCAACGTCGCCAATGGTTTTGAATGAAATTAGGTTCGATTCTAACCTATCAGCTGTCAACAAAGTTCTCGATTAAAGTGACAGGGAGACCGATTTTGACCATTTTTAGTCAACAAAGTTATATTTTGCATTATTGCAACAAATCCAGCGAGTGAATCGAGTTCAAATTTTACCTGTGTGTTCAGAAAATAATGCATTTGGTTATGTAAAAATATTCTTAAGCATTTATTCGTCTAGTTTTTTTTTAAACGATCCTAAAGTTTCCGCCCATAAGAGCTCATGTAATTTCAGACGATTTTACTATTTATTTTCTCCTATTCTGTCGAGACAAATTTCTTCAAATTTACAGGGGTGGTTTTAAATGCTGTTTTTTTTCAAAATATATTTTTTTAGAATTTTTTTATTCGTCAAGAACGTAACGCTCCAACCTCCTTAATCCTTAATCAAAGTAGGCGAGTACTTGGAGAATCGACAGCGCTGTTGCCGTGTATGTATCGTTTTATTCGATTTGAGGAAAGACGATAAAATCGGCAACGGCGCTTCCTGAACTGTACGGCGTTTTTCCATTGTAAAATTCCCGTTTTTTTTTGTGTTTTTTAGGATAGAACGATAGTTCACGTGAACACGGGCAGTTGCCTTACGAAGCCGGACAATAGTGACGTGAATTTGCCGGTTTTGAAGGCCTGCAATCGCGAGGAGGGACAACAGTGGATAATGAACAGCGACTTTCGATGGCAGGCTAAAAAAAATCACAACGATGAGAGATAGATTCGAACGTCGTGTGCGTTTTTTTTTGTGATATTCTTGTTGTTATTGTTCCAATTAGTCGGATTATTCTTTTTTTTTCCCCAGAAAAATTGCCCTCGAGCAATTAAAAATTCATATGATTAGGTTTGAAACAAAAAAAAAAGGTCAACGAAGAGTTTATAAGTTGTGTAAATTGTTATCTTTTTATTTATTTAAAACTAGAAATAGAAAACTCTAACCATTGAAATGTAAATTCCTAGCGACTCTAAAACCTACCGAATTTATTCTACCGAATTATTTATCTAATTATTATTTATTAATGATTTTTTTGTATCGATTACCATTCCTAAAGACGTTAGCGATTCTTCCTCTCTTAAACGAGACTACACGGTGTTGAAACGACTGCCATTTGTAAATACTGACCGTAGAAAAGTCGTAGTTAGATTAGGAACATTAATTATAAAATAATATTATTTCTTCGACTGATTTTTTCGAGCGGAAAGCGGAGAGTGAATAATCATATCAGGGGGTTTTTTCCATACGTCGGATTCGAACCGAAATGTAAATACTCGAGCGAAATGAGGAGTACATTAATTTAATATGCACGTATTTAAATAATATGCTACATCCTTTTACTTGTCGGGTATACAGCTAAGCGAAATCTCAGGTTGAATCTTTTGCGCATTTTTAATATTAATAAACTTCCTCTTAATTTTTTTAAATAATTTACCGAGTACAAATATCACAAATGCGTTCATTAATTGGTTCCTGAGTGATAATTTATGCCTTAAATGCGTCTGTACGAAATGTTACAACGAAATTTTCAGGCCGATTATACGGAAAGAGATTCAATCTTAATACACCTGCGTGACATATCAATATTGATTTCCAGTTTCGAATCAATTAAAATGCTTCTGTTTGGCTACCTAAAAAGATCGGGCAATGTAGTGGTTGTAATTTTTTTATTTATAAATTTTATACAAGTGTTTTTTTATCAAAGTCTTTAATCAAGGACAATCCTGTATTATCCTGGAAACAAGGATCTTCATAAGTAGGCTATGGTACATTGACCTTCAGATCTCTAATAATAATTCAAAGCAAAAGATAGAGTCATATCTTATTGTTAGTTCCTTTCGAATGAAAAATTTTCGTTTGTCTTCCATTTTATCAACGCCGCTTTAGTTGTAAGTGATTTAAAATTAGTCGATAAATGAAGTAAATTATAATCTTTTAGAATATTAATTCCAAAATAATACATAATATACTCTGTTTAAAAACTAGGGGGAGCGATTTGAATTTAAGTTGGCAACACTGGCGTTTGTTATAAGCCAAGTTCACGCTATAGAAATTTATTATTCCTCTTTTAGGTTATGTTTTAGAAATGTAAAGTATTTAATATGTCGCATTTAGGTGACTTCGTTTCTTTTTAATATAATTATTATTAACTTTAGAGTCAATTTTTGTCTAAATGAAAGTATGTATTTAAATTTGCCGTCTTACAAATTTTCTAGTAACTTTTTTGTGGTGTAAGTCTGACTTCTGGCTTGTCAAATCGCTCCTCCTGTCAAAAATGCGATTTGTTGGTGAAGATTTGCATAATTAAATGTTGTGCTTGTTCATTGAAGGATTTTATATTAAAAAAAGGTTGTTTGATTCATGAGAAAACTAATCACACCATAAACAGGGTATTTAATTAGCTTGCCTAGTCTTTTTAGTAAAAAAATATGTAATTGATGTACCCGGTTGGTGCCTGTAGACAATAGAGAATATTCATACATTATGATAAATGCTTTTATTTATGTATTTATATTACATAAAAATATCTGTCAGTGTTTATCTTGTCTCTTTTAATTTTGTTTCTTTCAATTAAATTTCAAATTTTACTGTGTAATGTAGTATTGTCAAATGATGTTAACCATAGGTGATTTATGATGATCCAATTCATTTTTTTATACATATTTTTATGTATAAGTTATGTACATTTATAACGCCAATCATCTAAAGTACAATTCGCCAAAGGAGATTTGATTTGACATAAAAAAAATCTAAGTCCTAGATATATTTCTGTAAATATCCAATCTAAATATTCCATCCAAGTCTCCATTGTTAAATTGTACGTTATTAATGGTGGTGAATAAAAAAAAATCGAAAGTTTTAGAGGAATTGTTTGACAATATTTTTAAATATTCCTGTAAGTATACGTAGATCTAAACCATAGTCTTATTGCTAGAACATAAATAATCTTAATCAGTTCCGAATCCCTGTGGCAGAAAATTGTTAGAATTAAATAATTTATATATGTATATACATAATTTGCCTCGGGAACATATCGTACAAGACGACCGCCTCGTTTCTCATTTTAAATGTTACGTTTTTTTTATGTAAATTTGAAATTTGTTGTACGTAAATGAATTTTATAGGCTAGGTGGTGGTGCAATTCAGCTTATACATAAATATAAATATAAAAATTAATAAAGTTTCTAATAAACAGCTACCTAAAGCGCTTCTTTTCCCTCCTCGTCCTCATTTCCCGCGACTTTTACAAGCCCACAACACCGCGTAAAAACAAACTATATGAATATTCGGGCAGAAGTTCTCTCAAAACCGGTTCCCGGTGATATATACATTAGAATTTCGCGCAAGGGCGCTTTGTCGCGACCGACCGGGGGGCACCTGTTTGATTTTCCGGCAGTTTTCCGCATCCCTTCGACCTGGAAACACGTCGAATTCCCGAGCGTTTTCTCCCGTGTTGCAATCGCATTCTCGAACATCGTTCGCCGGCTTCCCGTTTTTTTTTATTCCATCTCGACGGTGTTTTGTGAGTAAAGAGAAAAAGCGGAAGATGAAAAGCAGCAGATGCTGGTTGGTTTTACTCGGAGTGCTGCTCTTGCACAATTGCGTTGCCGGTGAGTTTTTTTTCTACTATTAATTGTTTAATAACGATGAAAAAAACGAGGTTTTAAAACCTTTTTCTCTTACCTTTTACTTCAAAGTAAACGCTTCATTTTAATGAATATATGGCATATTGAACATTAGTGTAAATCTAGGTGAGATTTTCATGTTTTGATTTATTATCAAAAGTTGCTTTGAACTATTCGAAACGTGAGTTGTGGAATTATTTAACTTTGCGAACATGGAAATTATTTAGGTGAGGAGTTTTACTGATTCACTTCAATAAATTAAATGCTCTACCGAAGTCCCAGTGATTCAGGTGGTTTGTATAATTAATTTTGAATGCCTTGCTCGTGCAAAATTTAATGAAATATGGTGTAAGGCCACATGTAGAAGCTGCAGGTCATCGAATATAAAAGAGTTTTCTATAGAATTTTATACGTTAAAAGTTTCAGTAAACGGAGAGATTTTTTGGGTAGAAAATCTCTAAAATAAATCTTAAAAATTACAAAAAAAATCATTATTCTCTTTAAAATTAACACACTCTTACATTAATGTCAAACATTAATACATTAATACATTGATGTCAAAATTGACATTGAATGACATTTCGTTTGACACAAGTTTAATAGAGGTGGGAATAATTTATATAGAGGTGTTACAAAAATAACAGTTATTTTTCACATCTTTTTCCGCAGAACAAAAACAGCGCAATAAAGATAATGCAACACTCTCTTTAGAATTTATAATAAATTAGTATAGCTCATGCGATATACAAAATACTATAAAATTCAACTTTATTGCACAAATTCAATAGAACCCCTACATTTCCATTTTAAAAACTTTCATACAACTTTTCCCTGAAAATCGAAATTATCTAGTTGACCGATTTTTCCAAATTCCTTTCTCCCATTCATAACATTCCGAATCGATTCAACCACTTCGGAAATACCGTCGAACAACCTGCTTTGTTTTCCTTACCGTTGCAGTTTTTCATTAAAAGTTTCATTTTCATCGCGATACAGGAAATCGGGATTTCCTATTTCGAATATAAACGAGTACACGTGAAAAGAGCCCGGCCGATTTCGGTTTTTATTCGCCCGGCCTTTCATTAAAACTCCACCGTAATTATGCCCGACGAATTCCATTATGAAATCGAGCTAATCCAGACTCGGGGAAGTTTCCCGAATGCGTATTAGGAATAAGCTCATTTAACTTTTCAGGTTCCCTCATGATCTAAGAGGCTTCATTAAAACCCAAACGTTATTCACAACATATTTTTAATAAGCAACTTAATTGGGTCTCCATTGAGAGAATTGGATTCGATAAAACAATTCCATTGTACCGCAGACGGCTATTTTCGCTAGGAATATAACTTTCGGGGCGGAAAAACAATTTTTCATCGCCCCGTTTCCGAACAACTCCACACCGAATTATACGCTAGCCTTTCGAATAACTTTCCCCAGGAATTTACGCTAAATTCGCTTAATAATTTACGTTTTATCAAGCGGTGTCCGGCTACAAAATTATTAATTTTTTCTTCTATCGGGAAGCTTCAGTTGTCAGCAAATATCGTTGAATATGGAAAAACAGAAGTGGAGATTATATAAAAAAAATGGGACCTTTCCCATCCCTTGCGAATCGAATCTGCAGCGCGTAGAAAAATATCCGGCAGGATCTAATGATGTAAATAAAAATTCCGGTTGGAGATTTCGATATGAAAATGCAAAGAGAAGCGATACGTGACGTCCATAAATTTTCCAGGAGATATCTGTTCGGACGCAGGGATTGTTCAAACAAACAGTAGGTTATGTCGTAATAGGCAAGCAACAGAATTTGTCAAAAGGGTTAATATCGGACGCTCGTGGCATGGGAAATGAAAAAAAAAACGAATTTATGCGCGCTACATCAACATGAGCTATTGAAAGAATGATCAATGGGATTTTTACGAACATGTAGATAAATCACGTTACCTAACTGCGCATTTTTGCTTCAAATGTTTGTATTGTTATTGATGAAACATAATTTTAAGATGCGTTCGATGATACATTAATGTCAAAATTGACATTTCGTTTGACACAAGTTTAATAGAGGTGGGAATAATTTGTTCTGTATAGAGGTGTTACAAAAATAACAGTTATTTTTCACATCTCTTTCCGCAGAACAACAAAAACAGCGCAATAAAGATAATGCAACGCGTTTAAGGAGACCATTAGATGAACCGTTTCACCCTCATTCGATGCGAATGGTATTGCGTATATCATAGAAAAGTGTCCAAGTTTTATAAATTTCATTTCACAGACAAACGCGCTCGCCCCGTTCTCGAGTCTCCTCCGGGACGCCTTAACTGGATGTATTTCCATTCATCTCGAATGGGAAAACTTAAAACTTGTTTACCGGAAAAAAAGGAGAGAGGAAAATGACCCGAAAAGTTTATCGTCGGGATGACCTTTAAACGAATTAACTGCGGCCCCCTGGAAATTGGATCATCCATTTATTTATAAAGTTCACCGTAACCGGGTTATGCACATGTTATAGTTATAAAATAACATAGTTAATTTCAGTATAAATTCAGGAACATAAATTTAATAATGGAATTAAAGTGGTTTAAATTGACTTGAACTTTTCTTGTAAATTTTATAAAAAAATCTAATTTTATAACAAATATCTAAGAGTTATATTTGGGTTTATGAACATCATAAAATACGCCGGATTTTCGGAATTAATCACCTACCATTGTTCGCATGAAGAAAATAAAAAAAACCCGTCGAAATGATCATTTGAATATTTGTTCGACTGCGAAAAAAAACAACCCCGGGAAGTTTGTATTAATTTCTGAGAAGACAATAATTCAAGGGGAGAGATATTGCGCTAATATTTTAACAGCGAAGAGCCGTTCCGGAACAACTGTGTTTGCGTTGGCGCGCGAGACTCCTGCGAAATGGAAATGCAAAGAAAGCAGCGCGAATTTCACGCAAAAAGCGAAAAATACGGAAGTATTTATCTGCAAATTAGGTAAAACGTTCGAAGCGGTTGCAATCGGTATGTGCAATATTCCGAGCGAAAGGATCCGCAAAGTTTAATTACACCCAGAACTCAGCAGAGTTTCCAGCATTAATTACAGAAATACCAGTTATTTGTTCGTTACAGATCGATCAACAACGTTTCAATTGAATTATCTAATACCCTTCTCGTGTAATTAATCTATACCCTTTAATTCTTCGTAGGTAGAAAACAATGATAAAAGATTCTTAGCGCTTTAATTTAAAAAGAATACCAAAAGCGACTCGGACTGCTACCCTTATATACCTTCTGAATCTCAAATCTCAACTTTTAATTGCTCCCGTTCGCTTTACAGGTATACCTAATGTCGTTTCCATTTAATTTCCCCACTTGGAATTGTTTGTTTTCGAGTTAGGCTTAATTAATGCAACCGAAATTTGATGCGATTCAATTTCGAACAATTAAAACTTTTCTCCTAGATTCCCGTCCTGTCAGGATCTTACAATTAACCGTCGTTAACCCGAATTGTTGCTACCATAAGGAGAATTACTAATAATGAATTTAATGGGTATCTTATCTATCCATAACGAGGAAATTAGACTTGAATTATTTATAGTTTTTTTTAAATAGGAATTAATAATGTAAGCTCTTTTAGTTATCTTCTACAATAAAAAGAGTAACTTATTGAAAGCTCGGTTTGTGCAGGAGCTTTATTATTATCTCTAGCGCTTTGAGAGTTTAGTGTCGCACAAAGGGATGTTTCGGTGTTTTTCACTTCGTTAATCCTCCTGTTGGCGCTCTTCGTTGTGCAAATAAGGTCCTTTAGAATAATCCTCTGCGTTGGGAAAAACGCGATAGGTGTGTTTTATAGAGTCGATTTTTGATTCAATCATCCAATCGGCGCACAAAGTCGGGTTTTGTGTTTATGGGGAATTTGCCGTTTCCTACGAAAAAACAATGTCAACAGCGCCTTAACAAGTCCGGATGGAAAAAGGAATTCGTCGGGAGAATTTCGCTGGTGAATTCCCGACGAGATGCGGCGGGTTGTCTAAGAGAGAGAAAGTCGAATCGAATTTGCGACATTTGCATGTTTTAAAAGAGAATTTAAAGCGGGGAAATAGAAAAAAAAGTGAAAAGTAAAACGTCGCTGTAGCTACTAAAAAAGAAAATCGAGCACCGACCTTCGATTACGGTTTAATTTATTCCCCTAATTCGTCGGGCGTTTAAACGGATTTTCCCGTTTTTCGCCCGATTATTAGGCTTGTGTATTAGCCGTTTGAGGAAAACAGTAAACGTCTAATTAAATCCAAACCCCTTCCTTTATACCAATAAAATTCCATCGCCCGCGTTAAGTACATCTAATTAAAACAAATCGAACTCTACACTTTAATATCATCTCCCAATTTTTCATTTTAATTGAACCAATTTCCATTAAATCCAAAGAACGACACTACTAAAAAAAAGCGTTTAATAAATATCCTATCCTATTGTAAACGGATATAGAGAGTATCGGTATAGCAGAAATACATTCGCTGATGTATCTACAACAATAGAACGAAACAAAACGAATATCCCCAATATCTGACACCCCATAAAGTTCCATTACAACCAGATACAAACACAATGACGCATGTTATCGACGCCCGAACATTTATCTTTCGGCCAACATTAGTCGATAATCTAGGCCAGGATGGATATTAGTTATTAAATGGAATTCCGATTAAATCGCCGGGAGTTCGGGGCCGCTCTAACTCTACTCTAAAAACTCCACGAATGGCTGCAACTGACGCGAAAGTCCCCCGGACTCCCCGCGAACGATCATTTATAATTTCATATCGTTGTTTAGTACAATGAAATATGCGCTCGTGATGTATATCTCTCGAGGAAACCGAGCACAAGATTAATTCTAACTTTCGAAGCAATTAGGGAATAATTTATTTTAAAGGAATAGAGACGAATTTGGATAGATTTGAATTGTTGTTAGTTAGGAGATTTTTGAGTTTTTCTAATC